CTCGCCGGCCGTCTTGGCCCGCTTGGCGCACCTCAACGCCTGCTACGAACATGTATATCCTGGGCTGCGGTACATCACTTTCGTGAACGGCCGGACCCGCGCGGAAGTGCTCGAGGAGATGGAGGCTGCGCTTGGACTGAGGCATTCCTTACTGCCGGATCAGCCTCCGATAGCGGAACTGCAGGTCGTGTCGACGGACTCGAATGAATGGGTCAGCGAGATGCAACGCGCCGTCGTGGACGTAGGCAGGATTGCGAAGAGCAGAGCGTCGTCACTGGGCGGTCAATGAAGCCGCGGACGGATATCATAGTACGCCTTCACAACCATCTGTCCGTCTTAATTCCGAACGGTCATTCCTCACTTTGTTTAGAGAGTAACCCCAGGCGTTGCCCTATGTACCGACTACTATCAAAAGGCGATAAGCGCCTGATACACTTGTAGGGGCCATGATTCTATACATAGACAGCTGACCTTCATAAATTGATGCGGAGGACATGCTCATCAACTCTGTCACGATCCCCGCTTGCCAAAAATAGCACAGATGCAGAAAAGCCGCCGCGCACGCTGGCTGCTCCCTCCCATCGACATGTTAGATCTGGTCCGGAACACGCACGGCATCCCAGCTACGACTTCACGCTGTCCGAGACTGTCATGCAGCACATTCCGCGATGATAGCGAGCTGGACATGCCAGTGTTCGCCGACCAGTGCCGAACAGCGCTGAGAGGATAAAAGGCGAGAAGGGGGCGCGGTGGGGCGTAAGGATCGTTCTCATCCACAATGAAGCTGACACAAGGTCTCTTCACAATCGTATCCGCGCTGTTGCTCGCCAACGCTGTGTTGGCCACACCGTACGCCCTTCCCGAGCCCATCCCATGCTGCCAGCCGCTGCCGGGAAAGACGACCTGCTCGAGCAACAGCGGACCGCGCTGCTCTGGATGCTGTGAGTTGCCATATCCTCGCGACAACGGATGTGAATTGAGGTTGTGTTCTTGGCAGGCCTTGAATGATTCCATGAAACCGGAATACGCGCGTTAGGAACAATTTGACGTGGAGGCGGACGGTTGTGGCTGGTCAATGCTGCATTCCGGGAGAGATTCAGATAAAACACGGACGGGAGGCGTGATGTCGCTAGCAATCTCGAGCATGAGCGCTGCAGATAGGTATTACTTTGAATGGAACGACAATTACTATCACCGAGATCATCCCTGCACTTGTCCGCAACCTCAGCGCGGCTGACTTGGCCCTTGATACGATGTCAACCACGCTATCGAAGCAGCTTACATCTTCCCTTTCAATCATTGCATGCCTTGATAGGATCCTCGTCAACTGTTGCGATCCACAAGGTAGATCCATTGTATTCGCATTAAACTACGCATGCGGGACAGGCGACAATGCTTCCGGCACGAGACGTGAAACAGATGAGGCATCTTCGGATCCATCCTTGACTGTTACCGCTTTCAGATGAGTAAATCGTCCTATTGGTCCTTGTGGGGAAGTCGTTGCAGGTTCGGTCGGGGTCCTTTGAAGGTTTTGTAGCCCTTGAACCACCAGTAGCCGAACGCAATGATCTGGAAAGGTCTTGAAGATATCATAGCAGAATCAGACGCATGCTCGGCAACACACGAACTGCGAACTGACAGATATATGACGACAGCCCAGTTCATGTCCACGGCGTTGGCTGTGCAGAAGCGTCAACAGCGAACAGACGAATGGACGGTAAAGAGGCTACTAACGCATCGGACCTTCTGGGCTGTAGGAAGAAACGTTGCAGTATCAGAACGTCGCGCAATACTGGGACGAGGGGAGACGCTACTCACAAACTGACAAGCAGAGTGATGAACACATTCCACGCCACAGCGGTCCATCGTACAGCTCGCGAGAAACGGCCGAGATTGTATGGTCCGTTGCGGTATTCCGGATTATTCTCGTACAGGCATCGTCCCAGTACCGGGAGGATGTACCCGATCTGGCCAGCGAGCGTGCTGCCCGGGAAGAATGCTTGAAAAGCGGTGTCGGAGCCGATGGAGATCACTCCGAAGGCTGCAGAGAGGAGGAAGACAACGAGCGAGGCGTTGTTCGGCGTCTGCGTGCGCGGGGAGACGCGGCTGATCCAGTCGGAGAATGGCAGGGCCCTATCGCGCGAGTATGCAAAGTAGATCCGGGACGCCGCAACGAACTGCGGGAGAAGAACGAGTTGAGTTTCAGAATGTTAGTGCAAAGATAAACTCGGGACGGACGCCCGACTCACGAAGGCGACGCCACACGCGAACTGCGTGAAGGCGTTGATGGCCATGAGGGCGATACCGCCCTTTGTTCCTAGTACGTCGGCCATGAGCGTTCCGATGGGTTGTCCCAGGGGATTCGCCATGAGCGAGTCGATGTCCGTGGCGCAGAGAGCCAAGGAAATCAGGTAAACGAATCCCAGGAAAACACTGGACCAGGTACTCCATATCATCGCCCGTGGCACGGTAATAGCAGCGTTGGACGTCTCCTCCGCAACGTGGGCGGCCACGTCGTAGCCAGCGATGGTCCAAGTGGCAGAGAGGAATGTCATACAGAAGGACCAGCCCGCGGGCCAATCAATCTGATTTTGGCCCTGGATACATGCTTAGCTTGTTCAGATGATTTCACATGGGCGAAGACCTACTTTGGTGAAAATATCTTTGGCAGAGTTCAGATGGTCGGCTTTGATGGGCAGGAGGATGGTGACGATGACCAGCACAATAGTGCCAATGAAGTACGCCCAGATATTGAACCAGCTGACGTAGCGAGTGGGCAGGGAGATGACAAGGTACGAGGCAAACATCATCGCTAGATACACGAGGTAAATGTGCCAAGACATCGGTTCGTACTCTGGCAAACCGACTTGAAAAGTCGCAACGAGCAGTTGCGCTGCCTATACATCCCAAGATAAGTCAACCATGATGCCAGGAACGCAATATAAGCCTCCAAATCTCACTGAGTAGGTGATGGAGACACATGAGAGAGGCGTATATATCAACATTGACCAGGCCACGATGTAGCAGGATAACATTTTCCACCTGGGTGATGCCGTCATATACGCCCAGTAGTACAGTCCGCCAGACGTGGGGTAGGCAGACGATAGTTCAGCTAGGGAATACACGAGGAACTGCACGCATAAAATTAGGAAATACGGCATCACGTTCGCTCAAAGTGCGATACACACCTGACCCATGACTGCTGCAATCAACCACCCCCAAGTCATGCCGATCAGACCCATGTACCCCATCGTGTACCTGCGCGCCGTCAGTAACCTATCAGGACAGTTGTGCATAGGGTGAGCACCATATCGTGGCCGCAATTCCTGGTAAGACGGCAAGCTCGCTAGACACGAGGGAGAACAGGCCCAAAAACGTGAAGTCGCGACGGAACTCCTGCTTATAACCCATGATCTCGAGGTAGGCGTCGTCGTCTGTCGTGTCAGCGACCTCAACGGTCGTCCCGGCCTGGTAGCCAGGCTCATGCTTCTCCATGTCATCCGCCCTCTCGTCGAAGGAGCCACGCGAATAGGAAGAAGACATTGTCTCCGTTGTACGACCAGGACGTCCTTTGACTTGGCGAAGGTTTTATATTACCTGGAGGTCGTCGTAGCGAGAGGAAACGCACCAAGCCCCCCGAGAGGCTCTTATCGCTGCTCCCTCGGAAGTACAGTGCCGTTAGGGAGTAAAAATAGCGGCCCTGTTCTGTGCGGGGAAGCAGCGGCCCACGCTGTAACCGGAGCTGTGAGTTTTCGTCTACTCATCAGTCTCATAATGTCGCCAGAAGGTGCCGCTGGAACTCATGACCTGCAAATTTGCGCGTCGAGGCCAATCTAGAACGGAGGCAGACGGTGTCGACGCCACACATTTTGATGTTCCACAGGAACATGGAAGGGAGGAACGTTGTCGCTATGAAGTCTTAAGTATGGGCGTTATGAGCGCTGGAACCGTGGAGCAGTAAGTTACCTTGAATTGCGCGACAACCAAAGGAAGCTTTCCCGCTGCTGATTTCCACACCTCTCGTCATGTGGAAACTGCGTTGCAGCTGTCATCCGTCACACAGCCTAAGGATCCGCTTGACGGCGTCTGCTAGTTCGGGCATGCAAGTTGCTTCTTCCCTGGCTAGCCACCTCCTCGCTAGGCCAGCTACTACATCCTTCGCCGGCCCCTCGTCAATCCAGCATCCTTGTCTGATCTTCCACTTGCCTGGCCCCCCGTCTTCCTCTTCATCGGCCTCGGGTTGACCGTCTTTCTTGTGGTAGACGTGTTCGATCGCGTATCCGACAACATCCCAGAACTCCGCGAAGCTCCAACCCCAGCTTGGTTTGCACATCTGAACGTAGACCAACGTATAAAACTCGGGAAGAGGCGTGATAGAGGAAAGATCCGAAAGTAGCGAGACGCTGGTGCTGACTTGATCCGCAAGGCCATCGTACATATTCGCGATGCAGGACGCATTGGCCCAGTTGTGATTGATGGAAAGCGTGGAGCTGGGCATGGACATGAAAAAAGGGTGCATATATGCGGCGATCGAAAAGTAATGCTTACCCAAAATTCTCCACCGAATGATACCACCCACTGGGGACGAACATTGTTTCGTTCGGGTACTGCCATACCACCAAGCATCGCTTCCTCGCCTCCTCTATCGAAGGGTAATCCTCTGACTTCAGCTCCGCGGCCCATAAATCCGCGATGGGTGGCGGTTCGCGTGTCATCCGATGAAAGAGGAGATGCGCGTCGGAAGGGGCTAAAAGTAACCAGCGTTTGACACCGGTGATAGAGGTTGACCATGAATGCGAGAGGTAGACGTCGTGGTGCCAGGCAGTTTGCGTCCCTGCAGTACCGAGGTAGAGGAAGCGGTAGTCGTCGGAGGTGCGGGCAAGCGCGTGCGCATTCATCCAGTCATCTGGAAGCCGCGTTTGCATGATTGATTTTGATCATGAGGGTATGACGTCTACGACGTACCTTGGAACAAATCGTACAATCGGTACGCCTCGTAATCCGGCCTGGCAAGGCATAGATGGAAGTCCTTCAGATACGGACTTTCCTGTCCTTCTACTCCCTCTCCCTCTTGCGCCTCATTCCAGACGCGTAAAAAGTTATCGAACGACATTTCCTCTCGTTTTTCGGCACCGTACCCATCCTGCGACCCGGAGAAGGCTACGGTCGCCGGCTTAGACGATCCGCGAAACGTGGCTACGATCGCCTCGACATTTGGGATGAGCTGCCCCGACTTCTCGTCAGGCTTTGTCCATGGAGTATGACACGGCCATGCGGAAGGCAAGTTCGGATCATCGAAAATAATAGGGCGAAGAGGCAGAAGGTAATCCGTCCGGAATTGCTCATACGTCGGTGGTTCGGCAAGGAAGGCGATCGGGCGGATCGATGTTTTGGTATAGATGCGGCTTGAACCTGTGGGGTTCGTCGTTGCATCCATCAAGGGTGCATAGCAGCATGTAGAACAGTATATTCCGAGCTTGACGAGGGGGGCTCAGGGTGGGCTCCTGATCATGTGACCTTTTGCAGTATGTTTCCAGGATTTGCCGCTGGCCGTGTTCTAACTACCTTCCAACCTTTTCCTTCGTTACTGGTCAAGCGAGGATCGGCCGCGCAGCAAGCGCGGCCTTTAATCAGCGGACATGAGACTACTGGCGGAGAGAACGAGATTTATTTCACGAGTACTTGGCTTGTGGCGCAAAGTTTATGCCTGTCAGCTTGCTTGCGTTGATCCCAACTTCCATATGCTCTTGTCCCGGATTCTGCTGGGCACTCATTCGATCCTGCGGGTTGGCATAACGCGTACCTGTGCGCTGTTGCAAGCAGCATGCATGCTATGCATTGCCTAACCTGGGAAAGGCGGCGCGCTCTCGTCATTGCACATTGGATGAATGAATCCTCCCAGGGCCTCCGACGCTTAATGGTCATTCACACTGCACATATACCACGAAAATTGAAATCCGAACCGCGCCCGTAGATCTTTTTGGTAATGCGAAGATCCCCGACAGCACCGTGTGGCCATCACCCCATCTAAACCGCACTGCTCGCGACGCAAATGCCTATTAGTATGAACGAGTGTGTTTGATCGTCTATACCCATCACGTCACACTCTCACCATCTTCGAAGTCGGCTCGGGTCTTTCCTATAGAGCATGCAACGACTTTCGACATTGGTGACATCGAGGTCCCAAAGTAGATCGCCTTATGGCATGCCGCCCTTGCGTGCAGCGTCCGGGAAGGGCCTCGTACGCGGCGTGCGGCATAAATACCATTCATACCGCGCCCTCCAACATTACCCACCCTCCCAGGATACCACACACCGACCATGCCTCCCGTCACCATCCGGAACGACGCGTCGTCCACCCTGAACGTCGCCCGCACGCTCGGCGCCCCGCTCGCGTGGCGCAACTCGCTGCAGCCCGGCGAGTCATGGACGCACGAGTCCGCTCCCTGGTCGTATACCTTCGAGATCCGCCGCGACCTCGGCGATGTCTCCCAATTTTCCCTTGAAGACTCCCTCGACGCCGCAGGCACGATCGGCACCGCGGTCGCCGCCGGCGTCGCGAGCGTCGCGACGGGTGCTCTCGGAGCTTTAGGCACGCTCTATCAACTACTATCAGCACTGTGCATCGAGATCCTGACTGGGGGAGACCGCTTAGGCACGCTCTGGGGGTGGCCCGCCGCGGCGCCCAAGGCCGCGTTCGGGGCCGCCGGATCGCTCATGCACGCGGCCCACCTCCGTGAGTTCTAGATCTTATGCTCCCCTGGACGATCCCAGAGCCAGTGTCATAATCGAGGAATCTGACGGCCGTGTCGGTTCAGACGGAGAAAAGTGGGGCGAGGAAGCGCCTGGCTTCGTGCACCGCGCGCACTGGGTCGGGATCGGTTTCGAGCCCAAGACGTTCGTGATCCGCGAGATAGGGGGTGCGTTCCGCTTCGAGGAAAGTGGGTAGGGAAAAGGTTGGTTCATATGATACCATCGCCGCTGCCTGCGTATATGGCGTCCCTCTGTGGAGTGTGCGCACGCGATCGCGTAAAGTACAACGGCTCGACATTTTCCGACATAGGAAAGAATGATGATGGACTGTTGAGAGTGCTCAGAATTCCCCGCGTACCAGTACATATGTACATCAGACGCGTTGTCAGACAACAGTTGGTGTTGTTACAATCTATGCAATAGTCGCAAGCATCACGACCGGTCACGGTGTCCGAGTCCACACCACCCCCAGAACCATAAACACCAGCGCGCTCGAGTCGTCGCCAACTACAGCATACGCGCGCGTAGGGTTGGATTATCACATAGAGGAAGGGGAAAAGAAGGGAGGGAGGTATGAGCAGACAGAAAGGAGGGGAAAACGTATAAATCAATTCGTTAAAAAAACAGCACACATATCCTTCTTGGCGGACATCATCGAAGTCCTCCCCTTCTTCACGAAATCTTCATCATCGGTCCCGCGTACTTCATCAAGCCGTCTCAACCTCGTCCCAACTCCTCTTTCCACCCGTCGAGGCAGCGGGCATCACCGGCGCCGCGCCCGCACCGGTAACACCGACCACGAGCCCCTTCAACCACCCGTTCTCCCTCCTCAGCGCCTCGCACTCGCGCTCGAGCTCGCTCACGCGCTGCTCCATATCCTTCGCACGCTTCTCGAGCGCCTGCTCGCGCTCCTTCTTCTTCGCGCGGAACCGCGCTGACGCCGCCGTGTTCCGCCGACGCTTGTCCTCGGCCGTGGAAAGCGGCGTGGAGAGGTTTCCCTGCGGCTCGTCGTCCTTATCGCCGGCCTCGGACTCGGCCGCCGGGGAGGTCGGAGCGGGCGAGGAGACGATCGACGCTTTGCGGGTCCGGGGCCGCTTGTTGGCGGTCGCGGGAGACGCGGCGGACGTGGAGGAGGAGGGGGAGGGGGAGGACATCGCGGGCGCCGAAGGCGGCGGAGGGGCCGACGCATACTGTCCGCTTTGAGCGTGCTGCGAGTAAAGCGAGAGGACCTGCGCGAGCGATGGCGCGGAGGCGCTGCCGGGTGTGACGCCCAGTCCAGCCAGGAATGCGGTGAGGTCAAACGGCGGCTGCTGCTGCGTCTGGTTCTGCAGGAGAGGTAACGATAAGCTCCGAGAGGATTTTGGCAACCGCGGGCGCCATACTGACTTTCTGTTGCTGATGATCTTGCGGGTTCTGCACTACGGTGCCGGTGACGGCGTTGTGGTGCGCATCGGGGTGCGCGGGCCCGGCGGGGCGCACGCCCGTCAGACGCTCGTCGTCGTCGTCGTACCGCTCGTGCGCCTGCTCTTCGCCGGAGCCGTCATATTTTTTATCGTGGGGGACGAGAGGCTCGTCCGACTGGAAGGAGAGGTTCGTCCAGAGATCGAGCTGGGCGGTGAGATCCGGCGGGACCTGGAGCAGCTCGAGCGCAGGGTCCCCGCCCCAGCTCGCGCTCGAGGGCGGGTCGGGGTAGACGAGGTTGAGCCCTTGGAGATTGGAGGGCATGTGAAGCCGCTTTACTGCGCCGAGCAGGTGGTCGGTGGTGTGAGGTTGCGCGAGAGAGGCGCGAGTCGGACGGCGGGAGTGGTGGAGCGGGTCGCGGCGGCGGCGAGATGATTAGAGGAGGAAGGCGAAATCGGTGCGAGCAAATGGCGAGACAGCCCGGTCAAAAGGCGAGCGACGGGCCTCTACATTCATCCACCGCCCCATACGGCGCCGGCGAGGGACCCCAGCCACTGCCGACTTTGCACGGAGATCGTCACCACACAGATAAGATCGATAACGTCCAACGCCTTGGATTTCCCTTAAGTGGACAAGAAAGGCTCCATAAGAGTCTTAGTCTGATGGGCTCTCAAGTCGAATCACAACAAGGATAGCAGCTGGCCGGGGTCCTTCTCTCTTGCCGTCGGACCGAAGCTCCTCTTGGCTTTATAATCGCTTTGATCTCGAAGCAAGGGACGCGTCCAAGACGGAGCCACGCACCATCCCACGGTGGGCTACGCCTGTGCCCAGGGTCCCCTCATGGAGAAACTCTGCTCGTTAGCGTACATTGCCAGAAGCGTTGGTGAGAGACAGGTCGATCGACGTGCCCGCTGCGTCGCTACGAGCTCAATGCAAGGCATATAAGATGAAAGTGTGGGCACGTACCGCACGTAGTACGGTCAGAGGCCGGCGGGCGACGCAAGCTACCCCGATGCAGGCGGATAAATGCTCGGCGCGATTATCCATCCCAGTGCAACCTTCGAGTCCTCAACCTCCATTATGGCACGCTTGTGTCCTTACACGTACTACAGAATGCAGGTTATAGCATGCACCTCCGATGCACCAGGTCATGACTGTCAGTACATGTAACGGCTCACATGCCGTCTCACTCAGCTTGGCCCATTTATAAGTAGCACAGAACGCGCAGAACACTAAAGCCAGAACGCTTCGAGATAACGATGCTGCATACATCATACCGCCGTCATGATCACGCGCTCGCATACTCCTTCCTTCGCCGAAGATAGCTTGTGAGAGCTGCGGTAAAGATGAAAACTGAGATTAGGTGAGAAGCAGTAACGGTCGCTGCGGTGGAATACGTTCCGAATGCTCCTTGAAGCGTGCCATATACAGTGTATATAGTATGAGATTTACCGAGGCGGGTAGGCACGTTCGACATTGGGATGTCTGCGAGCTAGGTTCAGCAACCTCGTGGGATGATTCTATGCCCAGGAATACAAACGTGCCATCGCACCAGGTCCTTTGGATAGCTTTTGATGGCACGAATACCTCCACCGGATGATATGACAGACAACAAACGGCAGCCCTGATAACATGCATCATCATGTACCGGATCTCCGCCGCACATATTGGGGAGGAAGATCAAACTTGAAACGGAGAAACGTTCTGGAAGGCCACAATCGTTGAACGACAGCTTGACAAGAGAAGTGAAGACGAACCTTCCCGTACGCAACCGCAACAAGTCAATTGGGCGCAGGGAGGATGCAGGCTCCAGATGTAGGTGAGTATACCATCTCGTCTTTTTCCGACTTTAAGGGACTGTTGTCGGAAAACCTTGTTGAAAATCCAGAAACGACCGTTATTGAGATGTATACCGCCCTTCCGGCGCACGCGCTATTCACAGCCCCATCTGCCACCTGAAGGCCATCTGTCTGAACATCGTTAGACCCGGGAATAATCGAAAAAATCATGATTGCACGGTCAACGACAGACATCACAGGTACCACCAGGAAAGGCTGATCACCGCCCGCGCCCCGACGGATCCGACGCGCCAAACCGTGATCCGCGAAGGAAGAAATCCTCCCTCGATTCTGGCCTTCATCGTCTCGCGAACCCAGCACTTTGATCGCGGGTTACGTCGACTCGCTGCGCCTCCGACCGCTCCTAAATTTCGCCGTCCGAGTAGAAGGCAGCTCGCACGCGCGCCATATGCTGTGTCCCGCCGGCAGGGCGCGATCCAGATGGGCGAGCCGTTCTCCCCCACCGACCCTCATCAGGAACTCCGCCCGGATCCAAACACCCAGGTCCCACCAGCTCCAAGCCGCCCTACTGACACCCCGACACAACCCAGCCACACGACGGCCCAAGCTGCGGACGCCGCGGAAGCACATCGAACAACCTTCCGCTCACCGCTGACCGCGCCGACTCGCCGTCATATGCATCTTGACGTCCGTCAGCGCTCCGCCTCGTCTAGCAGATGCGGCAGTTCGTTGTCCGGGACTTTCCGTAGCCAGAATGGACCTAGGCACAAAGAGAGAGGGACAGACGCGCACGCGTCACGTCAACGGATCACGTATGGCGCGATGCGGTCTCACAGCGACTCACCGACGGGGTCGCCTGATCAACGTTGAGCCCAAGCCACCGCGGCGCGGCGCGCGTCGGAGTAAGAAGGCAAGGAAGCGTCGAAAATCAGGTACCGTCGGCAACACACGAACGTGTGGAATGCAGAAAGACCCCAAACGCCGCCAGCCATATGAATCAACGAGAAATGAAACAGCGAAAAAGTCAGAAACCGTCGACGGATTGAGATGATGTTCGGCCGAACGCACCCAGTTCGTGCGTCGTCGTCGTCCACGCGCCAAGCACGCCAAAGCTCGAACGCACGCCGCCAACCTGGACGCCCTCCGAGCTAAAACGGATCGCGTCCGGGTTAACACCCCCTGTACACGGGACAAGCGACGATAACGAAGGAGAAAGACAGGTGGAAGAGCGAAGGGGAAGGAATGAGCTTGGAATGGAATTTACCTCCAAAGAGGGCGGCCTTGCTCACCGCTGACGAATGACCAGCGGATGTGGTCGTCGGGGCCGAGCTCGACGTGGCCGACCATCGTCGCGTGCCCGTCGACGTCGCCCCCGAACTTGATCTTGGGCCTGCCGGGATGCTGCGGGTCGTCTTCCGTACTATGCAAAGAACAACGCATCCGCGAGTTGTGAAACGAGGTTCGATGTACGTGGAAAGATTGCGGACGCACCCTAGGATTCGCATGGCGACGTGGAACGAGCGGAAAGCTTCCATGAAGTCCGGTTCCTCAAATATCGACGTGTCCAACGGTCCGGCATCCACCTGCCCATTTTCCTGCGGTTAGTGAGGACGATAACCCTCGCCCGCAAACAGCATCCCGACACGCACACTGAAGTTGTTATACACTGGCCCAACGCCCGTCAGCCGCTGTCACAAAGCATTATTGAACACACCGAATGAGAACCGACCTAGCAGTTCCCGGTGATCGCAGAACGCGAATGCGACGTGCCACACGCCCTCGACGCCTGCCCAATCCCGCTCGACGTCCAGGTCCATCCCACGCGGTATAACGCTCTGGCAGTACGGCATGCTCAGGGGGAATACGACATACACGACCTCGTCCTCCTCCCGCAGATCCACCACGTGCATCGACATGACGTGGTGCAGCGCCTGCATATGCTCCCAGTCCACCCCCAGCCCTGGCTCAGACTCCCTCCCCGCCCGCCCGCTCGCGTTCTGATCCCCGAACAGCTCCGGATCGGGGAGGGGGACGAACGGTCCGAACGCGTTCTCGAATGTGTAATTGCGCATGCTGTACACCCGCCCGCGGGAGGCGACGCGGGCGGCGGGCGTGCGGTCCGCGTCGGTGACGCCGTAGCACGTGTGCAGTCGGGCGCGCAGCGCTTCCTCCTCGCGTGAAAGCCCCAGCTTATCCGCGTCCGCATCGAGCAGGTCGCTCCTGGTAAGCGTCGCGGCGACCCAGATGAGGTTGAGGCTCAGCGCGCTGCTGTCGCCGGGGTGCGCAGGCGGGACGTTGCTCACAAGCTCGAGCAACGTCTCGAGCACCGCGCGCATCTCGCCCGGGCGCGCGATCTCGATTTTCGCGCACACAGCGCGGGCGCGCATGATGCGCTTGAGCTGCGTGGCCCAGGGGAAGGCTTGGCTTGAGTGGAAGGCGGAGGCGAAGTACGGCCGGCCGAGTGGGGTCAGACATCGCCGCGGGTCGTCGAGCTCCTGGAGGAGGTAGAGCGTGCGCCAAAGGTGCGAATCGGCGGCGACGAGCGCATGGTAGGCGCGGCAGGTCTGAGAGAAGGGCGAGACGACGTCGACGGGGTCACCGAACGCGAGGATGTGCTCGATGAGCTCGGACGGGAGGGCATGTATGGCTGCGCTCGAGGCAACGTGCGGCGGAGATGGGAAGCGCGCACGACTTGCATTGCAATCTAGATAGGCAATCGAAGTTTGGTCAATGACGATTGAGAGGGATGCTAGAGGTCGTCGCACCTTTGCGTGCTGCATCGTACATCTCCCCTCTGTTGAGCGAATGTAGTTGTCTTGCCGAGCCATCATCGTTATTGTCCGCTGCGCATTCAACGTCAACTTCGTCGTGACTGCTGTGGACCATCGCAGATGTCGTAACCAGGAACTCGAATGCAAACTTCGTACAGTGTCAAAGGCTCAGGCAGAGTTCTCGGCAATGAATAGCTCAGGCAGCAGCCGGGGATCACAGCGGCGAAGACGAGCGAACGAACTGTTCGTTGGCGCTGGGACCTGCTGGGACCGAATTCACAGTGACACAAGTGGATTAGGTCACGGATGCTGTAGTTGCACTGTTGCAGGCTGATCCTTTCGCGAATTGATGCTCAGTAGCTCGTTCTCTGAGTTCCGGCAGGTGTACGCGTACGCGATTTCATGGCAGACTTTGTCATGAGGCATACCACAGCAGCGATGGAAACCCGGACAAGGGGGCATACAAGATTGACAATTCCATACCCAAGAGGGTCGCAGAGCTCGGGTGTAACTGTTCATTCCATCTTAGGTTTCGGCACCACATGACCGTGCAAGGCATGCATATGTAGATCGGCATCGCATGCGCAGCATATCTACGCCGACAAGTACGGCTGTGACCAATTGCGTTATAGATATTTACATCCATTGAAGTTGAAACGAAAACATGTCTATGGGTACAGCATTGATATGTCGTATAATCTAGAATAGTGATGTGTCCACAGATAGCGAATCAAAGACAGATGCACAAGAAGAGCAGGGACACGCGCGTGGTGAGGTCAACATCGCGGTGACCGGTGAAAGGAGTGGCGGGACTTTGAGAGGGTATTCACGGTGGATGAGGCCAGCGGGAGGCGGCGTGTGCATCTGGACAAGACCGGACCAAGCGAGGGTATCCCCAGTGACTCGAGTGGAGGTTCGACTGAACACGTTTATGCAGACCTGATACCCCCGACGATCCCCCGGCACTACGCCGCATCCTTGTAGCACGACCGTCGTGACGAACAAAAGATGTCAGGAGATCCCGGAGTCCGGAGGCCGCGTGCGGAACGATTCCGGTATCCGTCGACGAGACGCGACCTTCGTGTCCGCCATATCTGTGCGAGAGCCCAGCGGAAGGGTCATCGCCGGAGAAGGTTCCATCTGCGCCGTGCGCACAGGTGCCGGACCGCGGCCTGGCGTCGGATCCTGGTCCAGTTCGATCAGTCCTCCCTTCGACGCCTGGCGCATATGAGTTGTGCGAGCTGGCTTCGAAGCAGGGGTATATCCGGTGCGCCGCGGCGACTCGAAGGAAGGGAACGCATCAAATGGTGATGCGGTCTTGGGCACGGACCAACTGACGTCTGCCATCTCGTGCTCCTGGTCATCGCTCGCGGACGTGTTGCTACGCGTCGAATCGAGTGAAATGCGGGGCACGTTGATCGGCAGAGCGTTGAAGATGGATGTCAGCGCCGATGCCTTTGTCGAACGCGTGGGTGAGCGCCGTCCGGCGGGGATGACGGGGGCGGACGCGCTGAGCGGAGGCGTCGAGAATTTGCGTGGGAGCGTCTTGGAACGGTTGAGCGCGGATGATTGAGAGGGCGGAAAAAAGGATAGTCTGGAGGCGGGTATGCGTCGGATGGTTGCGGTAGCGGGTAAGTTAGGTGAACCCGGGCTCTGGGGGTGACCATGAGGGGAGATACGGTTGAAGGGAGAGTCGGTAGGCGAGTTGATGGGTGGAGGGGAAGATGGACCAGGGGAAACCAGGGCTTCGACGAGGTCACGGCGAGACGTCTTGTCCACCGGGATGTACAATGTCTTGCGTAGATGTATTGGATCCGAAGGCCACAGCTGATTCGCTCGACGCAGTTCAGATAGTGCAATCCCGTACTTCAGAGCGACTCCAGGTAAGGAATCCGTAGGCGCAACCTAAACGGTCGCACCAACAACGCGTCACTCTTCATGAACCTTATAACGTGTATGCATGGCGTACCTCATGCACGATGACCGTGCGCTCAGCCTCCTTCTGGTACGTGGCTCCAAGTGGGGAACCCAGGGCATCCTTCGACGACTCGGGCTCCTCGTATGACTGATCGCTCAACATGCGATTGAGCACGGGCCGCGTACTCCCAAAGAAGTCCATCTTGGTCGGGCTGAGCCCAGCAAGCGGGTGCAGTCGCTGGGCGGCGCTGTCCCGACGATCCTTCCTCTCGTCCGCCGTATGCGACCGATGATGCCCCGACGTTCCGGGCCGCGACTTGCTGGCACCTGCGCTAGCGCTATGCTGGTGTAGTTGATGACTCTGCCGCGATCTGCTATGAGGGTCGAGCACACTCTCCGATCCTCGCCGCCGATATCCTGGCCTCGTCTGCAAGCTCGAAGTAGATGACCCATGACGGAGTGCTGAGGTGTATGAAATGGTCGAGGGCGACTCCGCGTCGTCGGCGGTCGCGAACGGGGTCCCGTACAGGATGTCGTCGTCGTCATCATTGTACGCGGGCATCAGGAGTCCAGCTAGGGAGAAAAGGTGAGGCTAAAGAGATATCTTTGCATACGGAACAGCCGTGGATGGGACAGGTGTATGTGATGGCCCTTCCTCGGCTTCAGTTGCATACTAACTTTGGGTACAACCCGGCCGGGCGTGGGTTGACGCGCTTACAGGGCGTTACCGCCAGCATCCGCCTGTCACAAAATGTATATGCCTGTTTTGGTGTATAATTCCATGGCCGACTAGCTCAGTTGGTTAGAGCGTGGTGCTAATAACGCCAAGGTCGTCGGTTCGACCCCGGCGTTGGCCATACCTTTTGCTGTCAGAGTCCGTTGAGGACCCCAAGATGAGTGAGGACGTACTCCACCACAAAACTGCGTTCTGGCCTTGAATCTCCTATACCGCTTTTCATCACCCAGCATGACCGCTCGAACGCACGACTACGCAATCAATACGGGTGGTTTTCCTCAATGGCGTACGCCGAAGATCATTGGATGGCGTCCATGAAAAGGAACCACGCTACCCTGTGCGCAATATGCATATTCCCTTATCAACTACATCTGGTCATCTTGGATTACTAGCTGTCGACAGCTTGACCAGCAGGTGATCAAATGCCATATCCGCACAGCTCCTAATCGTACTCTAGTCATCATCAACATGCGGCGCAGCGCTTCAATACATCCAAGGCTCCCAATTGCATACCTATGCGATATTGACAGTGTTCAAGTTATCTACCCCCTTTCGTCACTCTGAGCTTCAGAGAGGCCACCGCTCGCCTCTACACAGCAAAGTATACACTTCAAGCTTCCTAGGCTTTATCCGGCATTTGGAATTGTTCCACCGCGAACGGCGCAGTTTTTCTCTCACCATCAACAAGGTCGCTATGCGGGTGGCGTCTGTGTTCTTGCCACCCACACCTCACAAGCGCATATAAGCTCCCAGGAATGAAGGCTACCATTGCTGAGTCCTACCCTCTCGCTGGATCATACTGGAACTTACAACGGCTTTCGCTTCGCCTCGCATTTACAGGCTACTGTCGATCTAGAACCCCTGCGGTTGACCCGTTTGTCAGCGCAGGGTTACGGATCACATAACAAGTTCTGTCCTCTGTCAGTGGCGTTTCCTGGCGATCTCCCGGCTCGCACCCAGAGGCTTGAGGGCCTCTGACCCGTCCTGAAATCTGACTGAACGCGCGTCGAAAGCTACTATTCGGAGAATACGGAACTTACATCTAGCGCCCGCTGATCTTCCCGACCTATTTCTCGAGCTCGAACGACTCGAACGCAGCCTCCCGGATTTGGCATCGACAGACGTTGTGGAACTACTAGAAGTTATCAGTGAAGTCAGTGCCGCTTTCGGTTCCGCTTCGTTGGGATAAGTGAACTCAACATTAGTTCAGCTCGTTTTGGACAGGTCATGGCGGGCTGAGGTGGCGCAGTCTGCTCGCGTAGCCTTCCTCAGATTGATGGTGAAGCTTGCGTGGGCCAGCTCTCAGCTCCCTTCGTCTTTATTCCTCAAGAATGTGATCGTCTACGACCGGGATATCCCAGCATACGGGGGCGCGTATGCTGATGTCTTCCGCGGAGAGATAGACGGACAGCCAGTTGCTCTGAAGCGCTTTCGTACATGGGTTCGACCAGATAGGCATAAACAATGTCTCGATGTGAGCTCCGCGGTGTTGAGAGTGATAACCGCGTGACCAACACGTTTCCCGCAGATCTTTCTCAAGGAAGCCTTGGTCTGCAGTTACCTCCGACACCCCAACATATTACCAGTACTGGGCGTCGACGTAGCGGTCTATCAGCCTTTCATGTGCTTAGTCTCCCCATGGATGTATGGAGGGACTGTCGTGAATTACCTTGCAACCCGCAGGGGATCCACCTCTCTCGATGCCATGATTGAAATGGTATAACTTGCTCAGAATTTGGTCTACGGCTACAGTTCTGATGGGCTGACATCACATGGCAGTTCCAACAGGTTGTATCCGGTCTCGCATACTTGCATGGAGAATGCATAGTTCATGGTGATTTGAAGGGGGTAAGTGCTGTTTTGTCTGTTCTGCGATTTCACTGTAAATGGACTAATGTCCACCGATCCCAGAGCAATATTCTGGTAGATGAACAGGGCAACATACGGCTCGCAGACTTCGGGCTGGCCGAGCTGACTGAGTGTTGGTGTGCCGGATCGACGGTAGGGCAAGGTTCAACTCGTTACATGGGCCCGGAACTGCACGACCCCGACTCGTTTGGACTCGTTTTCAAGCGAACGTACGCTAGCGACATGTACGCCCTTGCTTGCCTTTTTCTCGAGGTGAGCTCTTCTTTCGATTCGCTTGCTTAGAATAATGACTGTAGCTTCGCCCTGTAGATGCTCACCGGCATGGAGCCCTTTCACGAGATACAACGCGATAGCACGGTGATTCTTCAAGTCATCAGCGGGGGTCGACCAACACGGCCAGAATCATCATCATGTCACGGGATACATCTCCCTGATGATCTATGGGGCATCATGGAGGATTGCTGGAAGCGACAGCCGCATTTTCGTCCTTCTTCGAGAATCGTCTGCGCCAGACTTTCCTCGCTTGCATCTCTTACTCAGGATATTCGCCAAGCACCCCCACCCACGGGCGTTGGATGGGCTTCGTGGATTCCCTTTTCCTTCGCCGCCATGCCTATCAGAGCAGTGCCTTCTATAACCCGTACGCTCGATTTTCCGAGTGGTGATGCTGATCTGCTACGTTTCAACGGATGTCACCGATACAGAATATGGGACTGGCCTCAATGAATCCCGCGGCTTCATCCGTCCGCTGTGCTCATCCCGAAGTGCTTCCAATGGAGTGGCGCTCGGGCAACCACATTAATATTTTTACATCGCCATCGTCAGTCTTTTTCGGCGAGTGGCGATGATGTGTACTCTGTTCGTCGATCGTGCTGATGTAGCGCATCCTCTGGCTGATTCCGGCGCGTTGAGAAGCTCTTTTATTTATTTGTTGTCCCTCTCGTAAACCCCGTGTCAGAATACTTAAGTGTCTCTCGGGATAGCTTTTCTCCTGCCATTACCATAGCTGCGTGGTCTTCGTCTTGATAAGATGTGACCATAACTAAGTATGTCGTAATACGATGTTGATTCAACTCAACTCACCGTCGTGTTCGCTCGTTATGTGCTATATGAGACACTTCGCTATATGATGCTCTCAATATGACTGGAAGGCAGCCTCTCGACGACCGGACATGGCACTCCTCGTTCCAAGAGACAGTGAGCACGTCAACCACTAACTCTACGCATATTGCTCCTGTCGCTCCATGAAAACGAGATGGTACAGACAGGAATTATAGAAGGGCAGTTTCACCCGAATCGCCGGCGTGATCGCTGTGGGCATCGTCGAGTGCTTCTCGCACCTGTCTTGACACCAGCCGCTTTGGGGAGGGCGGGCTTCAGTGCCGTGGAATCCGTCGTTGGTGCGCGCGCAACTACCTTCAGAGTATCGTCCAGATAAATGACCCTTCGGGATCCATCGCGGCATTCAGTCCCCCCGCAGCGTCGCCGCAAGTTCGCTTTTCGCGACGTACCAGGGGGTTGCCAAGGGCTGTGTTTTGCCTGCTTCTCGGGCGGCAGTTGGTGAGCTGCTTGGTGGGAGTGCTGCACTAGGAGCTGGTGCGGCCAGTGCAAACGCGATGATGAAGGAGAGAAGATAGAAGAGGGTAGGTGCCTCATTGTCGTCGTTGCCGATATCGTAGGGCTTGTTGACATAGAAAGATTTCAGACTGTCACGCTTACGTTTCTCCAGGTTGCCATACTAGGTTCATTGCCGGGAAGATAATCCTGCTTATGTGCAACAGATGAATCCATCCATGTGATGGTCCTCCTTTGTCCCTGGGGTTCATTCCGCCTTGATCGCATCGAAGCTCGCCCCGTCGCAATCCATGTACTCTGTTCTGTCTATGACCCGACCGTGCCTTTACAACGGAGGCGTCGCGGGATTGTTAAGGCATGACCATGTGCATGCGGTCGGAACTGAGATCATCACAGTGCGATCGTTCAAGCGGGCGCTCGTTGTATGTGGCTGCATGCTGCGGAATGCGGTCCCTGTCAGTTCTCGGAGTTGGACTTGGTTCCCAGGTCTCGAATCATGGGGGAGCGAGAGGGCACGTCTAGATCCAATCTGCATAGATTACGGACAACAACAATGGATTACAAAGCACGGTTCACTAAGCGATACATGGGATGTATGCGTACCATAACACAGACATGACGACGACGACGAACGTCCCGTGGGACATCTTGCCATTACCGATGTTTTACCTTCTTACTTTGCTTTTCGGTGCCATTTTTGCCAGCGCTCCTCTTGAGCATGCCGCTCGGAGGTTTCCTTGTCATCTGCCCGACCAGGGTTTCGACGTGATGGAGTGCCTTCCGCAGTATGTGCTTCTCTGCTAGCCGGACTATCACTGCCTGTCGCTTGTTCTCTGAAAGCGCAGTAGCCAGAAGCGCCTCGTCATCCTGGAAGATCAGAGTTAATCGTGACAATAGAAAAGAAGATCATTACCCACCTCAATGCTGGTGGGATACTGTTGCAGGCGCTCATGCAGGGCGCCGGTGACGACGTGAAGTATCCGTACGTCGTCCACTTTGCCTTTGGGGAGTTTACCTTTGTCGCGCGTTTTGGTCCACTCAGTCGGAGGGAGAATAAGCAATCGAATCAGCGATACTAGTTCCGAAGGCAACTCTGCGTCGCGGGTAAAGACGAAAACGCTGAAGGGCAGTGGTGAGTCAAGGATTGTAGTCCGGCAAAAGCAGCAACGTACTCATCGCCACCCTCTTCTAGCCACCAATCGATTCTTTCTTCTAGTTCATGTGACTGCTTTTTCGAGTTGACATGATTCAGGACGAGGTCGGCGCGGACTTCGACGATATCAGAAGGGTTCCCCATTCCGTCACCATCGGATAGAGCAAGGAGGTCCACATGACCATATCGACGAAGAAGATCTGAATTAGGTGGATCTCCATAGGTGTTCCACTGGTCGTGTAGCGTTATCCCAGAATACATTTCATATAGTCGAAGGACATACAATTTGCTCGCCCGATGCGATAGGCTTGGTAGTGACCATGCGAAGGTCTCGGGATTCATAGAACAGTTTCGCCTGGACGCAATAAGTCAGATATTCGTAACATGAGCAAGACCCATACATTCTCAGATCCATAACGAGCATTCAGCATGTCAGCCATTGGGACCATAGCGACGTCGCCCGAATCGTCCTCGTCTTCGCTATCTTCCGCATCGCCAAGAACAGGGCCCGCGGCGGGTTCCTCGTCGACATCCATGTTATTTTGTCCCGATTGGGTACCGCCAGCGTCTGATGACACGAAAGAAGCGTCTCCTGCTTCCGCATGTTCAGCCTCCTCTTCGGTTTGGGCGTCTTCTGCATCGTGATCTTCGTCGCCCGACCATTTCTCAACCGTAAAGCACCGCGACAGAATCCGGCTACCCATGATATGAAAACGCCTTAAAGAGTAGGTACTCTCAATTGCTTCCGGCTGAAAGATGTCCGGCCGGCTCCTCACTGTCGGAAGCAGTTTGTTGTGGTATTCCTTTTCCGCTTCATCTTTACCAATCTTGTCTGCATATTGGTGGCGGTGTGAGCGCAGTCCATCATCCCGACAGAACGAATCAAACCTACAGACCTATTATTGCTGTAGCGTTCAGTTCAGATAACTCCTCTTCGCTCCAGAACATCGGGGTAGAGAATACGTCAGGCAACGAGGCTGTCACGGGAACGTCAGTACTGAATACAAGTGAATAGTCAAATAAATGTACCAAGATACTCTGCCCAAAGAGAATCCGGTTGTGCCTCTTCCCACATCATGCAAAGGATCAGCCCTACCCAACCTTTCCCGAGCTCGTACTTTTTCCATTCTTCGGGTATTCTCAAAGGCAAAGACGAGGTACGCGTCGATAACGTGAGAGAACGAGGCAGGGTGAACAACGCATGCCCCTCCTATAGATCACGTCTGTTCATTAGCTCTCGTCAGCTTGCACGACATCTTGGTGGACCAAGCGAGGTGGTACAGCCAATGCATTGAACTCTGCTTACCGGAATATCTCCTAACGCCACCGCTCCACGTCCTCCGTCCGCCGGAAAGACGGTGAAGCCCATGGCTGATTCGTCGATGCTGCCTCCACGACGTTTGAACCACTCTACGAGATCGTCCATACTAACAGCAAGGCTTGGAGCGGATCTGTCTTGAATTGTGGACATGTTCCTGGTTCCTTGTTCGATATATATGCAAAGCTACAAACCGCGAGTCGCGGGAATCGACGAGGGCGGCGTCAAGAGCGATGGCGCTCAAACTTTTGCAAACGCGCATCCGGCAGTCGATAAGGCCGAGTTTCCCACAGTTGTAAGTACGCGCTCGTGACTGTGGGAATACTACTTTCACAGAAACCCCATCCAAGTTCAAGGGTTCCTGGTACGGCACGAGATGGCGCAGGGACTGCATGTCGGATACGGCGCAACAAATTGATGCATGCGTTATCATGCCTGTACGCACAAAGGTATATTAAAGGAGGGTGGGGATTGAAGCGAGTCTCGCTTGCTTATGCGTATGGCAGCAGGTGAGAATACGCTGCCTCACTTGCAAGGATCAAAGTCTGGACATATGCGGCGACTTGATGCGAACTCGACATTAGGTACATATTACGTAGGGACTCACAGAAGCAGGGTCTCTCTCTACGTCCTGAGCTGACATGTCGCAGAACCCTGGGCCAAGCATCCAGAATGCACCCGGCGCGACTTCTTCGCACTTCCGTGAAAATAGAGCGTCGTTGAGATGCTTTCTCTGATGGGTCGGGCTCATCGGTCGTGGCACCCTTGACGCCTCTCATCGAACACTGCTTAACATACGCGACCGTGAGGCACCCAAGGTCTTCTCCGCGGTGAATAGGCTACCGCTCCACACGGCACGGTCGGCGTCTTCGGGAGGCGACTACCCTTGACTTCGTAGCATGATTTGAGCGCATCGCGAACGTCCGCGAGTATCCATCTGTCTCCAGGGCCATATGCAGGGTCGGCCAATGTACCGGGATATCCGTGCACCACACGATGAGAATGGACGGGTTTGCGCTCTGGAGTCCGGCGTGGGGAAAACTCCGGTATCAACACGTTCCTTCGAGCGCAAGAACGCAGGGGGTTCTCGACTGCGCAGGCGGGAGACCTCCAGTTAGTTCCATTGAGCTGCGTATAGTAGTAGAGGCGATCTCACCGCGACGTGTGTCAGGCCTATCCCCTTGAGCAGATGAGATCCCTCGCTCATCGATGCAGCGGCTTGTGTGCTAGTGCCCCTACCTTGGGCGGCCAAATGATACCGCAACTGTTGAGTAGCGCGATTGCATCGAGTCTGATTTAGAGTCGCTCGAAGAAGCCCGTCTGGTGCGCAATTGCCCGCCTATCGATGGTGGAGGCGTACCGCAGATCGTCCGATAGGAAAGGTCACGGGCCCTCACCAGCCCAGTTGGGACATGAAGAGAGATGGAAATCATTGTACGAGCTGGCCGGAGCTCACAAACAATTGCTGAGTGCAGGCTTCGTTGAATGGAGCGAGCTCAAACGCGATCGGACTTGTATTCAACGGCGACATCATCCAGCGCGCGGTCGGAGGCGCATGCCAACAGAGGCGTTGCTGCTCCGCAGGTATATTTGCACGTACCATGTCACCTGTTCGCCCTTCGACGTATCTCGCGAGCTGAAACCGACGCGATCCTCCGGACGGAGTTCGTGGGACAGGGTTATTCCCACCGGGTACTTGACAGCTGGAACGGCCGATGATCCCAGTGTTGCTTCCGAGCTCGATCCCAAGACTGAGCGTACCTACTGTTTACCCAAATTTTACATCACCAGCGCCGCTACGAACCGTAGAATATGATGGGCGGGCCTCCATTGGCTAGCTCCGGGCATTCATCAGCGTTCCATAGGGCCCGCCCAAGATGCCCAGACCCCAGGCGACCCGATTCTTGACGATTAGAGAAGATTTTGCACCCGTCTTTATTCAGCTCCCCCAGGGGCGCGCAAATGGAACGGGCCCGCGTCGCAATCTCGAGAAGCTCGAGACCCGAGAAGTCGGAGGGTGGAGGGTTACAGCACCTGACAGGCTCCGCGGCTGGAGGGGGGTTCGGCGTGGAGCTGTGGACCGCCAATAAGGTTGCAACTCTGAGTTAATGGGTCGTTGGCCGACCGAAGTCTCATATCTACATATTTGGAGAAGTTAGCGCGGATACACGCGATGTTGAGAGCCAATAGACCGGAATAGCCTGTCAACCTATATCGGACTCACTGGAGGTGGATGGTGCCTGGGATCTGAAGGAGAGTTGCGTTTCGGAGGCGGTGCTGACTGTGGAAGACAGTGGGAACCCAGGAAGCTGTGCCCGTTATGTATCTTTCAGCAATAAACGTAGTACAGCATCCGCTTGCATTAATCCATTACAATCCGACGTTTATTCATTATGCATCGTGACACAACCCATCAATGCGATACCGATTATAGGAAGTACTCGGGTAGCTAAGATAATTGAAACAGGTGGTTCATGAGCGATCGAACGCGTACGCAATGACGGGCACATCGGCGTACCTTTCCGCCAGCACTTTGTGCGGCTTGGTGACTAGGACCGTCCCGCTCGTTTTCGGGGGCCGCCTCGAACACGTTGAAGTACATGCTCTCGCCCGGTCCCACCTCCAATATGCTAGCGCTGTTCCCGCAGCGATAGCAATAATTAGGCGCGCTCCATACGGTGCTGAGGTGCTTGTCGAACAATGACGAGTACCCTTCCATGCACAGCTGATGCGCGCGAAGAATATGCGACATGCCATTGGTCTCGAGGAATTTGTGGACGACGCCTGATCCGAAGGTGTACCCGGCTCCTCGGGGAGAAATCGCGAAGTCTTCCTTCTCAGGGTCCGGATCCGACCAGACGAGGTCGGCCATCGCGCCGTCATGGGGGATCTCTAGGAAGACGGAGGGGTCAATTGAGAGTGTCAGGATTAGGTGGTGGACCCTAGAAACGCACCCCGAAATCGATCGACGACCTTGATTTGATCTATTGAATGTATCGAAGGCGACAAGCCGCCGTGGACGCAGAATATTCGGTCGTCGATGACGGCAGAGAGCGTGAGGAAGTCGAACATGTCGGTGAAGTACGTCCAGACGTGTGACGACCCGTACTTGCGCACGCATTCTGTGTAGAAACCGTAGTTCTGACTCGCATGAGTGGTGGCGTCTCGCATGCATGTGGAAGGGGAGGGATGACATACCTGAGTGACCGCACGCGTCTCATGGTTGCCTCTGACGAGCTGGACCCTATCCGGCCACCGCAGTTTCAGTACCGTTAAGAGGGATATTGTCTCCACGCTGAACAGTCCTCTGTCGACGTAGTCGCCTGAGACGATATGTAAGTCCGCGGACGCCAAGTCATAGATCGGCATGTTGCGCACCCAGGAATAGGTAGTTCGTGTGCGGAGGATAACCCCCTATGCGAAATATTTCTATAAGGTCGTAGAACTGGCTTGATCTCTGCTTAGTGCCTGGAGGAGCCAAGGGTAGCATGAGTGCCTACCCATGGATGTCGCCGACGACCGTGATTGGCGCGCTTACGTGCACGACATTTGATTCGCGCATGAGGATTTCCTTCGTCTTCTCGCATATTTCGCGCAAGAGAGCCTCATGTAGGAGCTGTTTTCGGAGTAATTGCTCTATGCAAGCGTCCAGGTCGAACGGCGCCATGACGGAGAGGTGGGCGAGGCGGTGGGAACGATGATGACTCGAGGCCGCCAGGTCGAGCGTTTGATAGCCTCACCGCCACGCGTCCCGGACATCGTCTATCCCACAACGACAAGCGGGCTTGTGCTTGTTACTCAACCACGGCGACCACAGCACTATAGTCATTCAATGCGCCCGCTGATCGTGTCTCATGCCCGTACGATTGTGCCTGAAAACGCGGCAAGCTCCTCAGAGGCGGAATGATTCGTCCAGACAACCCGGTGAGGTTCGGAGCTCCACTCTCGTGTTCACCCTTTGTGATTCGTTGACATTACTGGGGCCACCCCCGGGGCATCGCCCTTGATGCTCGGCAAGGGCATATTCGCTTTGCTCTCGTGAACAGGTTTCCAACACACACCCTGCCGCATCGATACGCAGATGCGTTTGTGATAGCGGGGGGGATGGAAGTGCGTCTCGCGTCTGACCTCCGTCTAGGCTTCTGAGCGCGCCATTCCTGCTGTCTATTGTTCTGCGTTGGGCAAGCTGAACGCGCGCGCAACCGATCTCGCGGCGACCTTGCTCAAGAGCCTAGACACGTCTCTCGGCCAGAGCATGCAGCTCACTAGCGTCCGCCGCAGCGCAGTCTCGCTGACGGCTGTGCGCGCATCCTCCCAACGGAGGCAAACTGCAACGCCGATCTGCCCTGTGAGAAGGCTGGACATCGCTCTAGGGGTTGCGACGCAGTATGTGGGGGACAGAGACTCGAGTGACATCTGCTGTCGGGATCATTCACCGCCCTCTGCGGCGGCGTGCGTGGTTGTTTCGATGACGCCCCCCGGTCATCCTCCGTCGGCGCGGGAAGCCACCAAGTCCGCTCCTTCCCGCCGTCCGCATTGCTAATTAGCAGTCTGGATAGCCGTTACTTGATCGCGCGCCGCTCGCGTGCAGCGATCGACGCCCTGGCGCACGTTTTACAGGCAGGGCAGTGGGCGATGCAGATGGCTATCGCGATCTCCGGGACGCGCGCGACCCATCCGCGTATTGCGGTGTACATATTCGTGAAGGCAAATCGCGCGGGATGATCAGCTCCTGATATCGCAGCGCGCCATGGGATGGTCCGCCGCTAATTCCGGTGGTCTGGGCGACGTTGCGCGTGCCTCCGTCCGGATGCTCCGGAGTGCCTGTCGCGGTGGCGTTCTAAACTCGCGCTCGCGTGGTCGGGCCCCACGCGACGACGTGTCGATGACTGGACCTTGTTCTCCTGCTTTGGCGGGGAAAATTCTCGCTACACGCACAATCCACCGTCGCACTAGCCGCTTTTGATGCGAAGCGTCCAATTTGCCACATCCAGCGTCGTTATATCCAAATATGGATACACCGCTCGCTTCTTCCGGTTTCCGTCTGTCTTCGTCTCTCCCTAAGCTTGGTCGATACCCTGCTGCTGGCCAGCGCCCCGTTTGCCGTATAGGATATCCGTCACCACGCGATGATATCGCGCGCTGATCTCCCCAGCCAGACCTCTCTTCTTTGGCCGATGGCAGCGTGGTCATCGTATCGGCCAAACCTGTCACACCCTCACCCTCGCCCAAACGCATAAAAACTCCAGCATGCCCACCTCCAGTCCTCCAGCAGATTGCGCCTACTCTCGTCTTCGCCAAGCAGCTGCCTTGACCTCATCGTCATGCCTTCCTCTTCTTCGCCGGACAAACAGCCAGGCGGCAGCCCTCCCCGCGCCCAGCTGCCTCCCCGTACCTACCAGTCCTCCGAGCTTCAGCACGCCATCGACGAGTTGCGCGCACCCTCTCCGTATCCCGATGATGCTCAACGCTCTTCCGACAGAACCTATGCCAGCGGCGCCCCGTACAACGTCCCTTCGGCGTCGTCTGCTTTCACGTACACCAGCGGGCCTTCTCCCTCCGTCCAGCTCCGAAGCCAACCCATATCCGTGCCGGGCTACCTTCCAGGTACGTCCCCATCACCTATGACATAGTTCCTGCTCATGCCGAGGATTCGCCCCTCCCACGCAGCCTCGAGCGGCCCACAACTGCGAGCTCTCCCGTTCCAGCATCAGCGTTCGTCAACTCCTCGGCCCTACCCACACATGGGCGCCGGCCAGCAAATGGGCCAATCCAGCTCGAGCGCCGCCCAGCTGATGCCGCACCCGAGCTACACGTCCCATCACCGAGGTCATAGCGTCGATGGCTCCGGCGTTCCGCCCTACCCACCTAACCCGAACGCGGGAGCGTACGGAGCCCATTACCCCCAAGGCACGATCCCGACGCCGTCACAGGTCGTCAGCGCCGGGTATAGGCAGCCTGCAGGCCAGAGTCCTCCGCTTATGCTGCCCCACAATATGGCATCGACGTCTGCGGCTGGCTCGCCTCCTCAGAGCCCGGGCGGTCCGGCGCCGCGCTACACCTGCCCGCGCTGCCCGAAGACGTTCTCTCGCTCGCACGACGTCCAGAGACACATCGATACTGTCCACTCGGCTGCTAGCGGGGCAACCAACCCATGCCCGCATTGTGGCAAGCCGTTCAGTCGCCCGGATTCGCTCAAGGTGCGTTCGTCCTTTCATCTATCGCGGCGATCTTAGAGTATGTTCATTGATTTGTTGATCATCTATCAGCGACACGTCAAAAACGGATGCGAAGACGCCTAGATCGCCTTCGCTCGCGGCTCCAGGTCGAGCCGTTGTCTCTAAATTCCCAGCGGAGTGCAACGCGCGAGCCCGCGAGCCATCCCGTCTCCTAGAAGCTCCGAACTCGGACTCAGAATGGACTTCCTGACTAACCGGACTGTAACGTCTGCGCCTTGTTGTCTTGCTTGATGTGCTTCCATGTCCCGTCTACTGCTGTTCTTCCGTTTCCCCCCGCCTCTAGATCCCGCTGCGCTCGCGGACCGTATGTAACAGTATTGCTAAACCTCTTGATCGTGCCTTTATCCACGTTTGGCACATGCGCTGTACGATAGGACGGTTTCGGATGACTACGCGCTCCGTCGTTTACGGCATTCCTTACGCTTTCGCTGTCGATGAAAGAAGGGGTCATTAATCATGAAAAGGGATCGAAGGGGATACGCGAACTCGGACATGCATCGATGCACTGAGATGCATCACGGACAAAATTAAGCATGCGAACCGGGCCCAGCCACAGTCTCCGCCCTCGCATCGACCCGTTCGAAGGAAGTTCAACGCGCGCTGACAGCTCGTCTTTCAATGTCGCGACCCGCACTTTCGCTCTTACACTCAGACCCCGGCTCGCACGAGCGCTAAGATAACATTTCTATCGTGACATTATATCGGGACAAGGTGTGTATTCCCGTTCTCCTGCCGGGCTTAGAGTGGGTCGAGCAGGCCAGAAAGCCCAGACTCGAGCGCGGGGGAGTACCCGGAGATGGATGGGCCTTCGTGACCAGGGTCCACCCGCCCGCCAGCGGCGACTCCAGCCTGGCACGAACGAGTCTCGGAGGGACGCTGGCGCCGGGGGGCAGTCCGACTTCTCGCTCGGTCATCGCCGTGGATCGAAACCGTAGCCAGCCCCACGGGCGGGGTGTGCGGAGTATGGTGCGGAGTGCGCGGCTGATCATTAGATTGGCTACGCCGATCCCTCCCGCCCCAAGGCGTGGCGTGCCTGGGAGAAGCGCACGGACTTCCCGCCCCCTCCTTGGCCCCTCCTCGCTTTCCCCGCAAAAGCCTGCACAGCAGGAAGTCGGAAGCAGAACGGGGCATATGTCTGGGCCCCCTCCTGTGTGTCCAGGTGGTGGTACTGGGTGTGAACGAGATCGCCTCATTGGTCGGGAATACGCGGACCAATCTACGTTGCATCGCAGAGCGCTGGAGAGTATATTTGGGCGCCACGACCCTTGTAACATCCTCGCAATCAATCCATCGCGGACACTTGTTACAGATGTTCGAGATAAGGTCCTCGATATATATAACCACGCACTCAACCGTTTAATGTGTCCGATTGCGTTAGGTTGCCATTGATGGATCATGGTGAGGGCGGGGGCGATTGCACAGTTGAATGAATGACTTGCGAATGAGACCCATGTGGGGAGAGAAACATCCTGACTCTGCTCTTACCCGATGTGGCGTAGTTGTATTGGCGAAGCGGTCCGGAAGGCGTAGCTGGTCAAGGAGATGTTCAACGGACGTCGATGCTGAAGGCGACGCGTTTGCTGTATGGAAGTGTCATTAATTGACGTATGTAGAGTACAGCCTCTGTCCGCATCGAGCGCCAATGCCGACGCTCGGGTGGGTTGTCCACGACCATCGCGGCGGGCGCGCGCTCTGTCCTCTTCTCATCGTCATTGTAACTATTTGCGTGCACCAGCACCTTAGCAAGCGCTGTAGCATGATGGAAAACGAAGGCGAATCAACAAAGAACTTCCGTACTTTGCCTATTCGGCCGCCAGAAGAGCCCTAGGAAGAGAAAAGGCAGGCGAATCTGGTATTCTGTCCTACCCTTCAGTATGTTCCCGATCTGCCGTGTCTTCTCATCTTGATCCCTGTCAATCGCGATGTAATCGGTGATGCGTATCGGGCGAAGCCTTTCGCGTCGAAGGAGCGTCGCGTTGGCTGTATGCGCTTTGGGCCACGTCCTTTCCACTTTCGCTGTGTTCCCGCTCCTACTCGCCGTACTCGCGCGCGACGAAATCGTTCGCCCATATTGCAGACCAAGATGGCATCAGAAGCTACCGGAAGCCGTCGTCCACGCTGGCGGCTTGGGAGACACGCTTGTCTTGTTTTGCGCACCGGGCATATTTTCACCGAGATGATCCTCGTGCACCGGTTCATGACACCCTGTGGAGGGGCAGTACTCGATCCGGAAGGTGGCCACAAGTGAATTGAAACACCCATCGACCAACAGATGGTTGACCACACGAGTGCGAAGAATCAACCAAGTTCCGGGTGCCTATACTGCAGGAGGATCACACTCTGGATCGTGAAGTCTCGGGCCGATCCGCAACGGCATTGTCTGTCAAGCCTGTCCAAGCACCGGTACCTCGGACAACTAAAGCGGAAGCAAATCTTTTCCGTCGTCATCCCATTCAAACGTATCATGGCCCGGATCCTCAGTCCTCTCAAGCTCCGAGACTGGCGCATGCATGGTGACAGCATCTTGCCTCGAACGCTGAACGATCCTTAACGGACAACACGGCGCATATATTCTGGCACACATCAAGTTGGGCATTTCCTCTACCATTCCCATAGCATTTGGAGCAAACTCTTGCAGAAGCCCTTGCCGGTGATTGCGATGCTCCGACTCTCCCAAGCTTAGAAGTTGCTGCGTGCGTCTCCTCAAGACAGCACTTTTTACGACAGACATCATGGCGGTCCGGACGCTCGTCCGGCGGTGGATATCATCACAGACTCTTCGATGTCCGTTGAACGAAGATGACAGCCTACGTGGCGACGACTCTGATCGTGCAATTTTGAGCGACGATCGGCACGGCGTAGCATCGTATACCAACGTTACGTCTAGCAAGCGTCTCAAGGAACGGCGCGCCAAACAGAGGGAGCACACAGCGCGAGATCTGATCCGGGTTTCATGCCACCGCCGGTCGGACCGACTACCAATACACTTTCGATTCGCGGATCGCTCGAGACTCGTACGATCGTCGCACTTACCAAGTGCGCTGCCAAATACCGATCGCACCCGCGTACAGGTGCAAGAATCGGGGACTAAGCGTGAATAGGAAGTATAGCATACGACAGGCAACCATCGAGCAGGCGCATCGCATACGCAACGGGGCTATGCATACATAATATCGAATAAGTTCATCCTAGCGTTCTTTGCGTTGTCCGCGGAACCCGGAGTGCATGCAACAGCCTATTCAATGCAACGAAGGTCTTCCCCCGCCGGGACTTCGCAGCGCAGAGTACAGCGAGCAGGCACAATACGAATACGATCCTGAGCGTGCCCCGCCAGCGCGTCCACCAGAGGAGCGCGAGTGTGCGCAGCAGATCGCGTTTTCGCCGCCGTCCGTGTCGTAGGTAAGGGACCGACGAAGAGTGATGGTGAGCGCGGATCGGGGGTCGCGCCGGTGATCGCGCATCGGACGAAGACGACGAGAAGGGGTATGAAAATGTCACGGGGTAGCCCCAGAATGGGTTGAGCACCGAGGTGGGAATGAGTGAGGGTATGCGATGCAGATATCGATCTTGTTCCATGGTTTGGATATGATTTGAGGGTTCGTCTTCGGAAGTGCAGGAGCTATCCGGTGGAGTGGGCTCGTTGGATGATTCGGCAGGGGTATCCGGTTTGACGAAGTCTAAGAGGGGGTTCTCAAGCTCGAGGAGGGAAGCCAAGTCGCCCCCATAATCTGCAAACGGGTGATCAACTCATTCAGCAATCGATGGTACGAGGAATGCTGCCCACCTTGTGGTAATGCAGCACACCCGAAGTAAGAGAGTAACTCTTTAGTGGACGGGAAGAATATTCTGGATAAAGCAGCTTCAGGGAGCAAGCGCCTGGAAGTGATATCTGTCAGATCACTGTTCGATGGTGGGAAGCACGACAAAACCACTTACTTCACGATGCTCCACATACCGGAGTGTGCCCAAGTGTGATTCACCATGCAAACCACACCGAACATGCCCGGATACCTCGGCGATACCTCGCGTGTACAATATGAGAGCATTTCCGGGTTCTATAGGCGAGCATATGTCAGCGATGCAACCCATGCAAGTGGTTCGCGCAAGGCGCGAGGAGCGAGAACGCACATACAAAGTTTCTCATTGTTGCACCCGACACGTCTATCAGCACGGCATACTGCAGAACTGGCCAGTCTCCATCGCCAATAGCGGCGTTCAGCTGAAGAAGGTTGATCCGGAGGCATTCCATCCACCAGAGCACTTCGTCCCTCAGGGTGTTTCCGCTAGGTAGCGGATCACGAGACCTGAGGACGATGATGGGGCGCCCTTGAGGGTCTTTGCATGTTGAAGGGAGGAGACGGAAGAAGGGCTTTATCTCTGGACCAGGTCGACGCGGTACGGTGGACAGTCGCCATCTCAACGTGTCTTCGAGGACTTTGGAGGTCGGGTCTGTTTCGAACGAGTTCCGCTGTCAATGAATTAGGTTACATTTCGTTGTATGCAGAATCGAACTCACCCGAAGTATACGAAAGATGGTTTCTGTGGGTCATGTGGTAGTTAAGACAAGGAGCTACAGATATGGAACGGAACCTACGTCGGTCGTCTATCCACTCCTGCGCCCATTGCACATCCTCTTGGGAAATGTCTAGTTCAGCTGCTAGCGAAGGCAGATACTGGTTCCGTAGCTCGCTCTGCAGCTGCAGAACATCCGCTGAGTAGCTGTTGTACTCCGATTGTAGGAGCTCGTAGTTCTTCGCGAGCGTCGCCTCCATCAATCAAGCATGAGCTAGAGACGTTTCCGCAAGGATTTGGTGCTTTAGGTGAGGCTAGGGCCCTCGAAAGCGTTGAGGCATGTAGGAGACGGCCGTCTCCGTCTGCAGTGTGTGTTGCGCGCAAGGGACATGGCGAAGTGAACGTGATTTACGGTGCGCCACAGCCCTTGGTCCGATATAATCGGAGGTTCAGACTTCGGCTATATTTTTGCATGTGCAAGCACTTGGCAAGCACTCATGACCTCTCCTGACTCGTGCAAGCTTGTTTTGGTTTGATATTCCTGTGTGCTGTTACCCTGAGTTATTACGGCAGTGATTCCAATATACTGTGATCAGCGGACTAGCGGAAGTCGATGCTCCGAGGATCTGGGGATGTCGTTTACACGATATCCCACAAGGACTATAGCATGTTGTGCTCCCGATACTCTCCAGAAACATGATTATTGGCTGTCCGCCACTCTTGTGAACCCGAACAGTGGCCAACGAAACGTATCGAGACGACGATTCTTCCTCTCCCGACTCGCGACTACCAATCGCACGCCGCAACGAGCATCTGGGCGATTCTCTCCAACCCGACCTGGTCCTCCTCCGTGAACCCCGCGAGAGCTAGGCAATCCAGATCGAGGACGCCAAGGTTTACGTCTTCTTCGCCGTCCCGCTTCAGGATGAGTGGTACCACGATCTCGCTCTTCGTCTCGCCATCGCAGGCGATGTGCCCGGGGAATGCCTCGACGTCGGGAACGAGGACGGTTCTTCTCTGGACATAAGCGGTGGCGCACACTCCGCGGGCTCTCTCAGGAGGAGATACTTGGATGAATTGGCAAGCCGGTTTACCACAGAACGGGGCCAGCAGAAGTTGCTTTGGGGTGTTGGTGCGTTCGGACGTGGCGGTGAAGAGCGGAGTAGGGAACAACGTGGATATGAGGTAAAATCCTGACGAACTGAATGAGTGTGACAACATGGAAAAAGGCGACGTAAGGAACTGACCACACCAGTTCACCGCTCGCTCATCGGCACCAAAATGCAGAGGGAAGGCAAGCAACGAGGCATATATCAACGACGCCGCGTTGGACAAGTTGGTGACCTGCAACCTGTTTTCAGACTTTCCTAACGAATCGTGATAAGACTGACTTACCCAATTCCTCTGGCCCTCTAGGAGAGCAGACAGTTGTAGATGAACGTGGCTCCAGAAGTCCGCCTTCGACTGAATGTGAGGCGGCACAAGCGCAGAATCCGCGTGAGGCATCGTTTATATCACGTATTGTCAGGTAGTGTGCTCCTAGGTCGTCGACCTGAGTGAAGCGGAGACAAGTCCATCACGTCGGGACGATGGATGGTCGTGAAAATGGCCACAACGAGCGAAAAGATGGCGAAATTCGCATTTTCCAACGCCGGCAAATTCCGGCAGTCAGTGTGGCAGTGTAAAGATTAGATAACCCCGATCACTACAGCCCCAGGCGCGCTGATCAGATCTGGGTCCTGCGCCATCAGCATACGACCAGCAGTCCCTGCCCTCTTGCCAGCACACCCACCTTACTGTTCACGACCATCCTCACGAAATGGCTCCGTATCTCGAAACTGTTAAGGTACCGCGAGCACCCGTTCATCATCTGAACGTGCTCTGATGGGACATGTAGTCCTTCGCCACAGTCGAAGTGACCGACGCTGGCGTCGACACTCTACAGTTCCTCGAGGCCACGAACGGTCTTATTGGCATGTTCGGTGAGTCACATTAGCTTCAATGAATGATAGTACCTGATCAGATGCACTAGATCTGCTGGGGTCCGCTGCCTTCTCGGCTGTCCAGTCCGACTTGAAGGGCAATGTTACGGTGCGCCTGTCAGATTCGTCTTGCAAGCTGCAAAAGGCCTGAGCAAGATCTACAAGAAAATCCGCGCCCGATACGATGCTGCTCCCGCCCAATCGGCCACGCTCGAGGAGCTCGTGAAGAACGAGCAAGGCGAGAAGAAGCGCACCGCGACGGAGGGCCTGATGTGGCTCCTCCGTGGGCTCTCCTTCACCTGCAAGGCGCTCCAGAACGCGCAAGCGAACAAGAGCGAGGAGCTCTCGGCCGCGTTCACCAAGTCGTACGAGGTCACGCTCAAGAAGTTCCACAACTTCGTCGTGAAGGGCATCTTCAGCGTCGCCATGAAGGCGTGCCCGTACCGCGCGACTTTCTACGAGAAGCTCGCGGCGGACCCCGCGGGCGGCCCGTCCGTCCCGTCGGACAAGCTCGATGCGGAGCTGAACCAGTGGTTGGACGCGCTTTCGTCGATCGTGACCAGGCTGGAGACGTTCTACGAGAAGGGCGGCTACGGCAAGGGCTTCTGAGGATAACGATCACGGCTCTGGATGTTGTCATAGTTGCGTGAAGATTATGCTTGGGTGCATGCCAGTCAGCATGAGTGGACTAGCATCTAGCATGCTGTATGTTGTGAGAGTGGACCGATGGATCGAGGATGCGTGAGATCCCAGATAAGGCATGGCTGCGCGTCATGATATTCGCGATGACTTGAAGCGATGCAACTACTGCGCGTCCGGCGGCGGTATAACGACCACTAAGTTGCCTTCGAACCACGACCATACCCTCTCGGACTTCCTCCAATTCGGACTGTGACCATCCACCAACCCGAATAATCGACAAGCATGACTTCCGACGATGGTGCCCACGAACCTGCAGGAACCACAGCACCGGACCCCGATGTGACTAGCCATGCCGCAGCAACCCAGGCCTCAGAGCCCTCCACGACGACAAGCCCCCCGATTCCCTCCACGATGACAGGATTGCCCACCATTGCAGAGTCTGCGCCTACCCCGCCCCCGCCGTCGACAAGCCACGGCAATCCCTTTGGCGATGACCATGCAGTCAACTCTGCCCCGACACCTGCTTTGCCACCACGTCCTCAGGAGGATCCACGCATCACGAATCTCAAGGGCATGTTCCCGGACTTTGATACGGAGACTCTGTAAGATTTCGCCACCTAGATGACGCGAGCCGGGCTCATGGTCGCCGTAGGCAAGCCATTCTCCAGTCCGTGAACTGGGACGAAGCTCGTGCGATCGATACGCTTCTAGGCATGAGCGATCCGGACTTTAGGCCTCAAGAGCAGCCAACGGCTCCCGTAAGTCCTTCGCTGGGCCAACTCTTAGGCGGTCAAACTCATAACATCGCGTCGCATCGCAGCGCTCGCAAACCGACTTGGACGAGGAATTCGCACGCCGTCTTATGCTCGAGGAACAGCAGCAACATGAAGCCGCGTGGGCCGCTCAACAAGGCGACGGAGAACACACCTGGCAAGCTGCGCAACCCGCTCAGGGGCAGCAATGGCAACGCCGGGAGGACAGACGAAGGCGGGATTCCTACGACGACGGCGCGTGGGAGCGACCGGAGAGGCAGGCTGGCCAGGGCGATTTCGCGGAGATCCAAGAGCAGTTCAGCAAGATCGCGGAGAGTATGTCGTTCCATTACTATCTCTGCTTGTCGTCGTGCTGAGCTTGCATCATAGCGGGCAAGAAGACCTTCAACTCGCTGTTCAACAAGGTTAAAGCCAAGATCAACGAGTATGACACCGGACGGTAAGTGTAGATATGGGCTCGGGACTGACGCGAAGCTAACGAGGTCATTCTCCGTCGCAGACCAGGCCAAGGATCGGGTCAGGACGCTGCCCCGAACTGGGGTACAGCCGGTACGGACCAGCAGTACCAGCCTCCGGCGCAACCTCCAGCAGGCCAACAGTCGTACTATGCGCCTTCCTCTGCTTCACCTCCCTCGGCTCCTGTGCATGGTTACGATCTTGGTCCAGGAAGCCCTCCACGATCTGGTGTTGCGCCAAGCAGCGCTCCCGGAGCCAAACTCGGACCCGGTAGCCCCCCGAGGAGCGTCTCATCGCCTTCCAACGACGCTTCACGCCCGCCGACCAGCACGGGCCCTCCTACTTCCAGCATCGATCCCAGTACGAGTTCCTCGTTGCTCTGGCGTAGCGTTCATGCCTAACTTTTGGTCTGCTCTACAGCCAAGATCGGCTTACTCCCGAAGAAACCGGTTTCGCTGCTGCGCGATCCGCAATCGCAGCGGCAACCAACCGAAGATGACGATGATATGTACGCTTCACCTGAAGAACCGGACGCGAACACCGCGAAGCCCTCGACGCACGATGCATAGTCACTTGAAGGTGGGAATGAAATGTCGTTCGAGTGATAAGGCGACTGGATTGATTAAGAACGATAAGTGTTACGCTATGCTTGATGTTGCATGATATGGGCCAGGGCTGCTCCTCGTTTGTAGCGTAGGAAACGTGTACGCGACGTCTGGTTAATGAAGTGTTGTATGTACAAGATGATATCCATGACTCGACATCAGGTCACCCGAGACGGACGATGCTTAGCTGTGAGCGACGTCCGCAGCTATGACCGCGATACATCATGCGCCTCGCCCACTGCACACGAAGCCTTGGACATGAATATGGTCGTGCCTGCATGCGCAAGAGACAAAGCTGCAATGAGAGTTGCTCATATCAGTCATGCGCAGTTGCTTTCTTCCTCTTCCATCTTCCATGCGCGTTCCAGATACTCCATGAAACTTGTTCACAGTTAATCAAGTGGTAGTATGCTCAGCCTCGAGAAACCCAGAAAACATGTGAATGATGCGTGCATGTATGTCACTTGTTTAACATTGTATGAATAGACTGTGTGGTCTTAATCAAGGACCTGTAGGGCACCTCGCAAGCTATGAACGAGGGGGAACACTGGAGTACATTTGGACTCCACGCCTGTTGTGAATCGAAGGTAATATGCCGTGAAGCTGCGCGACTCATCTCCCCGGTGCCCGGGTGAAGCGTCTGTGCGCTACTGCGCATACCTCCTCAGAGACATGATTGCAGTCGAACTACAATACGCCATAATCTCGCGTCGATGTTTGAGCCCGGCACTGAACGATACGTCAAGTCGCGAACGAGTGTGCGGTCAGATTCCGTGATCGCTAAAGTACAAACTTGTTGATGCCTTTTATCTGCGATTGGCAGCGGCAGCTCCAGCGGCGGCACCTCCGCCGATGAGACCACCTATTGCTGCCCATGTAGCCGGTAAGGCTCCCCCCATCGCAACGCTTTGGCAAGCTGCGAAGAGCGAGCCAGCGGCGACGTTGCCGATACCTGCTTGAATACCTGCGGCGATGCCCCCTACGTAGATGTAGCATACGCTGAGCACATGGCTGACAGATAGGACGACAATGGGATCACATACCAGCTACCGGACCAGCTGCGCCGAAGCCGACCAGACCGAGCGCAGCCGGAGCAACGATTGGCGCCAGGAGGACGCCTCCTACCACGCCTGCGGCGGCGAGTCCGGCAATCTGCAACTTGTTTTTCTTTGACAGTGGCTCGCTGACGTCGTGCATGGAATGTCAGCATCAAAAGCAGAATGGCGCGTGAGTGTTACTCACCCGCACTTTTCACATTTCTCTTCGGTTTCGGATAGGCGCTGGAAGCAGACTGTGTGATACTTGAGCCCGCAGGTAGTCAGGATCAAGCTTCGGTCGGCCGCAATGAAGTCTATCAGGCAGCACGCGCATCGAGCATGCTCATCATCTGTAGAGGCGCCGTTCGTGAGATGGGCCAGTACACAGAAACAGTCTCAATCACCTTGGACGGGGAAAGTGATGTGGTGGGGCGGAGTCATTGAGTAATCTGGAGAACGAGTCGAAACTCATAAACGGGGCGATTGTTATTATATAGAAGTCCACACGTGTTAACTTCGCGGTTCGAGGGTAGTGCGGGAGAACCTAGTCAGGCATTGCTCCTTCCAGTTAAGTGTCGACAGGGGGTCGTTCTTACAACATCATACACTACGGTGTTATGCCTTGCGTCGTTCACTTCAAGGTTTTTCGAAGCATTGAAAGTCATGACGGACTTCGCATTCGACAGTAAACTGACTATCGAGATGATGTATAGCTGCCGTTATTCCTGGGCGCAAAACCACAAGTTGGGCGCGTTGGCGGCTCAGCGTGATGCTGTCCAGTTAGTTGTCAAACATGCATTAATTTGCTGAATCGGGTGTCAAGATTTGAGAAGGTCCATAGAGGGAGTGCAAGATTGTGACACTGACCGCAATGCGACGCCGGCGCCCCATACTCAACGCTGAACATGCACGTGGACAGCAACGGATGGGCACCCCGTCGATGGCTGATCTCTCTATTCCTGAAACAAATCGGTCTTTCTCCGTTGACTCCTCCGTGAGTTCAAATCACGCCAGATATCAGGCGGACTTGCATGTGGCTGGCGTTTCCAAGAAATCTATATCGATCTTTCAGTCCACCACGACCAAGAGGAGGCCAGCTCACGACATACAAGCCTGCAACGGGCCCAATTGCAACTTCTGGACATCTGTACTGTAATATAAGGATGGCTTCTTCAAGCTACCAGTCATCTTGGACACCCCCTACGCGTCGCACGGAAGAACCTGTCTTGAAAGTTTACAACTCGTTGACTAGGTCGAAGGTATACTAGCTACTCTTTCCCTCGCTTGAAAGGTGACCAAGCCCGATCCTGCAGACTGATTTCATACCCGAAGATGGACGACACGTCAAATGGTATAACTGCGGGCCAACAGTATACGACTCGTCACATATGGGGCACGCGAGGTGGGGTTCTTCTTATACTCCTTTGGGAGCCTTGCGACTGACTCAGGTTGCAGGAACTATGTCACTCAGGACGTCCTGCGGAGGATAATGACGGACTACTTTGGATACGACGTCCATTTCGTCATGAATGTGACCGACATAGACGACAAAGTGCGTGCGTTCACTGGCATGCGTCTGTGAAGCACATCTCATCCTCTGCCCTAGATCATCCTACGTGCCCGACAGAATCACCTCATCGAACAGCTGCGCGAAAGAACGACAGTTCTCACTCCTTCTTTCGTCAACGAAACCCGCGAATCATGGGCTGCGTTCATTCTCTCCAAGAAATTATCCAAGGGTTTGCCAGCGGAGGATCTCCCGGCGCCTGGGAAAGAAGCCGAATCCTGGCCGTCGCTCGTACAGAGGTTCAATGACAAGAACTGGCGCGCCGAAGGGCTCAAACGCGACGAGAAGTTCGAGATGAACTTCAATTCTGCCGTGAGTCCTGGATGTATGCGCGATCGACCTCGGTTATAGCTTACGTGCAGTAGAACAGGACGTTCAACGCGATCGCTGCTGCAGAGTCTGCACTCAAGTCCGGTGATACGAGCCAAGAGGCCGCGCATCGCCTGATCGAGGAGGCAAAGGATGTCCTGGCGATTTCCTTGGACCAGCAGGTACGTAGTCCAGTCTTCACCCGAGTCTTCGACCACTCCCTTATCGTATGTTGAATAGTACGGTGCATCTGTCACCGATCCGTCCATCTTCCGCAAACTCGCAGCGTACTGGGAGGATCAATTCTTCAACGACATGCGCCGCCTGCGTGTCCGAGACCCCGACACTCTCACCCGCGTCTCCGAGTACGTTCCCGAGAATGTCGCGTTCGTGGAGAAGATCATCCAGAACGGCTACGCCTACGAGGCTGACGGGAGCGTCTGGTTCGACGTCGAAGCATTTGACGGCAAGAACGGCCACGAGTACGCGAAGATCGAGCCATGGAGCAAAGGCAACGAAGATCTGCGGGCGGAGGGCGAAGGTTCGTTTCATAGCCAGCATATATACATGCCCGTCGTGACGAGATAACCCACCCACTTGCTTTATCCAGGCGCGCTGTCCGTGAAATCCAAGACGAAGTCCAAAGCGGACTTTGCATTGTGGAAATCGTCGAAACCCGGCGAGCCGTCGTGGCCGTCGCCGTGGGGCCCCGGCCGGCCGGGCTGGCACCTGGAATGCTCCGTCATGGCCAGCGCCGTCCTGGGACCGAAGATCGACATTCACTCTGGAGGCATAGATCTCGCGTTCCCACATCATGACAACGAGCTCGCGCAATCCGAGGTCAGCTGGCCCTCTGCTTCTCCCGGGCCTGCTGCATAGCATGGGAGTTAACCTTTTGCCATTGGACCAGGCCTACCATAACTGCGGGTCATGGGTCAATTACTTTTTGCACACGGGTCATCTGCACATCGAGGGTCTGAAGATGAGCAAGTCCCTGAAGAATTTCATCACCATTGACGTACGTGTCGTGTGGGGGTATGCCGTCGGCTGAGGAGGTGGGAGCTCACGCGCCTTGCGAACGCAGGAAATCCTGCAACGTTACAGCGCGCGTCAGCTTCGTCTGGCGTTCCTCACCCAACAATGGAACGCCAAAGTCGATTTCTCGGAGGCGAGCATGTCCGGCGAAGTGAAAACCATCGAAGCGGCGTTCAACGTCTGTATATCATCTCCGTTTCTGGGTCTTGCTCGCGTTTGCTCACCGGAGCGTTCCAGAACTTCTTCACAAACGTGAAAGCGTTGATTGATCAGGCGCGGGCTCGCGGACCGAAGGTCGATTCCCACCACGGGTATGAGACGCCTGAGCGCGAACTGGTGGACAGGTGATGAGTCTTCCAGCTCCCAGATTGGGTATATGCTGACATGAGGTCGGTGGAGCTAGTTTACATCAGAGTCAGACTGCGTTCCGCGCTGCACTGTGCGACTCGTTCAACACGCCGGAGGCGCTCAACGTGCTTCGCGAGCTCGTCTCCAAGACGAATATATACATCAATGCGCGCGGCGCTGCAAACGTGAACGTGACTGTTATCGAAAACAACGCAAGATGGGTGGGCGACATGCTGCGGATGTTCGGCCTTGGCGAAGGTGAACGTCGCGAGCTCGGTTGGGGCCAGGAACGGCCCGAGGGCGAGGAGAATGTCAACGTATGTCGCGAACCCGATCCTCCCTCGGCCTCTGATCTCATAACATCCAATGAACAGCGAGAGGAGATCCTGATGCCCTACTTGCGCACCTTGTCCTCGTTCCGAGACAGCGTCCGTCAGGTGGCCATCGCAAACCGCGAGAACGCACTGAAGGAGATCTTGACCCTTTGCGACAAGCTCCGCGACAACGATCTGGTCCCCTTGGGTGTAGCTCTCGACGATCAGGATGGTATGCACGTAAACCGTGTCCCGGGCCTCCGTTTCCCAGGCTGATCGCAGATCCTTGCTCGTAGATGGGAAGGCGCTCGTCAAACTCGTGAATCCGGCGGATCTCATCCGGGCCCGTGACGAGAAGCGTGCAGCGCAAGAAGCAAAGGCCGCCGAGAAAGCTGCACGGGCCGAGGCCGAGCGTCGGAAGCGGATCGCCCGGCTCGAGAAGGGGCGGGTCCCTCCCGAAGAAATGTTCAAGCCCCCGAACGTGCCGGAGGGGACGTATGGCAGCTGGGACGACAAGGGCATACCGCTTACGGACGGCGAGGGGAAGGAGCTCAGCAAGAATGCTATCAAGAAGGCGACGAAGGATTGGGGAAATCAGAAGAAGTTACATGAGGAGTGGACGGTCTGGCAGAAGGAGCAGGGCGGGGCGTAAGTGCGGCATGTCGGGTAATAACGGATAATCGCGATTCGAAGGTATCGCTCGTGAGTACTCGGTTTCGTAGGTGACACGATGAGCTATTGAGTACAAATCGCCCTCGCACGAGACGCAGATACGCATAATTGAGTGACTCGGCGATAAGCGTTATGTCCGCTCGACTCCTTGTCCCCGAACGATGCATGCGGCAACAGAGTACCAGCCTAAGGGTGCTTGCATCGTCGCCTGCACGACGAGCAGCGATTGTGATATTGACGGCACTGACGGCACGCAATACCTACCGAAGCCTGGGAGAAAAAGAAGCGCGAGGAAGGAGGTAGCGATTGTCCGGTGAGACTGCTGGCCTTTCATTCAGTTCCTTCAGAGATCCCGTACGATATCGCACCCGCGATCACTTCGGCCTGCAGGGTAAGACGGGGCCAATTAGTGAGATATCGCGTAGATAAACGAAACGCTCGCGATCTGGAGCGTCGAGACGGACGAAAATCGCTTATCGGTACGTATATGCTTACCGGTCTAATTACTGTTACTAGCTCAGGTTCAAGCACGTTGTTCTGATGGCGCCGAGCAGAATGCCCCGCAGATGCGAGGTGGACAGGGCCCGCAGCTGCAGGGGATATTATGTAGAAGAGGCCCGAAGTCGATTGCAGCACAGTCATGGGCATTTCTGATGTCCCTGGACGTTTGAACGCTGTTCTGTGCCCGGATCACAGTCGGATGCGGCCGGCTAGCGGTACTCCAGGGCAAAACACCTGGCTTAAAGTTCCCTACGGTCATTGCTAAGCTTGCGTTGCATGTGTTTGATTGTGCGGGTACTGTGAACGGCCGGTGGCCGAGGAGACTGCAGGGTCGCGCAGGATCGTTCCATCAGAGGCACACCACTAGAGGAAGGATCTTGGACGGGTTGTGGATATGAAGGTTGCAGCTTGTGCAGGTCATGGCACAAGAACCGAGGACATTACTGAAACATGATACACAGGCACCGTGAACCAAGCGCGTGTTATCGACGCATGCCGCGCTAACCCGAATGTCCGGGATCGACCCTGCACTGAGGAGAAGTGCGCGAAGATGCTGCTCTGTTACAGCCCAAGTATGCAAGCCTGCCAGATTGCTTTAAGAACACATGTCTTCCTCCTTTCGATGAACGAGCACCCGGTAAAACAGCGTATGTTGCTGTCGCTCAGGTGTCTGGTGGTCGGTGTTCCGAGGTTGTCCGAGTCGAGCACGTAAGCAACCGACCATCTTATCTTGAGGGTGGCTTAGAAGCTGCTTCCCGTTTTCCGGTAACCTAAAAAGGTAGGTAGGTAGGTAGGTAGGTTTATTACCGGGCCCGGTCCCTAAAGAGGAACAGCCCTACACTCCGGTGTTTCGCGGCTTTCGTGGACCACGTAAGCCGACACACCGCTACGCACCGGGTGGAAAGTACCGCTAGATGACCGGAGGGTTTGGTCAGCCTAGCTGCGAGGCTGTATATCCCAACGCGACTTCGAACTTTTGCGCTTTTTGACTTCTCAAGACGAGTGATCCCCTACAGGCGTAACGGGGACGATCCCGCATGTTGGACGATCCGTAGCTTGGGATGACGCAGCCCGGCATCTATGAGTGATCGCAGTCGGGGTTGCTGACGAAGTATAGCGTGAGTGGAACGACTCGAGGGTTGAGCGCTAGCGCACGGATGGCGCCGCCTTCCCGGGAACCGTTCTGCGTGATATCACAGCGTAGTTTCAAGCGTCCGAGGGAAGCAGACACGCGAAGGGAGGTGGCTGCGCGTTCGGCCTCGGAGACGGAGTTGAAGTGCGAGGTGGTGGGCGGCCGACGATTCGGAGGCAGTCGCCTCTCGATGGTTCGGTAGAGGCGCGCATGCTTGCACCTTTGCAAGGTTCGAGGGGCGGACTTGAGGTTTCCGTAGTGTTCATTCCAGCTCGCCTGATCGCGGCGGGCTCCCCCAAACGATCCTGTCTGTTCCACGTTAAAGCATCCGGTGCTAAAAAGACGAGCATCCCGATCGCATATATATCGCTGTTCGGAGCTATCCGAGGCAGAATATACGCGGGGCACGATTTTCGATCGGCTGGAGGGGGCTTGGGCGTTTTGTATCCACGTTTTTGCCTCCCTGGTCGAGTAGCACACAGTACACAGAACCTTGGCGTTCCGCGCCTTTGGATGGATGTTGCGATGACCTGGATCGGCCGCCGCAGGCACTGCGCCACATTATTTCGTCTTTTTTTTGTCGTTCAGGGATCACTTCCTTCGAAGGGGCGCCGCGCCCACCCACCCCATGCGAGCCAGTACCGCACCACCCTGACCGCGTCGATCGGGAGGGGTGGCAGTTATGTATTTCTAGTCCGAGGGGGCGTGGGCCGCCACGACACCACTCGAAAAAAAAGGAAGAACGTAAGGACCCCGAGGATCAAGGTCTGATCGAGCGTGTGGTTCGTGGAGGGGACCGGCCAGCGAACTTTGGCGTTTCGGTAAAGTAGGGAATTTCGGATTTGGCGGTGGGGGTTACCGTAGTTCACGGTGAACGCCGGTAAAGTTAGTGCGCGTAACTAGTGGCTTAGAAAACTTCCGACGGCGGGAAGGAAACGGGGTTTTTTTTGGGGGGTTATGACCGAGGGTCAGGCGCGCGCGTATATGCCATATAGTCCATGTAGTCACGTCGCACGGACGTGAGCGCGGTCGGCGTGGTCGACCGTTTTCGAGTGGGTATATGCGCGTCGGTGTGGGCGCGACGCCGTCGCGACGGGTATGTCAGAACGTTAACGCTACCCCACATGCCGCGTTTGCGCAGCGTGAGCGTGAGTCGGGCCATCTCGCGATCGTGAGCGTTCGCGATGATGAGAGCGTCCGCACCCCCCTTCGCGAAGCCCGAACCCGCTCGCGAACTGTATGCGGCAGCGTGCGGTGGCAGTAAACGTAACTGGAGCCAAAAGGTGGGGGGTGGTGCGTCACGAAATCGGGGAGGGTTCGGTCGAGGGCCTAGACCCTAGGTATTGATGGCAAGCGCCGCGTCGGCCTGGGAGGCGGATCCCTCGGGAAAGTGACGGCACCTGAGAACGCGAACCGACTGGGGGGATCGCGACGATCGGTCGACCGAGATGAAGGAGAAAGAGAGTAAGAGAAGAGGGATAATGGGGGAAGAATGTCGAGATGAAATGATTGTGAGCGATGGGATTATCGCTGTGCACAGCCACGCGTACGGAACGCCGATGACGACAGACGATATGTTGCGGGACCGGGTTGTACGTACACGTAAAGTATGTAGTGTACACACAACGAGAAGACACAGGTCCCAACAAAAACATTCGATCACACCGTTGGCCTTGTCATCGCTGTTGAGGGACCCGGCATCTAAATCGTTGGCGGTGGTGCGAAGCGCCCGGGATCAGATCACGCCTTCACGGCAGGCCTGCAGAGTCATGCCACTTAGCCGAGGGGGCAATCGTTCTTTTTCCAGGAAACACAATTGATTGAAGCCCCTGCAACTCCGACCTTGCGATTCGGATTGCCACCGGGCGATACGCGTACTTGCTGGCAATATGCAAAGGACATGGCTGAACACGTGCTGGATGCGGCGGATCGCCGGTATGCTGCAGTCGCCAAGTGCGGTGGTCGCTGATTTGCCTTTATGGTTTCCGCAAAATAAGGGACGTGGGTCCGGCGCAGGGGAACCTTCCACCGCAAGAAGCCCGAGCTAGGATATATCTGGCCGGCCGTGCACGCTCACTCCCGAATCGGTGCCCTCCCAGCCCCGGGTTCTAATACCCCCGCCCACCGGCCAGCCTCCCGCCTTAAGAGCACCCTGCCCGCCCACATATCGGCTTTCCCTTTTCCTTCGCCACCCTGTCTTCGTCCCGCCGTCACCGAACGACGACCGATGCAGCGCCCGACGTGCGTCGACACCCGCGTGCGGTCCACGAAGGACGCGCAGAAGATCATCTACGCCGCCTATCTCGGCCGCCTCCCCGCCGCCCACCGCCGCCTCGACGGCGAGGAGCGCGCCGCCCTGCGCTCCGGCCACAGCTACGCCTGGGAGGAAAAGCCGAACAACCAGCACACCGGCCAGGGCATGGAGCGCTGGACGGAGGGCAAGAAGTGGGGTCCCTCGCGAGTGCGCGATGTGAGTCCGATCTCTGCCTTTCCCCTTTCCTTCCTTCAGACGAAATGGATCCGGTATCGCTGACTTGGCAGTTTGCCGTCGTCTAGGACTTTCTGTTTTACTACGAGCAGTGGGTTTCCCCCTCGAACCTCCCACCCGGCGCGTTCGTACTCTCCTCCCTCTCGCGCCCGATCGGCACGTTAGATCCGAGCCAGAACGAGCTGACGACCGGTTGTTGCTGCCCTCAAGGTCGAAAGATCCGCCCCGCGGCTGGGAAGGTCTCACGAAGCAGACGTACTCCATCCAGATGAAGACGCCTCAAGGCGAGCGCAAATGGCACCTCAGTGCGTATTTCCCATCTCGCGCCGATCCAACCTTGATCGGTCCTACTCCGCACGATAACCGGCTGACCTCTTCCTCTTCTTCCCACTTCTCTCTACTCCCCCCGGAACATCGTTCATTTCCGACCCCGCCGAATTTCAAAACGAACCCCCCCCTCCCCTTCCCCACGCAAAGATACGTATTTCACGCAAGCGACGCTCGACGCGCTCGGCACGATCGACGACATCCCCGGCGTCGGCGACCTCGTCATCCCCGAAGGCTTCATGTTCAGCACGAAGAAGAGCAACAAAAAGTCGGAGAGCAAGGCCGCGGCGCAGGGCAAGGCGCCCTCGGACGCGAAGGGGGCCGTCTCCGCCGCCGGCCCGTCGCGGACCTACGCCGCATATCCAGCGCCAGCCAAGCAGCAGCAACCACCCGTCGCGGGTCCCTCAACGCTGCCTTCGACACTGTCGATACCGGGACCGTCTACGCTGCCAATACCGGGCCCAGCGCCGTCTTCATCCCCCGTCTCGCCCACCTCTCCCACTTCCGCCGGCGGGCCCATGCTCTCGCCCAGCTCCGCCAGCCAATTCACGATGCCGCACCACATGGGCGCGCTCTCCCTCTCCTCCGGCGCGATACCGATACCGATGCCGATGCCTCCCCCTCCCTTCCCCCACCTCGACCCTCCGCACTTCCCGATCCACACGGTACCCGCACACCACGACCCCTCCCTCGCGCACTACGTCTACCCGGGCGGCGGCGTCGGCCTCTCCGACCCCGCGCTCGTCGCATCACCCGCATCGCTCTCCCCGTCGGCGCTGCAAGCGCAGCAGCACGTCCTCCGGCGCGCGTCGATCGACTCCTCCGCCTCGCGCGCCGGCTCCCTCTCCGGCTCCGGCTCGTCCTCCGACGACTCCGGCTACGCCTCGGTCGGCCTCAGCACGCCCTCCTCGACCTACTCCGCCCCGCGCGCGCTCCTGTCCCCCGCCCTCGGCGTCGGCGTGGGCGGCGGCGCGTTCCACAGCCCTCTGCCCTACCCGCCCGCACGCTCGTCCTCCTCCTCGCTCGCGCACGCCCTGGGCATCGCCGAGACCCCCGGCCCACCCGTCCCCGTCCCCGGCCCCGGCCCGTCCTCGTCCCCGTCGGACCGCAAGGGCCGGGACAAGACCCTCGCGCCGCTCTCGACGCTCAGGCGGCCGCACCCGTACAAGCGCGAGCCATTGGACGACAAGACGCTGCGCAAGCTCGAGACCCGCGGCGCGCAGTAAAGATTTCGTTCCGTGCTTTCTTCTTCCCCCCCCCCCCGCGAGCTCCCTTGAGCCGATATACCGCGCACGGCTTTTTATCAGGGCTTCCGTTCAGCGCCGGCGCCAGCGCGTTGTCACGGAATACAACTCGCTGTTTGGGTTCGGGAACGCGGAGGCGGGACGCAGGGGCGCGCATATTTTCCCTCGCGGATATTCCAGGCCGGGGTCTTCTCGAAAGCACCCCCCCCCCCCCGGCGGGTTTTCCCGGTAGGGCCCGGCGAGCGGGGTTTAAGCTCTCTAATAACCCTCGCCGGCGCTTCTCAGATCTCGCAGTCTCTTTTTTTTTCCGTCTCGAGTGTTGTGAAGCCGCCAGCCATGGCTCCGTGCACAGCTCCCGTGCCCCCCCCCCCCCGGCGCTCCCGTCTCCAAGAAGGGTGCTGCGACGCACCGTTCAATCGGCACCCTCTCTATTACGCTTTTTCTTCCACGACCTTGCCTTTCAAGCGTGCATCAGCGGCAGGCCCGGTCCTTCGCGGCTTTTGTCGAGGACCCCCGCGCCCGCACCCATCATCTCGCTGCGCCGGTGGTAGCGTGATACCGCCGTGGATGGCGAGTTCTTCGAACCCGCGAACGGCTTCCATGGCACGATCAATACACGGGACTCGCGTCGGGCGTGCCAGCACAAGACCGACCGCGCCCCCTAACGCTTATAGCGTATATGCGCTCCCTCCTGCCCGCCCGCTCGCTCGCTGGTTTCTGCGCACTAGGATGTGGGGGGGGAGGGGGGGGGGATTATCCCTCTCTCCTCCCCCTGTATCAATGCCCCCCCCGGGCCCCCGCTCGGTTCACACTCGCAGTCACAATGTAACATGTATTTGTTCGGGAAACCCCTCCCAAGGCAAAAGAAAGACGAACTCGATACCCCCCCCCACACACACACACACGCACACACGCACGCACCTCCCTCATTTCCCAGAGGGATGACTACGATCCCTGCGACGAAGGGATCGTTGATGAGAACGTGAAAGGAAGATGGGAAAGCCACGGACCCGGGGAGATGGAAAATGGGAAATGGGACAGTGTGGATGGAAATGGAATGGAATAGGATTGGATTGGATGGATGGATGGATGGATGGATGGATGGGAAACGCTCCTGCGACCCGTTGTTCGGATAATCGGCACGAGAAGCTGGTGGGATGTATTTCGTACGTACGAGAAAGACAGGACGTGAAAGTGCTATCTACTATGTATGTTAGTACTCACGTTTGTTGTGTGTATATGAAGAGAAGAGGAAGAGGAAAGGCAAAGCGTGGCATACTATGGATGTAAGATGGAATTTCGATTGCATTGATGGTTCAAAATCGTCAATTCTTTGCTAATTTACCCAGAAACTAGATCATATGTAGCCAAAACCTTGCAGCAACTGTCTGTTAAACCTCAAATATTTTAGTACGTGGGATGCCTTGCCAGAACGATGCCGGTAGGACGTGTTGTTGACTCTGCAGATTGCACAATGGGTCCCTCAAGGCCGAGAAGCCGAGGCCGCGACCTTCTGCTTTGTCAGCATTTGAAGCGGAGCTTCGATTGCATTCATGGCACACCTCCGCCAGTAATCCTTGCATAGCAAGCATGAAGCTGCACATATCACGTATCGGGATAGACAGACGTATCTTCTGTGTAGTATAGAGTATACTTGAATATACTCAGACACTTTTAGCAACTCCGATCCCTTGAGTCGAGCCGTGTCTTCATGCGAGAGCATGCTTGGATGGTTCCCCAAACGACGTTGCGCATTTTCTGTAGGCCCATCCCCTAATGCTGCGCTCTGTTCCTGTGGCAAGTATAATTAGATAGTTCTGTATATGCGCTCAATTCAATCTGTAGGGCGTAGAATGAGAGGGAGCCACGCAGTGACGAGATTTCAGACCGATTTCATTGATGGTACACTATTGCATTTATGGTTAATCGATAGTACATACTCATGCGCGACAAGACGTCTTGCCGTGCGCCACCATCGCGATCGGTTCGCGGAGCAACCAGGAACGCAGAAAGTGAGACCGCTGGTCTGTTGTCTGATCGCCGAAGATCGCGCGCGGTATACTCCCGCACTTTCGGCGGCGAATAGGTACGCTATCGGAAAGCCGGGTGGGGTGCGGAAATCGACAGGATTTTACGACTACAGTATCACTGCTCGCACGCTGGCATGGTGAAAGGCAAGCTGTGTGCATGTGCCCGTGTCTAACTTTTTTTGGGCTACGATAATACATATAGATTTATACAACAAGAAAGCAGTCGTCGATATTCAATACATTTGGTGGGTATGCGAGAGACCGTCCAGCTGGTCCTGGTCCTGAAGTCCACGAGAGAGCGAAAGCGATACATAGCAAGCAACGAAAGCGATCGATTTTTGATGATAACGATGACGGTCGATTGGGGGGGGGGGGGGCACAAAACGACGGGTAGAAGGGATGGGGTTAGGAGAAGCGGGATGCGGGTGGCAAGTTCACGTCACGTCATAGCGAGCGGAAAGGACATGAGCGCGCGCTCATCGAGCGGATGGCGGCGCACGTGGGGCTGGACGAGCGTGTCGTCCTCTAGGGGCGGGAGCCGGTGGTCGTTACGCGCGTTCTTGGGCGGCTCGTGCCAGGCGAGCGGAAGCGGAAGCGGGTGAGGCAGGCCAAATGTGGCCGCGGACATCGGCGGTGAGCGGCGCCAACTGGCGGGAGGGGGGAGATCCCTGCTCGGCGGGTACGGGCTCGGCGTCGACTCGGTCGAGGACGGCGGGGACGGGATGGGCACCACCGCCGGGTAGCCGTGCGGGGAGGGGTAGCTGAAAGAGTTCGGGTGGTGGTGGTAAGGCGGCGGGGAGTAGTGAGGGTCGGAGAAGGGCGGCCAGACGGGCGGGGGCGCTGGCCCGGGCTCGGAAGGCGCGTGGCGCGAACGTGGGCCCTTTGGCAGGCGGGCGCGGGTGTATTTGCCAGGGGGGACGCGGAGCCCGCGCAGTTCAGGGAAGTCTTGGACCGTTTTCAATCCATGCAGCGAACCGTCGGAAGTGTATGCAACTGCAATGCGGTTACGAGAAAGAGCGTTAGGTTAGGGCTGGATGAAACGCCGGAGTCGCGTGTGGGACAGGCGATGCTCACTCATGTGCCACTTGCGGCGCCCATCTCGGGTCACGACATAGGCGGAGTACGTTTGTTTGATGAGCCGTTCGCGGGTGTTGACGCGCAGCCCACTATCAAAGTAATCAGTGGGTCAGTAAGGATGGAAAAACGTGGCGGTATATGAGAAACCCACATTGCGTCCTCGGCGAAGGAGGCCTCGATTATGGATTCCCTCTCTTTGTAAAATAGGAAATCCTGATAGGAAATTCAGAACCAACCAGCAGTAGCAGGACAGGTGAAACCTACGTCTTTTGTCCTGGATGGACCCCATGACCGGCCGTCCGTCCATCGTTCAATACCAACCTTGGATCGGGGTTTAATGTCGTCGCCCCTGAAGATCACCATGAGGCAGAACATACTGTGTTCGATTCACGTTCCCTACGTGGTTGATGAGCACGAAAGAAGTTTAGAAGTGCAGATGATGTACGTACTGCCAAACGAAGACATGGCCGGACCTGAGACCGCGACGTTCCATGCCGTCCAGACGCTTGGTGATCATCGGGAAGATCCCCTCATGCACGGCGTGGAAGATGAGGTGCGCATCGAGCGGGGTACGGACGTGCATCAAGGTGCATGTCGGGGGCTGCATGTTACGGGATATCGGGCGCTGGGCTATGAAGCCGACTATGCCAGATAGTGAGGGAGAGGAGAAGGGGCAGACCAGATGGGGGTATGGGCGCCTGCGATGGGGGGGAGCTGCAGCCGTGCCTTTAAAGCAGTCACAGAAAGGCAGTCTTTGATAAGAATCCGAGGAGGATGCACGGCCGGGAAAGAAGCAGGCCCGTCGTCCGAGTTTGATGGCATAACGGTTAGGTGTACGAACATGGATCCCTGAGCGGGAACCGCGGCTGTGGAAGATTTGTATGTACCGGAATGAAGGGCAAAGCCACGCCCATGCATGGGGAAATGGGCGAACCCCGACTATACTCGTGTTCGTGACTCTGATAGGATGGCGATCTAAATCGGTACGTGCACAGCACCGTGCCGCTGGGTGTGCCGCCATGGTCCTGAGAACGCCATTGCTGGCAAAGTCTCGAATGCCCTTCTGCCCCGCGATCTCATGGACCATCTTCTCAAATTTGACCGCAGTGCACGTATCGAGAATCCGTCGCAAAACTCTGATCACCCCGTCGCGATTGGTAGGTTATTGTTGAATCTTCCATGGGCGGTCACGTTCTGCGGACACTGATTGCATCATCTCCGGTATCTTCGAACCTCGGCGAGCGCTCGTAGCAGCATGGGGCCTCCAATTGTCACGCGAAGGCAGCATCGAGGATTCTGGCCAATGTGCTCATTCTCCGCCCGCGTCGGACGTGTCGCGGGGATGCTGCAGGTGATCGGCGCGGGAAATGTATGTAGTCGATGGGCAGCGAGACTAGCCCGAAGGTAGAATAGGGCGAAATGTCGAAATGACACGGGGACGTACCAAGCTTTCGGAATGGTGGCTGGCTGCGATTGGCACAGGAGGGGGTCCCCGTTTGCAGTGATGAACAGCTCGAAGCGTTGGCGTGCGGAAATGCGGCCCACTAATAGGCCTCTGGAACAAAGGTCTCCGCTGGGTTTGCCCGCTGAGCTGGTGAGGGAGGGACCCATCGAGTTCTTCGATCTCATCGTATTCTGGTATGCTTCTCCTGCTGATATCGAAGCCCTCGCGGGTAGATAGTCCTTAACAAGTCAGAGACTCCGGCAACTAACCATATCGTCCCTCCTCCAGCAGCGAAGCATGCATCGCCCCACAGGACTCGAGTTTCGGCGGCCTTCGTGATAGCGTTTCGTTCGTTTTCTCCGTGTCTCGCATGAAGGTCCGATGGGTGACGATGGTACTCTCGTTGGTTGATCGGGTCAATGACCGGGAATGGATGAAGTGTCCGCGCGATCCCCTCCTTCTTCTCTCGGGAGCTATACATCCAACCTTGAGCTTGATTTTGCGAAAGCAGCACAACGACGTCCAGATGTTCACAGAGACAACGACTAACTATAGCATCCTTTGGACGACAGTACAGCCATCAGTTGACGCTCTGATGGAATGAACGGATGGCGAAGGCAGTGCTGAAAGCTTTGAAGCTGAGCGACGCGTGACTATCCTGGCCTTCTGCAACGGGCACGTCGGACGACCATGGCCAGTGCAAGTGAGTTCTTACGTCCATTATCAGCATAATAATGTTCAATATATGAAGTTACCAAAAACTCGTATAGACTATCATCTACTGATTCCGCTATCAGGCAAGCAACAAGTACCCATGGCGCTCCACGTATTTCACTCGACTTCCTGGGAAGGGGAAGGGGTTACTACATCCTATCAATGGGCACCAATTACTAGCGCTACGGCCAAGTCGCCGCCATGGCACTCTGGTAATCTGTCTAGAGCGAGCCGTAAGTGTGCCACGATCTGACACGAGCTGCTGATGGCCAACCCACTAACATCCCGTCGGCTTCCGGCAATTAGTAGAATTACCTCGCAGGCTCTGAACACGTCTATTTTGAGAAGAATCATGCCGGAGCTATCACCCATGGAGGTGAAGCTGGGTACGCATCTCGTGGTCTCCCTGTGGTTGGACAAGCCATCACGGAGTTCATCCCGAAATTCGAGTCGCTCAGCGCGCACAAAGATGACAGTGCTTCTCCCCGAAAACCGAAGGTACGGATGGTTGACAGATCTGAGAACGACGATAACTTCGAAGTATGGTGTTTCAAAGGACGTCTACTCCAGCGAATCGTCCGCCGCAGCTATCTCTCGGCGCAGCGAACACGTCCGACAGATCCAGTGACATGCGCAGCGGAATCCGCTTCTCCGTCCACTGCGCCGCTGCATGAATGAAGCTCGTTCCAGCATATCCGCTTATGCTGATGGTTAACAACTACACAGAATATCTACCACGACGCCCTCGGGAGCTCTCGGTCTTTTCTTACACCACGCAAATGCCGCTCCCATGGAGACCCGCACCACCATCTCACCGCTCCTTTCGGTACTACCAAACAGAGGTGTGTTGCTTCACTCCGCGCTGCATCGATCATTGAGCGCGAACAGCATTCGCAGAACACTGGGTACCATCGCAGACGTGGTGATCGTCCCGCGCTTGACCTTGGCGCATCAGTGGAGTCGGCCGCCGCTAACACTGGATCACATCCGTCGGTGACGGCCGAGGCAACATCGAGGTATGTGTGCGGAAATGTCCCTATGTTTTTGAACAGGATATGACCTTTCTATCTTTGGCTGATTGGGGGTTATCCGTCCTCCGTTCTTCTATAATTGGAATGCACGTTTTCGCCACGTCCGCATTTCGGGCCATGTTTACTCAACGAGCCGGCGCTTGCTGACGCAACTAGCCCCAGACTTCCACCTGGAACTTGTATGTAGTACTTCCGTACACGTACGTTGGAGTGCGTCGGCACTAGTCACCGCATGCACCGATCATCGATCCATGGCAGTCAAGAGCGGTCGGGTGCAATAAAGCATAGCGCCCTGCCTCCATCTCTTCCTTATCTCCCCCGCAACTCCCTCTTCAAGCTGAACGTGGCGAGCACACGTACATATCGGCTCGGATTACAGTGCCGTGAGGATGCGAGAATCGTACGTAACCCGCAGCAGGCTTGGGCGGTGAGCTTTGTTTTTGGTGCTGATTGAGTCATCCCTAAAATAACCGTTTGTTCTCAGGTCGAAGGCATCAGGGGCATGCAGATCACTCTGCTACCCTGCTACCCCTACCTTTCCTCGGCGTCCAAAGTGGAGACCTTGTTGGCTGTGTAGTCGATTGCAGCCTAGCTGTCGCGTGTATCTCATACACCACGCAGCCACTCCCGGTCGATCGCGACAGGAACCGAGACGCTCCACCATCCGCGCCCGTGTACGCTTTCATCTTATCACAGGTGCGCATGTGGCTATTGACATCACCAGTTGGTTGACGATGTGAATCAGCCAAAGACCCGTGATGAGCTTACCCTCGGCACGCCGTTGACCGTTTTCTCTTAGTTCCCCTGCCGGGACTGCTTACTTGTTGGTGGCGGGTAACACGCGGCCGCGTCGTGTCTCCTTCGACGACGTCCACGCAAACCGGCCGGAGTCGGACAGAGCTACCACGCTTGGCGCATATGGACGATGACCATCCGTCGGCTCGGCATTTATCTGGCGGGAGGAAGGGTGGGCAATCGCGCGCGCATCACATCGAGGAAATGCGCGCATTGGTATAGGATGGGGAAGCCGTCTGCAAGAGGAGGTTGACACAATATGTGTATGTTCGGCACCCTTCTTTTCCCGACGATTTCTCCCGCAGATGACGGGGAAGCATTGCCATCCCAAGGTTTGCATGTTCGCCGTTGGCGCGTTGACGTCTGGAGAACGCAGCGGACGGGCTCATGTCAGCATACGGTTTAGCGAATTTGAACGATCCATCATGTATGCCCCCACTACGGTGAGTATGTAGGAAGGTCACCCTAATCGCAATCGCCTTGGTTCGCGGATGACCGCCCGCGGCGCGGGTCCGAACGTTCGGCACCACACCGTTCCAGCAGATCGTCTTCGCCCGACGAGAATAGTACGTCGAAGCGAGCTGCTGACCATTTTCTCCGATGTGTGCTACTGACGGCGAGATCTGTCAGCAATGGACAGAGGCATCAGATCCCTGTTCAAGGTCGTGCGGGACTCGACGAAGCGTGATTTTTTGAGTTCTCCCCCAGTGACCTTTCCCGTATGCATCCCATGCACAGCCTTATGATGGTGCTTCGTGAACGCGTCCGTCTTTAGAGAAGCGGGCTGGGAACGTACGGTATTGCCACATCTCGCGACCGGGTCGGCCCGTCAAAAGCGCCGTACGATCATCTCTCCGCACAGTTAATTTCTGGTCTTGCATCGCGCGCCGCGCGGTCAAAGACGCCCCAACATGTCGAAGATCGCCCTAACTGGTGTTCGAAGAGCAGCAATCACCGCTCGAGAGAAGCTCGCGACCGTTCGGGGGCCCCAGTTGCAGCGACCAAGTAGCAGCAGAGATATGGTCCAACGCGGCAGTGTTTGTCATACACGGTAGTCGATTGGGCATTGCATATGAAGAAGACGGACCCGGGTGCAATCTCGTGTATACGCGGGCCGTCCGATCTCCGAATGCAGTCCCGGCTTCGCAGCCTAAGACGGTCGTCGCGGCCTACGTGCCATGGCGTTCTCTCGGTCAATAGCTTTGCATACGTGCCGACAATGCAAGAACCTGAGGAGGGGTCCGTATCGCATGGCGCTGTCTGGTGTCGTTGATGATCGATATTCCGAACGGAAGTCGAGTAAGAGATCACTTCCCTGTCCAACGACCTCTCGTAACTCCTCCATCAGGTTAGAATTACCGGCGGCGTACGATGTGCCAGGCCATTGCTGCCTAAACAAACGGACCAACTCCACTGATAGCACCATCCTTGTATCATCAGCGCCGACCAACAGTGACACTGGTATGATGCAAGCGTATTTTGTGCCATCATGAGGTAGTAGTAGTAGGTATACGATATGTGATTTGATTGACGGCTATACGAGGCTATGCGATATATCTACAAGTTGAATATCATGGTTGTTGTGAACTGCTGTAAGAAAGGAGATAGCTGGCGAGTGGAATCCACGAGGAGAAATTTCTTGGCGTGCATAATAGATAGTGACGAGCCTCAAGGGAGATGAGCCACAAGGGAGATGAGCCACAAATGAGCCACAAGGGAGATGATAAAAAGTATTTTTTCATGTATGGTCCGTGGAACGCAAGACAACCAGCAATCCGTGCTGATTCAGTCCGTTAAGCCGCCTCCTCCAGACGGGAGACGAATCAGAGGTTTTACCACTCGAATTCCCTATCAAGTCATGAGCGATACAAAAAAAGACCCGCCGCTTCATTTGGGCTCACCCAGTGCACTTGGCGAATAGATAGTCTTTGTTGTTGACATGGATCATTCCATCCTTGAGAACACACTTCCATTTGTTCTTCACGCGCGCCACCTATGATGCATCAGATACCAATCGGACGACCAGAATAGGCGAGGTGACTGCCACGAACCTTGTCATACGTGCAGAACACGATGTCGCCAACGGCCTGCCCGCCCTCCTCATTGTCGTCTTCGTTCTCGGTGTCTGAGTCGTCCAGATCACTATTGATAGCCTCCGGATCATTTTCCTCCGTCGACTGAGACTGTGAGGGCTGCGGTAGCGAGGGATGCGCTGATCGAGGCGCATAAGACGGCGGCGATGCAGAACCAGAGCCAGAAGAGGAAGAAGGTCCATCGGTTTGTGGTATGCGCGGTTGTGATGGTGGGGACGGCTGTGCTGCGGCGTACGGGTGCGCGCCTGGAGCGGGTGGGCTCTGGCCGTTCGCCGGCCCCGCTGGGAACGAGAGTACGCTCTGCGAACTCGCCACCGGTGCTGGTTGTCGGGGCGTCTGCGGCACAGTGATTTGCGGGCCCGGGAGCGCCGGGAGGGTGTAGTGAGGCATGCCTGGAGGTTGCTGCAGGATGTAACGGTTGTCCACCGGCTCCGCCTTGATCTGCGGACCAGCGGTAGGCGGAGGTGGTGCCACATATCCGTTGTAGTGCTGCTGGGGCTGCATGTGCATGGCGTGCGGCGGGTAGTGCGCCGCGGGGGCCTGCATCGCGTGCGCGGGGTCAAAGTCGGCGACACCAGACTGGATGACTTTCGTCTCCCATTTCTGGAGTAACGCCATTGGGACAACACGCCACGATTAACGGAGAAGGGGATCGTTTGCTTACGCTTTGCAGCTCAGCGAGCACTTCCTCGCCAACGCCGTACTCGTCAAATTCAGGCTTTATCGCCGCGATCACATCGTCGATGACGGCACGGTAGATCGTGGGCTCAAGTAGGACACCTCGTCACCGCGTGCACTAGGGCAGCATAGACGTTGAAGGTCGGCTCACCACAATTTTATTGGACATTTCGGTCGATTTTTGGGAAAATTGACCGCCGCACCGACCGGAGGTGGGATGGTAGTGGCAGGAAGCAAGAGGCCTTGCTTATAAAGGGTGTCGTCTGCAACGGCAACCCCATGATTCCCACGCACGGTCCTCAGCCACCGACACTCCCGTGCCCTGCCGAGCAAGCTAGCGCTGTCTCGACTCTCCTACTACGAATGCACACCATTCAACCTCACTCGGAGTGTAACAGGCCTGGCGAACACCATTTCACGCCATCAGTCTGTTGGTTTGAATCTGAAATCCATGCTTGTGACGCAATGCTTCATGTTATCGTGCTGCCATTCAGTTTACAGGTGTTATGCTCCGGAGGCTCCACAATCAATCACATTCATATCAAACTCGCAGGCCCACGGACAAACATGCCTGTCGCGAAGCTGCATGGCTATGACGCTTTCCTGCGCAGGAACTGCACTTACCCCACTGACGTCGTACGCTGAACGCGTATAAGTATACCCTTCGCCGGTCCCATACTTACTCTCAACGTTCACCTTCGACTCCACATCTCACCACAGAGTACGTACTTCATGCATATAGACACTGCGCAACGTTCTGCGTCCTGATTCTGGATTGCACAGATGCCGCTTTTCCGCCGATCTCCATCACCCCCACCCCAGCCCCAGAAGAGCGGCTTTTTCGGCCGCAAACGCTCGAACTCGCCCGAGTCGCCCTCTCGTAGTTCTACTGGCAGCCGTCTTCTGGGTCGTAACGGTGATCCATCCATAAACGCCGCTCGCCAGAAGGTCTCCGATGCGGAGGCTGCTGAACGAGAGGCCGATAAGGCTCTGATGGCTGCCCGTGCTTCCGTGCGAGAAGCCAAACAGCAGGTAAAGAACCTCGAGAAAGAGGCTGAGGAAGAGTAAGCTGCTTCGTCACATACAATTGTCGCACGTCTGATACTGTCTTACAGGGCACGACGCGCTCAGCGGAAGTCCGAGCAGACGAAAGCCCTCAGCAAGAGCTCAAACCGCCTCGGCCGTCATGGCTGAACATCCCCGTTTATGTTCAGCGTTTACGACCCTGCGCCGACGACTTCGGATGCTTCTATTTTACCTGTAACATCATATATACCCATCAAGGACTCTCTAATAGCAACGATGCCTTCGAGAATGCAGATCGCTATCTGAATTTGCGACGCTCATGGTTTTCGAACACGTATGTTTCAAACGCAAACGATGGACCAAGTGCCGTAATAGGGCAATTTTTGATCACCGGCAACGTCGATAACGTCGGCTGCTTACACAACCACTGGCCAACCTGTGAAGAAAAATAAGGGGTTACAAGACTGTCCTCCGAGGTTTGGGGCTTGAGCAACGTACCGGAGCTGAAGTCGAGTTTGTTGATGCCGAGCTGTGAAACGGATGAGAATTAGGACGAGCAGACATAGATCGTCCGCTTTGACGTAGTTACTCACCCAGCTGCCAGTGGACGTGTAGTAGTGGTAGACCATAATAGGACCATCGGTGTCTGTGAAGACGTCTTGACCACCAGGACCGTAGATCTGTGCAGGCGCGCCATGAATACGTTTACGCCGCGGAACTGATGGTAGCTCACCGAGTCGTGCGTCTCAAGGACGAGCGTGCCGCCTCCAGAGAGCAAAGAAACACCGCTGGCGTCCGTGTACGTGCCCGAGACGGACGTCGAGCGGCCAACACGGATGTTGTAAGTGCTGTGCACACGTACGTTAAGGTGACATCATGCGAAGGATAGAGGTAATTATAACGGCATACCTGGACGTGCCGTCGCAGCACTTATCCCAACTCGTGAAGAGATAGAAGTACGAGCCGTACTGATAGATAACGGATGCCTTATATGAAACAAGAGGTTCGTTGGCCCGCGTTTCACCATAGGAAGAGGGTACAAACGCACCTCGATAGCTCCGCCGTTAGCAGTCCGCTCGGCGATGGACGTGATGGTAGAGGACTCGAGCGCGCCAGTGGAGTCGATCTGAACGAGCTTGATACCGGTCCAGAAGGAGCCTAGGGAGAGGTACCACGAGCCGCCGGTGGAGATGAAGAGGTTCGGGTCGATGGCATTGTAGTTGGAGCTCGAGCTCGTGGAGATGACCAAGCCCTCATCCGTCCAGGAGCCTGGCGCGCCGGTGGTGGATTCCGCGTAGAAGATGCTGTACCTCCGTCAGTCGAGGGCGACCGGTCGTTTAGATCAGCATGCTTACGCGGAGTTCTGCGAGCCGAAAGTGGAGGCCTGAGAAGAAGCGATTTTAGTGTTAGCATACTCTTGGTGAATGACGTGCAACTCATGAGCTTACCGCGTAGAAAAGGCGGAACTTGCTGTTCACGTATTGACAATCGGGAGCCCAAAGAGCGCTGTATCACAATGAGTTCAGAGATAGTTATATTGAGATGCTATGTCGCATACCCGTTGGTGGTTCCGGTGTACGTGTCTGAACGGGGGTCAACCAAGCTCGTAGCAGAATCGTGAAAGCTTACTGGTGGCACTCGGAGCGCCGTTGGGCCAGACAACGCCCACATAGGTCCAAGCAGTCCTGTCAGTGGATGTCCTGATCTCGATGCCCGTTCCCGTAGCTGTGAAAATGCCATCCGGTTAAGTACGTAGCAGGTGACTCGACTGCGTATATCGCACAGAAGAGCCAGTATTTGCCGCTCCCGTCCTTGCAGATGGCTGCCGAAAGTTGAGCTGTATGTTACATCTATTCGCGGATGCACATACTGGGATCGTGGACAGCAGTGTCCCCGGTCACTACACCAGGGCCCACATAGGCCTTGGCCAAACCCGCGAGTATCAGCGAAGATAGGACAGCGAGGAATCGCATAGCCGTTGGGGTTTCCACAAGAGGAGACTGGAAGCAACTGGTTGGGCAATGTTACACCTTTTATTGGTAGATACTCGGAAGCATTGAGTAACATCATAGGAGAAGTGATAATGTACCGAAGTTTCAGCATGCAACCTATCTTCTGATCAAGCGGAGCCGGGGCCAAGCTCGGGAGTTGCCCGGCCCGCGAGAACGTTCAAGGCATACTGCTTGACGACCAAGGGGAAGGTGGGATGAGCACATAGCCATGTAGAGTCGCCAGATGTCACGGAAGCAGAACTTGTGATCACGGAGAAGACATTCTTGAGCTTTCAGTCGGGCCGCCGGATGCAGCGGAGATCACTGCGAAGATCAAGATGAATACATCATAAGCATTTCCGATGCTACCAATCAAGCAGGCACAATCGAACAGGATCGCCCAGGTGGACTTTCAGTTGTGCCAGTCCTTTAGAGAAGCACAGGCTTGGTGCTCCGACAACATACGGAGAGGTTGTAAGGTTGACGGGACATATCCCGATGTAAAGCGGACTCTGTAGTGGCCCCGGGCGCCTGCTTCGTCTTGCACCACGACGGAGGCGGCAGCATTCGGGATAAGCTAGGCGTGTCGACACGGACCGAGAAGAAGCTTGACGGACGAGAGTAGGGAAGGTCGCGTGATCGCTGGGAGTATCACGCGGCTCTCCCTTTCTGAAGAGAATCAGTAGACTGAGCGAGTGGACTGTGAAATGGCGCGAGCAGCGTGGTCATTGTGGTCCCGTCGGTAATATGGCTTTATTTCATCGAAGACGATGCCAAGTTCAGAGCAAACATTGTAAGTCAAACATCAAGACAACATTCGGCAGAGCGAGCTCCGGTCACGTGGCAGCTCACCTCAGGGCGGGCTGGCAAGGGCTGACATCTGGCTGCGCGGTAGCTGCATGACGCCTCTGTTACTGTCCTCGACAACGAGCCGCCACACTATGCGCTCGGTTGGTCTGGTTCTGCTCTTGACCTCCTTATCACGCGCCGCGCGTGTATACCTCAGCCCGGCGCCAGTGCTCCCTCCAGCTTTGTCTGCAAGTGATGCAAGCTCGGTTCTTTCCTACCAATTCGGTCTGGAGTTCCTAGACCAGCAACCCGCGCATGACCAGAACGGTGGTCAAGAGATACTTGCAGCACTTTCCGGCGCAAGTCGCTTTGTGGGCCAAGGGCAAAAGAACGGCCTTCTCCTGACGTTGGACGAGGCGGATGCGCAAGGTCTGTGCTAGTACATCATACATTCTTGGGTCCGGGCTGAACTTGCAATCTGCCATGCAGCAGTGATACCGTCATCACTTGAACGGACGTTTGTTGTAGAAGGTCTCCCGGATACCAGCTCCGCGGACTCACTCGTACAGTCCTACCTTCGCCGGGCGCAGCACGCATATAGCCACATCTTCGCCTACGTCGCCGCACCGACACAAAGGGTCACAAGATTACTTGACCCGTTCTCCGTCTCTTCTACATCCGCAGAGTCCTTTATCACCGAACTATCCTCGATCGTGAACTTCATCGAGTCGGACGACATCTCGTCGGACAAATTCGGCGCCTTCGAGCTCAACAGCCTTAGAGAAATCGCTAAGGAGCACGGAAGCGACAGCGAACAGTACAAGCTCGCAGCAGAAGCTGCTCGTGGATCTATCCAAAGCGCGCTCGCGAAGGACGACCTCAACCTCGCTGTGATCGTCTACGATCGTTCCTCGCCGGCGGGCAGCAGCATACAGAGAAAGAGGGCCGTCGCCGCTCACAAAGCTCGCCAAACGCAGTCGCCGCTACCACCCTCATCATCTTCGGCGCCCGTTGGGTCCGTCAGCCGTTGCTTCGACACCGCCGATGCCTGCGGAAACGCGACCAACTCGTGCTCCGGCCATGGCCAATGCCTGCAAACGACTTCTGCCGGCCGGGCCTGTTTCGTGTGTGCGTGCGGGCAGACCAAGAACGAGAAGGGGAAGGTCGAGTCATGGGCTGGCGAATCCTGTGAGCGTAAGGACATCAGCGGGTCAGTCTCTGTCTGTGATGCGCTGCCTTTGTGCGATTTTTGACGCGAACATCTATTATACTCTAGCCCATTTGCTCTGATAGCTGGGACAACGATTGCCCTCCTGCTGATGATCATCGGTTCGGTGTCGCTCTTGTCCTCAATTGGTGGTCAGGAACTCCCAGGGACGTTGACTGGTGGAGTAGCAGGCTCGAAGCGAGACTAGTAGTCTTAGTAGCAAGGACAAGACTTGTACAGGTACACGACTCCTATTAATTGTCATGGGGTTGCATCCACCGGCGACTCGGCTAAGTGCTTAGATATAGACCGACATAGCATGTGGAGGTGCGGGAACGTGTACTCACGATGCCTCACCGCGAATACGTCAGATTCGTTTACCTTGACAGGTGAACTGACAGCCTCATGTGCTTCAGGACGCGCATACAAAGTTGATGTGCCGCGTTGGACTGGGCCATCGCTCTCGCATCTTCTCTCACATCAAACTACTCACGCCGTGCTTTCCACAGATTACACTGATCTACGTTATGCTCGCCGATATCACCAACACAGACCACTCGCTATCCACGTCAAATCGGGGCAGGTCCTCGCCCGTAAGTTCGTCGAGCGAATTAACTGGCCTCGGCTCACATGTTTGCCTACAGATGTTCCAAACAATTAGCGTCAAATCTGAGGAAAAGCATATATGCCTCTCCGAGTCATCGCACATCGCCATACCTCCTGGGCTTACCAATAATACTGTCGGACCTATCCGGACGGTGAGTGGACTCCCACGTCCCAGTTTGCCTACGGCTGAAGGGTTGTACCCTGTGTCAGAGACGTGCCTGCAAGAACCTTGCAACGAGGCATGATGACCTACGGTCTCCATTCGGGACGTCTTCCACCACCTTTTCTAGGAAAGACAGCACATTGTCTCCGCTCAAACTCGAGATCCCGCCCTCGGCACGATCACTCTTATCCCGCATCTCTCCTAGGGACAAAGGGGTTCTGAATGACACCACTATACATGCCCGATTGACGCCTTCGGTCACAAGGTCAACCGCCGGGCGGACCCCTGCACGACAGGACCATCTTTCGCATTCCGAGTCTGTATTCGCGAGCCTGCGCACCACGCCTAAAGTCTTCGACGTGCCGACGTTCAGCTTGACCGATTCGTCGACCTCGCTCATTTCTATCAGTATGTCGGATGACTGGCCCGTTGTTCGCGTCAAACCGAGCTTCCCGCCTGTCCCGACTCGTGCCCCGTCTTCGGCCTTTCCAGTTCGCATACGGCGGCCTACCTATCCTTTCGAGCGGGAAGACAAAGATGATTCATCGGCCACGGGCGCCGATCGACGTGACGATACAGGTGTGAAGGCTGAGGAACATGGTCTCGAACCTCTATCTGCGCGTCTTTCCACGCACCTATCTTCGTCTGAATCTGCCGAGTCGGATGCGTCCGAATCCGGCGAAGCGAAATCGTCGTCCTCTGGGTCTCTGACCAGCTCTCAAGAACCTTCGGGCACAGGATTCTCCAGCCGTAGCGCGGTCAAGTCGAGCCCCAGTACATTCTATGCGAGCGTCATACTACCGGATGTAGATTCCTCTCGTCCTCTCGTCCTGCCGGCGGTGCACGGCGCTGATGGTTCTTGGCTGGTGAAGGAGCGCGTGTCCGTCTTCGACTCCTTCAACGCTACCCCATCGCCTCTCGGATCTCAGCCGCGCGTTCTGTCCCTCAAAGACCGCATCGAATTTCCCGGCGCCCTGAGATCGAGCTCCAGCGCTGAATCCGATATCTCGTCCGCCTCCTCGACGAAGCTTGCTTCTAGCCCTACACCCGTCTGCAGGTGCAGGCTCGGTGGCAATCCTAACCCGATGGCAGCTCCAGTAAAGGCCGAGCCGCGGTCGCCACCGCCGCCCACGTTCAACTCGGCATCCACAAGGTCTCGGCGCCGTTCGCGATCCTCCTGCGCTTCGGCTGCGATCAAGCCTTTGCCCCAACTGCTGCCCGCGTTGATGAGCGGTATCAAAACCGAACCACGAAAGAGTCCTGCCAAGCACAACTCGAAGCCGCGTACCGTCGGCCCGATACGCAAGCGCGACTCGGAAGGGAACAAGGTCGTCTTTGACAAGGCTGGTCAAGGCTACAGGGTAAGGCGCAGCGGACGAGTAGGTGTGAGGCAGTAGAATGGGTCGGGATCCGCCGAGGGCTGGAGTTGATATCCATACACACCAGTACTGCCAGCGTGTTTAGGTTTGGACGTTTCAAACTATGTTTTTCTGATCATCGCGGGGGAGCTTCGCTGGTGCCTCACGGCCTCATCAGTGCAATTTTTTCTTTCTTCCAAACATGGAACAACGACGTTCCGTGTCGCTATGAGACAACCGCGCCAGGCAAGGCTTTTACATCTTTTCGGCAAGTATCTTTGTCGACTCTATCAGCTGAAGCCAAGTTCGTTCATTGCATCAGTGGCAACCGCCCACGTACGGTGGGCGAATGGGCATATCCACCGGCCTCTTGAGGCGAAGGCCGGGTTTGGCATCCATATGAGATGCATGTATGCGTTGCAATCCGCTCTCCCCTGAATGCTCTAGCGCAAGTCGATCGGGTACGACCTCATCCCGCTCCTAGTAACAAGGCAGCAATATCTTGCAGTTGATGCTCAATTCGGGGGCCCGGAACGTGATCCCCAGCTACGAACGAGTCGTCAGTCGTCCATATACGCACATAGTATAACCCTAGATGAAGACAACAGCAAGCGTATCTCATCGACAGCGGTAGACAAAGCATGAATTTTGGCCCCGGTCAGCTCGCAGCAAAGCATCAGCGCGTTCACGGTTATGCCACCGTCGCGGCCTCTCCTTTCCTCGCCTTCTTCGCCTTTTTATCCTTCTTCTCTTTCTTCGTCGTCTCGCCGTTGACCGCGTCCGCGGTGCTATCCGCCTGCAGCGGCTTGTCGACAGCCATCGCCTCCTCTCTGCCCGCCTTCGCCTCCCCGCTCACCTCGCTCTTCCTGCTCTTCTTGTCCTTTTTCGACTTTTTGTCCTTCTTCGCCTCCGTCAACGCGATTGCGAACGTCAACGCGATTGCGAACTCGGCTTGGAGAGGCTGGTCGACTGCCATAGCGGTGTCCGCGTCACCGTTCACAACGACTGGTACGCTGCTAGTTTCCGGAGCGCCATCGGTTGACGAAGATTTGTTCTTCTTATCCTTCTTCTTTTTCTTGTCCTTCTTCCCGTCGGCATCCGCAAGAGCAGAGGCTGAAGGCGCCGGGGCATCGTCCGCCTCGTCTCGCTTGCGCTTTTTCGACTTTTCCGCCTCCACCGATGCCGTGTCCGTCCTCGCTGTCGCCGAGGCAGGATCCTCCGCCTTCTTCTCTTTTTTCTCCTTCTCCTTCTTCGACTTTTTGGTTTCTGTAACCGGCGCGGTCGAGGTCGAGGCTACCGGTTGTGCTACCTCGGGCTCGGCAGCCGGCGCCTCATCCGTCGTCTTCGCTTTCGCCTTCTTCTCTTTCTTCTTCTCCTTCTTCTCTTTCGCGGAGTCTGAAGCGGCTGGGGTGGAATCGACGTCCATAGGGGCTGACGTCTTAGCCTTCTTCGTAGGTGACTCCTGTATGGATTGTCGGCATGAGCACGGGAAATGATGGCAAAGAATTCGCAGACAAATCATACCTCCTGAGTCTCGCCTGTGGTCGACTTGCGCTTCTTGTCCTTCTCCGCCCCATTCGCCTTCGCCTCCTTCACCTCCTCCCCTTTCGTACCATTCCCACCAGCTAAAGGCGTCGGCCCGTTTTTTGAGGGAGTAGGAGTAGGAGTCGAAGCAGTGTCGTCGTTTTCGGGCGCGACAGCGGTGACGGGCGACATACGGGCGGGCGTGCCGAGGGGAGTGCCGTTAGCGCCCGATGCTTCGTTCCGCGGGCGACCGCGACCGTAGCCGTAGGGTTGGGAGCGGTTGTACGTACCATTGTTGTACGAGTTGTTGTTGAACCTGGGATTGCCGTTGTTGTTTTGCCGGCCATCTGGTTTGCCCTGCGCGACAGTTCAACCGTTAGCGTGTTGAGATGGCGAAGAGTATATCATTCATGCGATACGCGGAAAATACAATACGGTCGGGGCAAAGTGAGCACGGGGCAAGGCGAGCAACATACGTTCTTGCTTCCCTTGTAGAGCCCTTTCTGGTACTTCTCCGCCTCGCTGATACAAGATGTATGGCTCTTGTATTCAGCAGGGCCTGCAAACGTCTTGGAACAGTCGATGCAGGTAAAGGGCGCGTTGCATCGCGCGCGGTGCTGATCAAGCTTGGGCTTTTTAACCGTATCAGCGCAGCCTTCGCACCTGATTACGGGTTCTGGTCAGTACGAGTACGACAAAGACGATGATGTCCAGACTGCGTACTGGAAGGAGACCATCTTGAGCTAGGGGAGGAGACGAAGCTTGAATGGGGAGAGCTCGACCAACGGCCTTTATCTGAGCAAGTAGGGTGCTAAGAGATGGTGACCACGAAGAAACCGTCGGATGGCCCAACGACAAGCGTTCAAACAGTCCAAGTAAAGCTCAAGTCCAGGACGACTTCAGAAAATTCTGTCCCGCTCGACTTCTTGCACAGCCGCAATACATCTCAGATCACCCTCGCCAGCGCGTCCCTGGGCCAGTGGAGGGCGTACTCTACAATACCCCTTTACATATCATGGACTTCACAACGTCGCTGGCGGCGCTAGTTGCCGGCAGACTCATACTTGCGTACTCGTCAATACCGAGCTATGTGGAGGACCACCATCTGCTGTCGTCGCCGTTGTCCGCGTTCTCTCGGTGTGCGCATGCAACTGCTCCGCATTTCCGACGCGCTCAGCTAACCTCCAACTATTGCTGCAGTAAAAGAGGGGCTCTATCTATATGAAAATGACGTGGATCCGTATTCAGGAGGACCATGTTACCACGTGCGTTGCTCACCCTTCTCCAGGACAACCGCCGACCAGTGAAGTCGCGCAGTAGTCCCCTCTGTACCTCTCCTTGTTCTCAACGATACTTCCGACGTCTACTACACTTATACCTTTTCTATGGACGCTTGTGGACGCGATCGCTGCGTGGGCGCTGGTGAATATATGGAGAGCCAGACAAGGGAGGAAGGAGACGGAAAGAGACCACTTCATCGCAGCTTTGTGCGTTGCTTCTCGATACCGCTCACGCATGCATGCTGAGCAACGTAGGCTGACTACATTGACGCGTCAGGTATTTGCTCAACCCGTACCTCGTATTCCCTTCGCTCGCATACTCGACATCGACGTTCGAGAATGCGCTGCAGCTGCTCTCGCTCATGTTCGGGTCCCGGGGTACGCCAGCTCACGCATAGCAACGACTGCTGTTCTCATTTCTCGATTTTCTTCAATTATCGGATAGGCAACACATCTGCATCCCTCCTCACGCTCTCCTTCCTCATCCACCTTTCACCCACCTCTCTCATCATCCTCCCACCCACTCTCATGCTCCTCCTCATCCTCGACCCAAGCTCACATCTCGCTAATCCACGACTCTTTCCTCTTGCACCGAAAGATGGTAAGCACCTCTGATAGCATATGTGCTTGCCTTCGTAGTTATATTGCATGCATTCAGCACTACCGCGCCTCCGAACACTCCTAGGCTCGTTCCTTGGGTACTCTACTGTCCTTGCCTGCGCCTCCACTCTCATAGCAGGCGGAACGGGGTGGATATCACGCGTTTGGGGCGCACCGCTGCTTTTGCCGGACCTCACGCCCAACGTCGGGCTCTGGTGGTATTTCTTCACCGAAATGTTTGATCACTTCCGGCCCTTCTTCCTCATCGTGTTCTCGGTACGTCTTTTCGCCGTGCTTGCGGTGGTAGACCTGGCGTACTGACGATACCCTTGTGACCGTTTCTTCCGCGCTCAGATGCATCTCATCATATATACCGCACCCTTGTGCATCAAGTTCCAGCACGACCCTCTCTACGCGGCTTTCCTACTCCTCGGCGTCCTCGGCGCGTTCAAGCCATACCCTACTCTCGCGGATCCGGGTTTGTTCCTGACGATGATTGGCATCTTTCCTGAGACGTTCGCATGTACGTTTCCCTCATCCCCTCATCCCTACAGCTACTTGTTCGAGAAGCTCGCTTATCTGGAGTGGGAACGCTGATGACGCACCTGGTAGATCTACGGTACCCGATTGTCACAGCCCTGCTACACCTGCATTCGGCACTGCTGCTCCCGCTCTTCCACCAGCTCTGGCTCGTACAAGGTTCGCTGAACAGCGGCATGTCATCTGATCGTCCTTGGCACATGCTGATACGGAATCAGGAACTGGCAATGCCAACTTCTTCTACGCCTCGACGCTCGTTTTCGGCGTCAGCAACGGCGCAGCACTGGCCGACTGTATCTGGGCGGGTTTGAGGATAGCAGTTGGAGAGGTGGGTGAAGGAAGACAAGTCATCCAAGAATGAATGCCCGGGCTGCGCTACGCAGATCACGCTATAACCTATATTCGTATGGGAAAACCAATTGCATTGATGACAGAGCACAGCGGAAGAGCACAACGAGCGGAAAAGAAACTACACAGCAGCCCCTAAATGATTTTATTAGTAAGAAAGCCAAAAGATCGTCACGAATGACGAGGACGAATGGGGAGAGGGGGGAACGTGACCGAGCCTCTCTAAGAGAGATCCGTCTAGCCGACATCTACCGGAGCATGCGCACATCTACTAAGCATAGAATCTAGCAAGCATGAGGCACTACCCATCTAGAGTCTAGATGATCGCATCTAAGCCGTCTTTCTCTAGAGAAACTGCGGAACGCGTTACGCGAACCGTCTAGCGAGCGTGGGGCTCAGGACTGCTCGTCGGTCTTCTTCATCAGCCACGGCTCGGAAGAGACGAACTGCGCCTGCGGCACGCCGAGCTCGAACAAGCGGGAGACGACGTCAGCGAAGCTGTTCGTGGGCACCGAAAGGTAAAAAGGTAAAATACGCGGTCAGATGACGGTCGCGGGAGACGCGTGAGAGAAGGCGGATACGCACTCCTTGAAGAACAGATCCTGGTCCTGCGCGTACGCCTTGGCGTACTTCTTGAAGCTCTTGTCCTGCGTGAGCACGTAGTCGGTCGGAAGCATCATCAGGCTGCCCGTCTTCTTGTCCACGAGCTGCTTCGGACCGCTCCACTTCTTCCACACCCACTTCTCGTCGAAGAGCAGCTTGAAGTAGTCGTTCGTGAGCGTCGTCGGGCTGAACGTCCACGGGCCGTCGAACCCGGAGCGGTCGGTGTGGCACCGGCCGAGCGCGTGCGCGCCGGAGAGAGCGACGATCTCCTGGTCGTTGAAGCCCATGCGGTAGAAGATCGCGCGGAGATGGTCCGCGCCCTGCGTCGCGTCGGGCAGGCGACCGTCGGGAGTCGCGTCCTTCGCAAAGCCGTCGATGCGGCCCGGGCGCCAGGGGATCTTGGGACCGCCCATCTCCTGGATGGCGGCGACACCGGCGAGCGTCCAGAGATCACCGTAGGAGATCCAGGGGTACTCCTCCTTGACCTTCTCCATCAGGCCACGGGCGACGTGCAGGCCGTTGTTGGCGCCGTGCAAGGCCTCGGGCTCGAAACGCATAGTAGCGTAGTTGCTGGAGCGAACCATGAGAAACTTGTTAAGTGATGAAACGGATTAGCTAACCTTCCACCGGTTCCTGTCTCCTTGTCAAAGGTACCAGAAGCGTGCCATGCGAGGCGGACAAGGACAGGGCCGTAAGAGCCATCTAAGTCATCGCGTAAACGATTGCTACCTGAACAATACTATTACTTTATTACCATCGTACTCCCCAGCGTCGTCGATGATCTCCGCAATGCGGTTGTACACCTGGCGAAATAATGAGGAGAGGGCTCAGAGCGGGACAAGAGAACCACGGCACACCTTCTGGTAGTCCTCCTTGGACGGAGTGTAGTTCGCTGCCGCCTTCGCGACCTGGGCGCCGGACTTGGCGAGGGTGCCAGCCTCCTTCGCCGCGTCACTGTCGCTGGTCAAAACCCAGTAGCCAGCGCCAGCAGCCGCGACGGCAGCGATACCGGCGTAGATAGCTACGTTCGAGCTCTTCTTTCCGGCGTTCTCGGTCGTGTAGCGGCGCACGGCGGCGCGAGCGGATGCTTTGGGGAAAGCGCGAGGCGCAATGCGGGCGGTGCGTGCAGCAGCGCGGAGGGCTTGGAAGGACATGGTGGGCGACGAGGAGGAGAGGATGAAGTCGGATACGACGGCCTCGGGGGCAGGCGTCTTATTTCCCCACACCCGCCCCCGGGCCTGAATAATCTTTTGCGCGTGATTGGCTGAGAAATACACACGTGACGCTCGCTGACCATGAATTTCCTTGATCGTTCTGCCTCCGCAAGCCTGACCTCCAGCAAAGCTGACGAGAATCGACGCTTTCTTTCGCATTTTCTGGTCTGCTCAAAGATGCGGCAGAAGGAAGGCGTGTGGCCCTTCATGACTAGTTCGAGATCTGAGAGATGGTTTCTATCGACTGAACTGCTGGAAGGTCATCTGCGGCCGCTTCGCTAGATCCAGTCTCACGTTCAGGTCCTCTCGAGACGAATTGCAGCGTGCGGGATGGGCTCATATCCGGTCAATGCCACGTACGCCGTTTCTCATGAATGTGTAACGGACATACCGTCGCAAGCATATATTGTCTGTACACTGCTCCGTTGGAACATGTTTCATTCAGGCGTATAGATGATGCAATGGCGCCCCAAACACATCGTACGACTAGGAGCAGGGGACAATAAGGGCACTATCTCATTTGAGGGCACGCCCCTTGGGATTCAAGACAAAGTTGTACTGTGCCCCGGCCACCACTTTAGCATCGCCATATCCTTGGTCGGACAGCATCTTGTGCCATGCGTCCACGCGCTTCTTGACCTCGGAGTCATCCAACGCGGGCAAATCCATGAGGCCGGCATGATCCTTGGTGTTCTCGGGTATGCACCATGCCTTGAGCAGATTGCCGAGCCGGGGCGGGCGGAACACGTTGAGGCTACCAGGAGCACGTTGGCGACGGTTCAACGGATATACAAGGAAGGACGCGAAGCAGCACTCACACATCAGTTTCCATCTGACGGGGGTGGTTCGCAGCACAGACGTAGAGCTGCGTGGTCATGGAGTCCAGTGTCTTCCGCAGTGCTCTGGGAGGGTCGATCATCATGTGGAAGTGCCCTGAAGAAACGTGATTACGATGCCTGCACAACAGCTGAGGGTTTGCGTGGTTGTTCATACCTGCCCTGGTAAGGCCTTTTGGCCCGTACTCCCTCGGGGTGATTGACAGGACTTCCACCGTGCCGCTCGCATCTGTGACGAAGGTGCCCCGCAGACCGTAGTGCCTGATGGAGTAACTCGTCTTGGGGTGCACCTTGCGAAACGTTGTTCTCATCTATCTAGCGACCAGAGTTGAAGGGATTGGAACTAACCTGCCAAAAGTCAAATTTCGTATTGGGCACCGGGTTCCCTTCAGGATCTGTGACTCGCAATGTCAGAAGGAATGGATCGTTTTCTGTCGTTACGACGGGTGAGCATTCTGTATGATGATGATCTAGCGTGCTGCTCACTCAGATCGTTGTAGGATGCCAAGACCGCCTTTCCGTCGTCAATGTTACGATTGGGTGCTCCGACAATGTACAGCGGACCTGCACGCCTGTCATTACTGTGGTACGTCTCGCAGCATTGTCCTGCAGCTCACCAATGTGTTCCGCCTGCGGATTCCGCGCCCCCTTGGTATACTTCCATCTATAAAATGAGCTTCAGCATGTTCGCATAACCCAAGAGTGAAGCGCAGCCGACATCAGCAGGTTGTCGCCGAAGATATGGACCCATAAAGTTCGCAGGAACGACCACAGCACGGTGAACAGAGATGCAGAATAGTGTGAAGCAGGTCTGAAGACGGTCATCATGCAACTCGATGTTGATCCTTTCCGGCGACGGCACCCCAAGCTTTATGTGCGACGTGCTGGAGTTAGTGAGGTCAGCTGCATTCGTCGGCTGAGCAAGACCGCAGGAGATCGAAGGCGTCGACGGGAGCAGCTATCCCATGCACATCACTGATTCCTGTCACCGCGGCGGAGGTAAAATGGCATCGAGAAGCTGTCGACCCTAGGTCGTGTGCAAATTGATCCATACCGAGCACCGTTCTCGGAAAGCCTATTGCTTCGAACCAATGACAGTCCGAGCCCTTGCAGGATGTCGAGCGGCTCGTGTGCACTTGGATGCCGTGATGATGCTGACCAGAGCCATGGTAATTTGACTGAGGAGACTGCGTGAAGGTTACCTTCATGATTCTCGAGGCATGAACAGCGTTTCGTAGCTCAACGCATGATTGTGTGTCTGTGATGTCAAGACGCTGGTCCCAAGCTCGTGTTCGTTGATTAGATAACCTGGAAGAGACCTTTGCGACTCGACTGTCAGCTTTTCGTGGACTTCTGCGATGGCCCGCATCGAGCAGTCCGTCCGTCGCAGCCTTTCCCGAAGCTGAGTGGTAGAACACAAACTGGCACTGTGCGAACATTTCTCGAGCGATGATCTGCCTTGGAATCACTGCAGTGGTCAGAATTTTTCTCTGCATTCAGTTTCCAAACTACTCAAGTCCACGACATACTTATGCCAAGACTACGATCACAACGAGAAACTTGCACTGTTTGTGCTCATGCGGGAAATTAATGTGAGGCAAACGCCAACACTTCATTTCTCCACTGCACATGCAATTTCAGTCGCGACAACAGCTCCAGCAATGTCGACGTCTATGTTTCTTCCATCGCAACACAGACAAGCGAGAGAAAATGGCCGGCCTCAATACTTATCCGATCATCACGGTGGTATCCCACAGATAAGCAAGCCATCGGAGGTCTGATTCGGACCGAGGATGTAACGCCTATGAGAACGGATCCAGCACTCCATCCGATATGCTGTTGTTACTTACACCTGTCGGTGTACGTATATGCATTACCTGTGTTACTCGCTGCTTCGAAGGAGACATTCGCTCTAAGTGTGAAAACATGTATGAGAAGCCAGACAGGTACTTATTACGATCACCAAAGAGCCCGGATACTCTCACTTCAAGGCGCGCCCTTTGGGGTTCAGGACGAACGTATAACCGCCCCGGCCACCACCTTGATATCGCTATATCCTTTGTCGGACAGCAATTTGTGCCATGCGTCGACCCACGTTTTAGCCTCCGGGTTAGCCAATGCGAGCAGGTCCATGAAGCCGGCACGATCCTTGGCATTCTCAGGTATGCACCACGCCTGGAGCACATTGCCGACGCGGGGTGGTCGGAACAAATTGAGCCTACGAGGTACGCGTTGGCAACACACATATATATGAAGAAAAAGGCAATGCAGCACTCACGTATCGGTTTCCAATTTGAAAGAGGTGGTTCTCGACGCAGGCGTACAGCTGCGTGGTCATCCCGTCCAGCAGTTTCCGTTGTGCCCTGGGAGGGTCGATGATCGTGTGGAAGTGCGCTGCAGAGACGTTAGTATACGTTTTCGACGAGCTCAGGTTCCGTGTCGATGTCCATACCTGCCCTGAGATGGCCCTTCCGTCCGTACGCTTTCGGAGCGATCGTCGGAACTTCGACCGTGCCGTTCGCATCGGTAACGAAGGTACCTCGTAGACCGTAGTGTCTGATGGAGTAACTCGTCTCTGGATTCACCTTCCCGCAGTTGTCATCGACCGTGCGACCACAAGCGAAGCTACCGGGACAAACCTGCCAAAAAATCGAATTTGGTGTTGGGCACCGGCTTCCCCTCCGGGTCCGTGACCCGTATTAGCGGAAGGAACGGATGTAGTTCTGTCGTAACGGACGTTGAACATGGTGCATGATATCATGGTCCAACGTGCTGCTTACTCAGATCGTTGTTGGACGCCAAGACCGCCTTTCCGTCGTCGATGTTACGGTTCGGTGCTCCGACGATGTACAACGGACCTGCGTGCCCGTCATTATGGAGGTACATGGCGTAAAACTGCTCTGCAACTTACCAATGTGATCCGCTTGCGGATTGTGCGCCCCCTTGGTATACTTCCATCTAAAACGCGAGCCTTAGCATATTTCACAGAAGCCAAAAACGGAGCGCAACCAACATCAGCAAGTTGTCATTGAAGATATGGACCCATAAAGTCCGCAGGAATGACCATATCACAGTGAAAAAAGATGCAGAGTACTGGGAAGCAGGTCTGAAGGCGACCATCGTACGACTCGGTGCTGATCCTTCCTGTCTACATCGCGCCGAGCTTTATATGCGATGGTGCTGGAGCTAATGAGGTCAGCTGTATTCGTCGGCTGAGCAACACCGCAGGGTATCGAAGCCATCCACCGCGAGCAAGTGTCTTCACATCACTAATGCCAGTCACCGGGGTAGGGGTATGTTCACGGATGTAAGGCGTCGAGTAGTACTGTAGTTGTCGCCACCAAGGTCGTGGGCAATGGGTCCCACAGGTCCGAGCACCGGACTGGGCTTCGAGCCAATGACGTCCGAGGCGCAGGATGTTGAGCGGCTCGTTTTCTCTTCTGTGCCGTGATGATATTGACGAGATGAGTTAACAGCGTTTGATCACAGACGACGACTCCTCATCCAAGCTCTCATCCAGCACAAGCTACATGGACGCGCATGCGTGATACTGATATGGTCCAAAGTTGGTGCTCCTTATGAAATCAAGGCCGCTGATCCGCCATCTTTGAGAGTGTTGCAATGCCGTTTGCCAGACTGGTTTGCATCATGCTGGATTCTCTGAAAAGTCCGCAAGAGGAGTTCAACTGGCCGTCCCGTCAGTCCCGTCACACATGGGTATGGCCTTCCACGGTCAGGTGATAGGGCACGCTCAAGCCAACTTGAAGCTCTGCCTCGATATCAGAATCTTTCTCTGCATCCACTTGCTACACGAGGCGATCAAACCACTAGCGGGCTAAGACATGCGCCAAGACAACGATCAGAACGCAGTATGGGGGCGATTCAAGAATGTTGGCGGGAAATGAGCACCACCAGAGCTACATTGTATAAGTATACCGCGTCTTCGCCGGCACAGCAGCGATAAAGGCTGAAGTCCTGTTTGTACTGCAAAATCAACATGCCAGAGGACAACGGAGGTTCTCCATCATCATGGTTGAATCTCAGGTAAGCAAGCCGTCGGGTGTTTGGTTCCGACCGAGGATGTAGCGCCCATGAAGAGTCAGACGGGCATCCGGTGCTCCATTCGACGGGCTGTAATACACTACTGGCGGTGCGCGTATATGCATCCACCTGTGATGCGAACAAAAGGGTATAGTTGGACGTAGTCGTGACCAGCGTGCTGCCAAGCGCTAAAATATAGGTATAGCATGCGAAGTGCTGCGCTGGGGCGTGTGAGAGAAGTACGACAACAGCCTCGCCTTCGGCTTGCCTCTGAGCCTCTTTCTCAGGTACCGGTCTACCTGCTCTCCCTTTCCCTTCATAAGCTCCGCGTCTCACTCTTTCTTCCACTTCCTCCGGGACCGACGCCAACATGAAGCATACGACTGCTGCGTCTCTGCTCGCATTGGCCTCCTTCCAATTGGCGCAGGCGTCGCCATTTCACCCTTCTTCTTTGAGCACAGCCACCACCATCCCTGTTGTGCGCCGGCGCGCAAGCACGAGAGCGCTCACGCCCGACCAGATTGGCGCTGCCGGCGACCGCCTGAGGGCAAAGTACGGACGGCCTACGGTAGTGAGCAAGCGGAAGCGCGCGGGGCAGACAGTCGGGGTCAGCATCACGAACGAGGTACGAGCGCTTCGGCTTCCATCAGTGCCCCCGTCGCTGACCTTCTATTGTTAGGGACACGACGCCAGCTACGTAGCACAGGTCAGCGTTGGCACGCCCGCGAAGGACTTCCTCGTCGTCCTCGACACCGGCTCATCCGACTTTTGGCTCGCCTCGACGGGTTGCCAAGCATGCGTCTCGACCGCGGCACAGTACGACTCGTCGCAGAGTAGCAGCTTCAAAGCCTCTTCAGGGTTCAACTCGCAAGTGCAGATCCCATACGGCTCCGGCGCGGTGCAGGGAGACTTGGGCTCTGAGAATGTCAACCTCGGCGGGTTCAGCGTTGCGGGTCAGACGTTCCTCGTGGTGGACCAGATCACAAACAACTTCTTCTCGGGCGAAACGGACGTGAGCGGGATCATGGGCCTCGCGTTCCAGAGCATCGCGGCGACCAAGGCGACACCGTTCTGGCAAACCCTTGTATCGAACAACCAGCTGGACCAGCCGATGATGTCGTTCTGGCTCCAGCGCGCGTCTGGGTCGAGCAGCAACGACCAGCCGGGTGGAGTCTTGACGTTTGGCGGAGTGAACACCACGCTCTTTTCTGGTGACATCGAGTACAACAACCAGCCCAGCGATGAGACGGCATCTTTCTGGCTTTTGGACTTGCAGAGTGAGTAACCAGTCTCATCTATGCCCGGCCAATCTCTGAATGTGTATGGCAGAGGTCACTGTGACCGGGAAGGAGGTGCAGCTCTCTGGAGGCAACAACGCGCTGTCTGCCATCGACACCGGGACGACGCTGATCGGCGGGCCATCCACGGACGTGGCCAACTTCTGGGCTACCGTCCCCGGATCGGAGGCCCTTACAGGAAGCAACCAGGGCTTCTGGTCGTACCGTACGTTCTCGACGGATCTTTTCATCATATCTTCTCTGACATGTGATCGCGAACTTCAGCGTGCAGCATGCAGTTGAATGCCACCCTGAACTTCGGCGGCCGTGACTGGCCGATTAGTGACGAAGATATGCAATTCCAGCAGCTTGACCGACAGGGTACCCTCTGCGCCGGAGCCATCTTCGATCTGGATGCGAATACCGATATCCCAGTGGGCAGTGGGACGCCTGCGTGGATTGTTGGCGATACCTTCCTCGTGAGTCGCAGTCTCACTCGGAAATTGGTCACGAGCAGACGAGCATATCATCGCAGAAAAACGTATACACTGTCTTCCGTGCCTCGAACCCGCCAGCTGTAGGCTTCGCCGAGCTCTCCACGGCCGCAGGAGGGACAGGCACATCACCCGGTACGCAACCGCCATCAGTATCTGCATCTGTCCCTGCCGCCACCGCGAGTAGTGCGACAAGTGAGATACTATTGTTCACTTCAATGTTGATCTAACGTGTTTTGTGTTTGTTCTGCAATCGTAGGTTCCACGCCCAGTTCTGGAAGCAGTGGAAGCACAACAAGCGGGGCGACGACTACTCGTGCGTCGACGGGCCTTATGGCGTCTGCTTTGCTCGTGCTTGCGAGCTGTATGTTTGTCATGAGCTGATCCCTGGAGTAATGTATCTGGACCAGTTCTGACTTTTGCTCTCGTTGCTTATCTGTATCATAACATATCTGTGGACTCTGTCGTTAGAATTTTCATGCTTCATCTTCAACAATCGCTGCCGCCACAGCAGCCCCAATACTAAGTCCGTCACAGCGACTTTTATGAATTGGAAGGATACGTCACCAAGCATCTGTACTTAGTACCGAGTGCGCAGTCCCTGGCTATGCAGCTTCATTCATTACGTCGATGTCATTACGACTTTAGGACAGTTTCATCTCGGCCCCTGGTCCCCTTCGTGTCATCGCACCGAATCTGATCTTGCCGGCCGTACAACGGCCCTCTGGGTGCCGGCACGCAGCATGCTTGGTGTGAATGACCAAACAGACCGAGCGCGTTTTTCTATTGCTGCGTTGCGGCATGCGATGACCTCGGACAAAGGTCTCTGCGCCTTCTTCTCGGATCCCAACACGCTCGTCTCTGCATACATAGCACTGCTACGCGTCCGCTCTTGCCCTCCATCTGCTCCGTCGCGAACCCGTCATGAACCTGGTCCTGGCATCTCTGATCGTCTACGCTGCTCTGGCGCAAGCTTCGCCGCACCCTCCTTCGATGGATGCGAACGGCGGCTCGTCGGTGCATTTGCCTATGATCCGACGAAATATCCAGTGGACGCCTGAACGAGTGGGGGCGTATGCTGACCATGCGAGGGCGAAGTATGGTTACCCAACGGTGGCCAGCAGGCCTCGACTAGCGCGGAATACGGCAGGCGTGGCGATCATGAACGAGGTATGACGTATTGAGTCATTTCAGCGCATCGTTTCTCTGGTAGGCTCTGACGCGCCTCCTTCGTGCGTGTAGGGGTTCGATGCAAGTTACGTTGCGCAAGCGACCGTTGGAACGCCGGGGAAGCAGTTCCTGGTCGTGTTAGACACAGGATCCTCGGACTTCTGGCTGCCGGCCTCGAGCTGCCAAGGATGTCAGACGTCTGCCCCGACGTTCGACTCGAGTGCGAGCAGCAGCTTCAGCACTCCGTCGGGCTCGATCTCGAAGGGCGAGATCACGATTCCGTACGGGTCTGGTCAAGTGAGCGGTACCCTCGGTACCGACTCCGTCGAGCTCGCCGGCTTCACCGTCACGGACCAGACGTTCCTCGTCGCCGATCAGATCAGTCAGGATTTCTTCTCTGGAGAGGCTGACGTGAGCGGGATCATGGGACTTGCGTTCGAGAGCATATCGTCGACGAAGGCCACACCGTGGTGGCAGACACTTGTGAACAACGATCTGCTCGACCAGCCGATGATGTCGTTCTGGCTCGCGCGTGCATCGCGGACGTCGAGCGACCAGGAGCAGCCTGGTGGGGTGTTTACCCTCGGAACTGCGAACACGAGTCTGTTCTCCGGCGACATCGAGTATATCAATCAACCCTCTGGACTGAGTGCATCGTGGTGGCTCTTGGAAATGAGTAGTAAGTGAATTACTTGGACCATCCTATGCAAGAGTGGCGATTAACCCTATCGTCAGAGCTTACGGTCCTCGGTCAGACTGTGCAGATATCCACAGGAGACAGCGCGATCGCAGCTATCGACACCGGCACGACTCTTATAGGCGGTCCCTCTCAAGATGTCACGAACTTTTGGAGTACCGTCCCCGGCTCGCAATCATTGGGAGGCTCCAATCAGGGCTTCTGGTCATATCGTACGTCATCCCTTCCACGATGTCCTATTTTGGGCGTCTCACAATGGCGACATAGCTTGTAGCACGAAGCTGAACGCAACGCTCAACTTTGGCGGGCGCGATTGGCCGATCAGCGAGGAGGACATGCAGTTTCAGCAGCTCGACCAGAAGGGGGAGACGTGCCAAGGCGCGCTGTTCGATATCTCGGCCGGCTCGAACCTGCCAAGTGGGAGCGGCAATCCTGCATGGATTGTTGGCGATACGTTCCTGGTATGTGTCGCATGTTTATGTACACGGAGAAATATTTCGAGTTGGTGACTGTGATCACCTGTACATCCCTTGCAGAAGAACGTGTACACCGTGTTCAGGGCCTCGAACCCACCGGCCGTGGGTTTTGCGGAGTTGTCCACCACGGCGGGTGGAAGCGGTATTGCACCAGGTAAACTATTTGTGCCTCAACACCACGTCCCTTCGTGTCCACTGATGCATTCGATATCGTAGGCTCGGCTCCTGCCGAGATACAGTCGGCGGGGTTCAGGTCGGCACGTTTGTCGACAGGCGCGTTGGCTTCCGCTTTGTTCGTGCTCGTGATCAGAATGTTTTCTTTGTTATGAGAAATCGAGCTCCTTGGACGATGATTGATAGGTACTGCTAATGGCCCTTTGCACACTGTATATTGATTTGAAGCAACTCATTAACTTTGTATAATGGACTGTAATGTTTTATAGTGATACGATATGGTACATTCAGCTCCCCCCGAGCGTCTAACTCTTATGGCATCTTCACCGTGATTATTGTTGCCTTGGTCCCTAGTCGCAGTTCCGCCCGCGGTCTCAAGCAGCCGATCACAACGGGATGTCCACAAGGCGGCGATGCTTAAACGACTGCGCTCGGTGATGAACGGAGTGTACATTTACATATGCTTGCACAGCGCTCGGTTGCAAGCCTGTATGATTCCAAAGGACACGGAAGGAAGCTAATCCTCAGGCGACTTAACTCGGTGGAAGAGGAAAACCCATGTCGAGGATCCGGCCTGACATGAAAGTGATTACAAGTCGCATTGAACTGAGATCAATGTCGGGTGAATGTCGAGTCATGACGACGCTGTGCATCTCGTCATGACAGCGCCTGACAGCGCCCGCTCTCACTGCCCCGCCTGATTCGATCACACGCCACCCCGCACCGGTGTCTTCTTCCGCAGCGCATTCACCAATGTGAGTCCGGCGAGGACCACCCGCGATCCATTCTCCCTGCACCATTTACCCGAGCTTGGACTCAAAAACCCCTTTGTAATTGCTGGTCATATCTTCTCGGATCCTTCTCGCCTTTTACCTTTCTACCACCACCCACTCTTCACGATCATGATTGCTAAAGCCGTTGCATTTGGTGCGCTCATTGCCGGAGCTGGTCTCGCGTCTGCTCAATCGTGCGTGTCACTCCGTCCCTTCTCCATTTCATTGACGGACGTGTTTGTAAATCCAGTCTTTCTTCCCACTGCCTGACCACGCTCGAGACCATCGTCGCCAACAAGGATGCGGCTTCGTGCTTGAATGCGGGGGCGCTAATTGGGCTCTTCACCACGAGCGCGAATGAATCGCTCGTTGAACCTATTGACAAGTGGGTGACCGGCATGTGCAGCGATGCACAGTGCAGCAACAGCACGCTCAACGCAATCGTCACGAACGTCACGAGCGGGTGCTCGAGCGACCTCCAAGGCATCGGTCTTTCTGGCTTGGATGCCTCCAGCATTTCAAGCATCGTGCAGCAGGCGTACCCCACCGTTAGGCAGATCGCCTGTCTGAAGGAGTATGTTTCTGGCGATTTTGCAAGTGGGATGATACTGACGGAATGTTGATCGTTGCAGCACCCAGAACAACACGATGTGTGTCACTGAGGAGCTCACGAACCTCCAGACGGTCGTGGGCACACTCAGCGTCAACAACATCATCTCGTCAATCAGTGGCATCGTCGCCAATGCCGCCAGCATCCCGAAGAACGACACCTGCACGCCGTGCGCCAAGGCGGCTTACAGCGTCGCGGAGAAAAACTTCCCCTCGCTCGTCGGCAGCACCCAGTCCACCCTCCAGTCGCAGTGCGGCTTTGATTTCACCGGTGCGTTTCTTCTCCGTCGCATGATCGTTGCGCCTCTTCTCTCGTGACGAGCGTTGATCTCATGCGACGTTCCTATTTTCGTGCACTCTTCGCACGCGCAGATGGGACCATGCCTTCCAACGTCGAGGTGACTGCCTCCTCTGCGAGCGCCTCGTCCACCAAGAGCGCTGCGTCCGCGCTCGTCGTGCCGAAGGCTGGGCTCATGGGCGCTGCTGTGTCCGGCGTGGTCGCCGTTGCCTTCGCCCTCGCGGTTCTTGCGTGAGTGGGAGCGCGTGTTGCATACACACTCTTAGCGTCAAAGCTTCGGAGCCACGGACTGCTACCTACGTAAAGATATTTCGCCCAGGGACTACGACCAATACAGAGGACATTAGTAATCGCATATTCTTTCCGAGACACCCACTGCGCACTGCGTTGTTTCGGCGCATAGCCGATGAAACCGAGACAAAGCATTGCTTCGATATCAGTTCTATGATTCACTGTGTGTTGTTTGATTTGAAGTTGGAAGTAGAACAGAGTGCACCCAGCATGCAGCGCTCTTCGACGCCCATTGGATCATTGAAGGATCACGAGACCGTGGTCCTTTGGTGATGCCGCTGCGCACGCTGCAAGCTCGAGGCTTCTGAGGTTCCAATTGGAGGTCGTAATACATCTGATACCACAAGACCAGCCGAGCGGGTTCACGCGGCTTACTCTCTCATGTTACTGCAAGCAACCTGCCAATGAGTTTCACGCCATCGATGAGCGCGAGACGGAGCATAGACGTGGGCAAACCCGAGGCAGGCGTTGCGGAATGGGCGAGCCGAATCAAGGAATTGCAGCGCCAGGTGGACGAAGATGACGAGGCGGAGCAGAGGAGGCTTGAGGAGGAGATTGCGCAGTCTAGAATGAAGCGGCTAAGTAGGAGAGGTCAGATGGGACGGCCGGAGAGTTTCGAGATAGGTCGGTGTTACTATATGCGATTTCGGCTTTCAGCTATGTTTCTGAATATGGATTATGTTGCGACCACAGCTAGCACTCCCAATACTCCGGGCACACCGGTTACGGACGTGATGAGGGACGAACCGAAATCGCCCGGCGAAAGGCAACAAGATCAATCGGACGCGCTGCGCAAGCTCATCGGCGGAGGTCCGCCAAAGGAGAGCACATCGCCACGTCCTCGATCTCCACTACCGCCCAGGCAAAACACAACGTCTACTCCTTCCTCACAGAGCAGATCGGAGCCCATGTCGCTCGCCGCATTCATGGGAGGACGCGCTACCGGCCCGCGCCTCAACAGACACCCCGCCCAACAAGACGCCCACGACCCCACGCAGTTCGAGCAAAGGACGCATATCAGCGCTCCTCATCCCGTGTTCGGTCGAGGCGGGGTCGCGATGCCGGGCATGGCGACGAAGACGAAACCTCCAATCACGGGTTCTCCCGTTCGTACGCCAGAGCCCAAACCTACCTCTTCCGTACGTATAGCCATGCCGGGTACGGCAAATGCTTCCACTACGACTGGATCCCGCGCATCGGAACGTGAAGTTACCTCACCCGTCTCCACTCCATCATCCTTCAATGCTGGTAGGGAACGGAGGACGAGCGTCCCTGCTGTTACGCAGCGCTACCTAGCAAAACTCGAGGAACCCGCCGCGCCGAAAGCCAGCAATGGACTCAGTGCCCGAGATGTACCCAGAAGCCGGACAATCAGCACGCCCACCGCCAAGTCTCCCGTTCAACCGCCACCGATTGTATCCTCCCTATCCTCGCTCCCTCCGACGATGGAATCCCGCCGTACCACAAGCCCAGAGCCCTCATCAACGGCAGCAAATCCAGTCAATCCATCTCCACCCGCGCTCGCCAGATCCCCGGACCCGATCACGCCCCCGTCCTCCCGCCCAACCTCCTTTACATCCCTCCGGCACACCGCCGCCGACTCCGCGCCGCGCACACCGCCATCGGCCTCTACGCGCTCGCCCGTCACCACGCCCGGGCTCTCGCGCCCGATCCAGCCGACGCCGAAACAGTCACCCTACACGGCTCAGGTGACGACGCCTGCCGCGAGTCCGTCAGCTGCCTTCCTCCGCGCGCCGCAGCAGAAGCCGCCGACGCCGAGCCTGTCGCGCCTGCAGGGTCGCGGGTTCGTGCAGAACATGGTGCGCACGAGTCTCGAGCTCGAGTCGGGCGCGAGCCCGCCGCAGGAGAGCGGGAGCGCAGGCAGGGCGGCCGGGAAGAAGACGTCCGTGCTCGAGCGCTGGTCCGCGGCGGCAGCGCCGTCTACCCCGCCGCCACCTGCGTCGCCGACACGCCCCGTGCGCAAGTCATTCGGAGCGGACGTGTCGCCGACGAAGACGGTGCCTGCGATCATACGTCCGTTTGAGGCCAAGTCCACGAGGGCATCCGCGTCGCCATTCGCGGGTGAGGAAGGCACGCACACCCCGGCGAGGCCGAACACCACGCCGCCAACGACGACGACGACGACGACGACAGCGAAGAACATGAGCCCGGGATCGTCGAACACGCTCATTTCGTACATCAAGCCCATGAAGACCGGCGACGGCGGAACGCCACCGCGCTCGAAGACGCCCACCTCCCGACCGCGCACGCCCGTCATCCACGAACCGGAAGCAGACGCGGACGAATTTGGGGTGGCCAGAGGCGTGAGGTCGGGGACGGTGTCGGGCAGGAGCGGGTCTGGGTCTTCAGCATTGCCTGTAGCAGACTCGCGGCCCTTGAGCCATGTGCGTAACTTTTAATGGATAATCGATGTTTTTTTTTTTTCGGGATTTTTGGCTCATGCTGATCGTTCGTTGTTGGCCTCCGCTCAGCCGACGAAAGACAGAGCCAAGAAACCGCGCAAAGGCAAGGGTGCGAGCTCCTCAACACCATCCCAGGCACCGGAGAAGGATGGTCGTGCTTTGACGTCTGCGGTTTCACCTGTATCGATGTCGAAACCAGCAGTGGCCCCGACGCCGGCCCCGTCAAGCTTGGGTGTAACATCAGCACCAGCAATCATGGCCGAACTCTCGAACGATCCCAGGCCCACAGGAACTTCGCCTCCAGTTATGCGAGCCCCACCCCAGACGCAGCCGTCGGTGGTGGATCGGTGGGCTCAGCAGCCCATCATCGGCATCAAGCCGATGGTGCACCGCAAGTCTTACGAACAGCTGGGACAGGGCGGACCCCCTCCACCGCCGCTCAAGAAGACCGAGAGCAACGGAATCCGACGAGCACTCCCGGGGATGGCGCATACCTCTGTTCAAACCCCCGTCGAGAAACCGACACTGGCACCGGCACCAGCACCAGCACCAGTCCCACAACCCGAACTAAAGCCCGCACCAAAGCCTGAACCACCCCGCGCGAAATCGCCCGCAATCCGCCACAGCCGGATTCCGAGTACCGGCTCGCGCGCGCGCGTCATGGACGTCGCGCAGGCCTTCCAAGAGGAAGCGCGTCGCTCTCCCGAGACGACGCGCAGCCCGAGCCCGGAGAGCCCGAAGGCCGAGCTTGCTCAGTCGCCCATCCTGCGCCGGCAGACGTCGCAACCGGATGCCGAAGCGGCCGCTCCGACGCATCTGCCACCCCCACCGGCGCTGGAGAAGCGCAGGTCGAGCTACGAAAAGTACGCGGTGTTCGCGCTGCCGCCCTTAGAGGAGGAGAGGACGCCGTCGGGCACGCCTGCAGGTACGTTTGCGAAGATGAGCGTGACACCGATTGCAGACGAGGACGAGGAGCCGGAGACGATGGCGACGAAGGTTGCATCGCGGATGGAAGGTTTTGTTGAGACCGTTGTCGTGGACGAGCCAGCACAGGATGAGCGGGCCAGCGGGATTGTGCATTTCGGTTAGTTTCTCGTCATTAGCTTCCTTTCATAGACTTTTCTCTGATACAGTGCTCGGGGTTAGAATTTGTCGACAAGCCACTGCCTCGTCTCAACGTTGGCGCGCTGTTGAAGGCGCGCATGACGCCTTATAAGCCTCCTGCGGACGTGTCTACGGTGTCCGTCGACGTCATGGCTGTGACCGGATCTACCGCCACCCCCATCGACCAGGAGCGGAGTCCGTACGTGTTCTACGACACGGAGGTTATCGCGGTCATCCATCGCGCGAAGTCAAAGGGCACGGGGTTGGTCACGACGCAGCTATGGACGTGGAAGGGGAGGAAGGCGCACATGGGTAATCCGGAGGAGCGGAAGCTTCAAGAACTGGCGAAGCGGTATGGCACGACCATGGTAAGCCCTGCTTTTGTCATCGGTACGCCTATTTCGACACCGCGGTTTTGACCCGACTCTTTGTAATGAACACAGGTGCCGGTCAATCAGTATCAGGAACCTTCCGAGCTGCTCTCCGTGCTGGGAGGACGATTGGCGGTGCGCCAGGGAACCCGTGCGCATTGGTCATCGGACAATACCGCCATGCATCTCATTCGCCTGCACAATGGATCGATTCTCATTGACGAACATGACCTGGTAAGAGCATTCTAATTAATCTAATAACCATCAACGATCCTGATGCACCTCCACATTAGGACGTTCGTAATCTGTGTTCCGCATTTAGCTACTGCTTGACCATCCTGGACAACGTCTACGTGTGGCATGGCCGTGGCGCGCGCGGGGAGGAACGGGAGGCGGCGGCCGCGTATGCACGATCGCTGGCCAACGATCAGAAGGCGGTATCGGTGCTTACCGAGGGCGTCGACGATGACGACGAAATGTTCTGGATGATGCTCGGTGAGCCAGAATATGCGAATGCCCACCATTGGAGGTGGCGGCCGGACGTGCCGTCACCCCACCCACGAGTCTGGCGAGTGGATGCGGGCACGAAAGAGGTGGTACGTGCCTCAGTATTGCGCTCATTCCGTAGACGAACGTCCGCTCATGAATCCCGTTTTCAGGCGCACCACGTCCCATTCGTATCGGCCGAGCGGGCGCTGCGTTCATCGGTGCTCGTAGTTGACTGCGTATGGGAATTCTTCGTCCTCGTCGGGACCGAAGCGCGCGGGGACCGCCACAACATCCGCACCGCGCTTTCTCTCGCCCTGGTAAGCACGCCAGTTGCTCTAATATGCGCGTGAATTTTTAAGAACCGGAACGACAGGCCATGTCGGGTGGCGTTGCGTCCGTGAGACCGTTCACACCCCCCGTACATGTTGTAGTGTTCCCATCGCAGGTTCCTGCGGATCTACGGCTCGCCGTGCGCGATCTAGACGAGGTGCAGCTGGTAAGCCCACCTCCCTCGGGCCGGCCTCCCTATGGGCCATCGACACACCGCTCACTACATGGTTGTCCCGGTATCAGAACGACGGTGGTGTTCCTGACCACATGAACATACTTCCCGCCGTCGAGGCCCTCAATCATGTGAGTTTCTTCTTTTCGCTGCAGCAAGAATCGTACTGACATCACTCACTGAAGCTATCAAAGATGGAATGGGAGAGAACCTATCTTAAAGATCATGAGTTTTTACCGTTAGGCGTCCATCCTTCTAATTTGCCGTAACATGCGTGGCCCGGAGAAATTCGAAGACATCTGAAGATAATCTCCCATTCATCTCGTAATCACATACCTCTGATTGAAGTTTTACTCCCTAAGACGTGCGTTTTCTGACTGGTGCTGTTGCCTCGAAGGTGAAGCGTCGAGCTCCTTCCGCGACGTCGGAGCTCCGTACTTAGGGAGAGGCAAACGCTAATACTGGACGTCACGGAACTGACATCGAGGGTTGCCATATTGGGTCACCTGTCTTCCCGCGGCACTGAACTTTGTGAATCCCGTTCTACAGGACTTCAACCTGCGGATATAATGCAATCTGGCGTTCGATTCATGCCCCCTTCTCCATCTCCTTCTCAGACTGCTTCTCCATATGATATGCGTGCATCGAACGAGATCATATGGTATCCCGCCGCTCCCGGACGCGAAAATGCCGGCTTGGGCGTAGAGTTTTCCCCGACAGTGCAGCTGCTACGGCGGCGTTGGCGGCCGGGTGGACGATCTTCGACAGCGAAGTCAGGGTTGCGCCGGCGCGCCGATGGTGTCCATCTGGACCGCCATGGCATTTCTATGCATGCCTCGCGCCCTATATATACATATACACCTCGAGGGCGAGGTACCGAACCCCGCCTTGCAGGTACATTGCTTTCGCTATGTTTCATTCGCTGTTGCTATGCGTGCTCTCGGCGTCGATATGGATGGTCAGCTTTGTGCGCGCTGACAGCTGCTATGACTCCAGAGCCACGTCGTGTTTCCCCGCCCTGGGATTCCGGATGCCGTCGGCGACACCCAAATCGTTGAACGGTTGGTGGTGCGATGCGTCGACGGAATACGCCTTCGTCGGCTTCAGCTACGAGGTCACTGCCTGTGAGCGCTCGTTCGTTCTTTCATCACGTTTCTCTGAATGAACGCTCGTAATTATCTGTTTTTAGGCCAGAGCTTGAAAGAGCTTACGGCAGAGTTCCTGGACATCCGGCATCGTTTCAATGGGCGTTACGTGCGGTCAGTACGCCCTTCCATTATTTTACTGCGCGAACGTAGTGCGGCTGACGGCTCGGACTGTTTCCTATACATAGATTATATGGCGCCTGCGATCGCGCTGGATTCTACGACGATATCGTCAGCGCCGCCTGGACCGCCGGCGTCGGCGTGCATGCCCTCATATGGGTGAAGCATCGTCTCTAGCTCCCCATTTTACCCGACTAACGATGAGGGGGGTGATAGTTCGGGTTTGACGGGTCGGATATATGGGAGACACGCCGGGACACGCTGCTCGGCGCCCTCCACTCAAATCCGAGGGCGAAGTACGTGACCCGGGTGCTACAATTCGGGTCCGAGCCGCTGTTCGACAACGTCCTGCCGCACGTGCAGCTCGCGGAGCAGGTGCAGCTCGCGAAGGCGAACCTATCGTCGCTCGGAATCCCCGTCACCGTGTATGCGCTGTGCTTTCCCATTCAGATGAAGGACTGATCCAGGCGTTGCTTTCGTTTGTGCCACTCAGATCCGAATTGGCGTACGGGTACCAGGAGCGAGGCGGGGCGCAGGACGTGTTGGACGCGATCGACTCGATCAATATCCACATGTTGCCGTTCTTCGCGCAGACCGCGTCCACAGGTAACGCAGTGACTTTCCCATCAGAAAGCTAGATCAGTACGCTCACCACTGTTGTAACCAGCGAATAACTCGTGGCCGCTAGTCCTCAACGACTTGGATTGGTTCATCGAGCACGGGAAGGGTAAGAAGATGTACTTCGACGAGGTGATTGAGTTGTTCACGGGAATCTTGATCGTTCCACAATGAGCTCCTGAACGATTATTAAAATTGTTTGTTTCCTCAGAACGGCTGGCCCTCCGTGACCTCGCCCAGTGTGCAACCTAACAGTCCTCTGGCCGTTTCGAACGTTCAGAATGAACATGTTCGTCATTGCGATACCTGGCTTGCATACCTTCTCTGATCTTTGGTTGTTCATGTTCAATGCAGGATTACTACGTCCTCTTGGACAAACACTGCGAATATCTGAAGGGCGTCGTCGGAGGCGGTATAGGCTGGTTCGCCCACATTTATTCTGACGACATGGAGCCCGGCTACGGGATCTACGACGATTCGGGGTGAGTTCAACCCTTCGTCCCGCAGCGCTTCAGAAAATCTGACCCTGCCGCATGACTTTTATTAGGAAACTGAAGTTCCCGTTTGCACCCCGGACACATTGCTAATCCCAGCACCCTATTGATACACTTTCCTTCTTAGTCATCCATGTTTTCTTGATATCTGTCTTGCATCGTCAGTCTATATATCGTCTATCAGCCTTTGATATCGCATTAGCGCAACGTACTGTGAAACCTAGGGATAAATATACCGGTGTCTACAATACAACACTATGAAGCAGTAGTAACATGCGAGGGGGCGAAGATGCCTGTATGTACAGCAGGGAGTGGGATACACGTATCAGAGGTGGTGGCCCACTGCGTGGGGAAGCGGCAGTAGCCGTGATGCGGAGACAAAGCAAGATCGGGGTGGGCGGAGGAAGATGAAAGTTGGCCCGGGTCAACCGTGCCAGCCTGTATTCCCGAAAGTCGTTTCGGATACCATGCGATGTGGGATGATAGGTTGTTGGATGTTGAACGCCTCAATGGCCCGCTACCAAGATGTAGGTCAAAAGGGCGATTCATGGGCGAGCAGAACGCATGAAAATGGCGAACCTCCCACGTCGGCATGTCGAACTCGAACACGATCTGGTTCTTCTTCAGGCCGTCATTGTAGTCATCGGCTGTCGGCGGCTCGCACGCGACTGAGAAACGGCGAGCGGTGGTCAGTGTCCCCAGTTAGGGTTTCGTGAGTAGCGGAGAGCAGGACATACATATCATCGGTTCTCCCGTGCTTTCGTCTGTCTCGAGCGCGCACTTGCCATCACGGATGAGGAAGGAGAGGTGGAACAGGTTTTCGACGGACTGGCCGAAGTCGTTCGGGTTGATGAAGAACCGGAATAGGTTGACGGGGTCGCCTATCTCATTTAGAAGGTTTTCGAGCTTTAGGACAACGTAGGAGATAAAGGTGAAGGTAAGTGCGTTGAGTTGAAATTTCCGTTTGGTGGGAACATACCTGGGCCACGTTCTTGCTGGTCTCGTTGTCGGACCTCTGGATATCCTCTTCGCGGATCTCCTGAGGCTTGCGCTCGTCGGCTTTGTTCTTCTCAAGCTTGATCCGCTGCGTGTGCGCGCGCTTCTTCTGCTCGAGGCTCAGGGGCCCCAACCTGTTGAGGAGCGCTCCTCAGCACCGGCAGACACGCTCGCGACGCGAGAAAACGCGGCACGCACATGAAGTCGATGACCGGCACCCGTCGGCTCTTCGCGAGCGCGCGCCGGCCTATCTTCTCCCACTCGAGCGGCACGTCGTCTGTCTCAATCTCGGCGTCATCCTCGCCATCTGCAGCCCTCAGCAGCTGCCGCTTGCCGCCCATGAAGGAGACGAGTTTGGCTACGAAGTCGTCGACGTCAAACGCGCCCGCGGACGACTTCATGGCGCGCGCCTTGTGTGCGCCCATGTTCGACATCCGCACGAGCAACATCGAGTCTAGCGTCGCTTCTTGCGGTGCCTGGACTGGACGACCGTATAATCAGTTCGTGCTCGATGCAATGCGTGAGGTGTTTTGATAGTGGACTTTACCTTTCTCGAAAAGGGTGTCGGCCTGCTGTACTTTCGACATAAGTTGCTCTGTCGTAACATCCTTCGGGTTGATTCCCCCTGCCGGCGTCAGTCGCAGGTCAGCGATCCCGGCCCTCCTCTTTATTCTCTATAAGGATATGAAAAAACGCAGCGCACCTTCGTAGTCCTGGTTTAGCGCGCGGTAATTCCGCCGCACCTGGCGCTTTTCCTCTGGATCTTGGTCCGGGTCGTATGCAAACTGCGTCCCCCCGATGCGCACGCTTTTGCCCTTGCCCTTGCCTTTCCCTTTCACGTCCGGCATCGGGCTGCCTGCGCTCGACTCAGGGTCATCCATCCGCGCGTCGACGTCCTCTTCGTCCTCTTCTCCCTCTCTATGTCTGCGTGGCATAGTGTGCGGGATATTTGTTGAGTTGTATGGTGCCGGTGCGTCGATAAGACCAGAAGAAGCGCGCGTTATTGTGCAATGTTGCTTAGGGGCCGCAAAGTGGGCGCCGGTCACGGTAACGCAGTGACAAAAGGCACGTGCCACGTGAGTCGCGTGGTGACGCGTGTGACGTTTCGCGTAATGGGCTAGCGCTACGGGAGTAACTCGGTAAGGCGCGGCTCCTCAGTTTGAGTTTGGACCACAATCATGGCTACGAGCCATACGCTCGAGGCAAGCTCATCAATCAACTCGGAAAACCTTCTGCTGATCTTTGACGAGCAGTATAGCAAAAGTTCGCGAGCCAAGTGCCATGGCCCACCGCCATGCAAAGGCACGGCCATCGGCCTTGGGGACTTGCGGTATGGTAGCATTTCTCACTCGCTAGAATACGGAGAGGTGCGTCTATTAGGAACTATGCCGTGCACTCTGCCAAGCGCTAACGAATGGAAAAGATGGTCCAATGGAGACACTGGTACGTCTGCCGTGACGGTCTAATGCGCATGGAATGACTGGCTTCTTTTGATCCGCCGTTCAGGGGCTGCGTGACTCCTGAAATCCTGGCGCAGCTCTCGCAGGTCAAGCTCGAGCGCATACCTGGATTCAATCTACTGCGGTATGTTGTCGCGTCCCCTCTTCGACAGCGGCTGAGACGACGTTTAGGCCCGAAGACCAGCAGAAGATACGAAACGCGGTCATTTCCCGACGAATCGATCCCTCCGACGTTCCTGAGAGCGCGAAACAACATGATGTCGACCAGTTGTACCCCATGCCCGGGTCCAGCCAGCCCGCGCCACCCTCGTCCAGCCAACCCAGCATGCCGAGCTCGAGCCAGCCCTCCGCAGCGCCCTCGTCCAGCCAAGGCGCTCCTCCTCCGAGTCAGAGGCAACGCAAGGCAGCGGCTCTTGCCCTGCTGGCAGCGCAGTCCGCGTCGCCGGCCGGCCCTTCGATAACTTCAGTGCCGAGCTTGAGCCAACCCGCCGCACCCGCCGCCAGCCAAGAAGCTCCTGGGCCGAGCCAGAAGAAGCGCAAAGCCGCGATGCTCGCCGCCCAATCTGCACCGTCCGCCGGGCCTTCTTCGACTATCGCGTCCTCGCAGTCGGTGACGTTTAACACGCCGTCCACTCCCGCGCCGGGCCACCGGACGCAAGGTATACGGCGTGTTGTGCAAGAAGATGAGGGAGTCGAAGACAACAGCCCAGAGGAAGATGCGGTGGACGAGCTTTACTGCCAAATGAAGACGAACGTTGTAGGGATCCAGTACTACGACGGCGCGTATTTCCCGACGCATATATGCGTTCCGAGATGATATGCTGAAAGCTAACTGTCGATTTAGGTTTGGTTGGTCCTGGTGAACAGGTCCGCTTGGTCCGTGAGCCTTCGAACAAATACGATAGGTCCGTCCATGGCCCTTATGCAGACGACATCGCTGGTATCTGAATGATAAGGTAATAGAAATGCCATCAAGGTGTGCAACATCGCGGGAGCCCAGATCGGGCACCTGCCCCGGCAGGTTGCCGCCAAACTTGCGCCGCTCATGGACCGGAATCTGGTCACCGTCGACGGCATCATGTACGACGGAAACCGTGCGTCTCCTTTCTACCCCGCTCTTCGGCGTCGAGTCCGCTGACCCCGCTCTGTTTATCAGTGTCCGGCGGTCAACAATGGTCGCTCTCCATGTCCCTTAAGTTTTACGCGCCAGGGAACAAGCGCGCACAGATCGAGCCGCTCCTGATTTGGGCTACACCCGGCCAGCGTGGTTTCGCTCGCCCCCAGACCGGGCCTAACGTCGTGCACCAAGTACCCGGTGCGTCCCAGGCGCCCGGCACGTCCGGCTACGGAGGCTCTGGCGGCTCGACAGCGTACTCCCCGCCGTCGGCGACGCAGCAACGCGGCTTGACTGCAGCACAACGCGCCGCGCTTGAGGCACAGCAGGCCGCTCGGCGAGCAGCTTGGGAGCAGCAGCAGGAAGCGTTGCGCAAGGCGCAGGAGCTGCGGAGCATGCTCAGCTCGCTCGAGCGCGTTGACGATGAGGGGAGGCGGAGTAGCTTGCTGGACACGTTGTGTGGTCAGGAAGTGGAGGATGTGCTCGGGCTGCCAGAGCACCCCGGTCCGCCCGGGAAGGCGAGTGGGCAATTGCGGGTCGATTTATTGAAGCATCAGGTACGTTTGCTGTCGTACGGGGTGTCGTAGCGTGAGGGCTTATATGTCACACGATGCAGAGTCAAGCGCTTCAGTGGTGCATAACGAAGGAGTATCCGACGCTGCCCAAGAAAGAGGCGGATAAGCCCGTGCAGTTCTGGCAATACAAGAAGGGCACACAGAAGGTATGTCGCAACTATCAGATCGTCGTCGACTACGTTCTGAGCGTTCCGTAGCCTTTCTATTTCAATCGTAAGTTGTCGTTGTTTGTTTTCCTGATATGGCGCATTTTTGAACGAGACGGGAAGTCGCGACAAAGACACCGCAAGTGGATGCCCCACTATTGGGAAGAGGCGGCCTAAATGCTGACTCGATGGGACTGGTCCGTGCTCGTGCCCCCTTGCATAATTTCGACTACTGACCCGAAGTCAAAAAATTTCCAGGGCAAGACACTCACGATGATTGCGCTGTAGGTGCATAGTCCCCCGCGGCGTGGACCTGACATAATACTGGGGTAGGATCATGGCAACACAAGGCGACATTGTCCCGGAATGGTCAAGGTCGACGTTGATCGGTATGTTTTATCTTTCCCAACTTGGAGGTTACCGCTGAGAGATGCACTAGTCGTGCCGTTATCTATTCTCAGTAATTGGGAAACGCAGCTCAAGGATCACGTTGTGCCTGGTGCTCTTACTCACTGCGTTTATTACGGCTCAAGCCGAAATATGACTGCGAAAGAGTTGCAGAAGTATGATGTTGTCATCACGACATATCAGACCGTCACCGGCGAACATCCCGAACCCAAGAAAGACGGCGAACCAGTCAAGAAGAAGAAGAAGGTCACCGCAGCTAAGGGCGCCCTTTTTGACGTGCAATGGAAGGTGGGCACCTACAGCTCCCGAGTGAGGCAATGATAATGTAACGCTTACATACGTCAGAGAGTTATCCTGGACGAAGGACACCAAATCCGTAATCCGAAGACGAAGATGGCCCGGGCCGTGTGCGCGCTCGCTGCCCAGCGGCGCTGGGTATTGACAGGGACGCCCATTGTGAGTCGTGGTATTTTCAAGAACTATACTGTCATCCGAGCGCGCATTCCGCAGATCAACTCTCCAAGGGATCTTGGTTCAATTGTATGTTCATTCGCAGCACTCCAATGAAGCCATGCTGATCACCTGTCCTGGCAGTTAACCTTCCTGCGCGTTTGCGCTCCCCTCGACAACGAGGACATGTTCAAGCGCCTTATTATCAGGCCCCTTAAAGATGGCGATCCTTCTGGTGCTGAACTGCTTCGCGCCGTGATGTCATCGATTTGCATTCACCGGACCAAAGAAATGAAGGACAAAAATGGTAATCACTTGGTGCCCTTGCCACCGGTCAGTCCATTATGCCGGTTTCGTCGCACATACTGATTATCTGCCATGCAATAGGTTGAGATGACCGTCATTCCCGTCACCCTCAGCCCCGACGCCAGGGCCCTCTACGACGAGATTGAGTCACTATCGAGCAAACGCCTGGACAGCTTTATGGACGAGCAGGGTCGCATTAGCGGCGCGCAAGCGCAGAGCAACGTGCTCAGCATGCTCACACGCCTGCGCCAGTTGGTTCTTCATCCTGGCTTGATACCGCGGGACTACCTAGAGAACCTCCGATACTCGGCGGAACACGGCGGGCGGGATGCGCCGGTGGCGAACATGAATCTCACGGCGCAGGACCGGACCCGGCTGCAGTCCATGTTGGCGCAGATGATCGAGGACAACGAGGAGTGTCCGATTTGTATGGGAATTCTGAACGATCCGAGGATTACGGGTTGCGGCCACCCTTTCTGCCTCGCATGGTAAGGCCAGGAATCATAAACCCTTCGAAAAGCAAAGCTAACATAAGCGTGTCAGTATCACCGAGGTACTTGCCCGCGATCCGAAGTGCCCTATGGTTTGTAATTTACGTCGAATCGTTGAGGTCGAATGACACTGATGCTTTTCTAGGATCGCCGGCCTCTCGGGATGGGAGACCTCATTGAACCCCCGCCACCCACAGAGCTCACGCAAGCGCCTGTTCGTGTAGATGATGACGACGAAGATGATACAGCTGCCGGCTTGCGTGCGGGACCTTCGGACAAGATTAACCAGCTTATACATTTGCTCCAGCTGACGCCGAGTACCGAGAAATCGCTAGTTTTCTCGCAGTTCACGTCCTTCCTTGATAAGGTCAGAATTCAGATCGACGGTTGTTCTGCATAATCCGTCCTAAATGCCTGTGTGCTCTTCTAGATCGGCGAGGCACTCGACGAACAAGGGTAAGCACCGAACTTGTGACGCGCTTGTTCGTCTTGAATATCTTGCATAGGATACCTTATGTTCGGTTCGACGGACAGATGTCTGCCAGACGCAGGAAGGAGACACTAGAGCAATTCTGCGTACCCATGGAAGAGGAGGATGTACCCCAAGTTGCACCGCCAACTCGGAGCCAATCGGGCAGCCGACGCTTGCGCAGGCGGAGCTCCTCCGTGATCGACGCCATCTTCGCCGACGATGATCTCAATCGCGACGACTCGGATTTCGCTTTGAGCGGCACCGATGATGACGGCTTCCTGAGCGATGATGAGCCGAAGAATAAGAAGGCAATGGGCAAGTCCAAAGCCAGGGCACGTACTGAGGACGATATCCGCGTGGCAAACCCCAAGGTCATGTTAATTTCCCTGAAGGCTGGCGCTCTCGGCCTCAACCTGACTGTAGCAAACAATGTGTATCTGTGTGTGGTTTCCCGTCAATCACCTTTTGCATTTCTACTCACTCCGTTTGACTCGTCGTAGTATGGATCCGTATGCCATCTTCTAATCACCCATCTGTTGTTTTAGCGTCTAACGGCCTCCACAGATGGTGGCAGGAAGGAATCGAGAGTCAAGCTATTGACAGATGCAACCGGTTTGTCGCTTCGAGCTGTGCAACCCGAGACAGTTCGCTGACTGAAACGCGTGTAGCATCGGCCAGAAGAAACCGGTTCATGTATACCAGCTGATAGCTGAAAATACTGTCGAATCCAAGGTGAGTGGTCGACGACCAACCTGCAGTCTGGGACGGCGTGGTGACGTTGGCGCAGGTTCTCGAGATCCAGGACCGCAAGAAGCTTCTCATCAAGGAGGTATGTTGAACTCAGCGCACCTCCATCCGTGTTTCAAGCTGAGGTTTGGACATCGCAAGGCCTTCTCCGGTATCAAAGGGAACGAAACACAGCGGCAGAAGAAGGAGGCACGGCTACAAGGTTCGGCGTCTCGCCGGTGCGCCAAATCCGTAATGCTCACATCTCTGCCCAATAGATATCATTGAAATCTTCGGAGCACGTCGGCGCGGCCCTAATCAGCAGACTTGAATGGCCTTGCTCTTATGGCAGCGGTCCTATGTGACACCGCAAGGGAATGTCGGGAGGAGCGCCCCTTACTTCCTCAGCACGGCTTTTCGCTTTTGGCTACGTCGTGCCCACGCCGAGGACGCGGTCCCGCCACGTCCGTCACTGGAGGGAAAGCAAGTGCCAGGCGTCCTTGCTCGTGCCGATAATCTGTCATCTTATCATACAAAGAATCTGACATTAATATCATGAGCACATTGGCATCTTAGCGGAAGCACAGCATACAATAGAAACGATGGCACACGTGTAGTCGCAGCAGCTGTGTTGTGCCTTCTTATGGCTTTCTTCCGACTCCGCCTCACTCACCACATCTCTGCACCGATGGCGAATTGCACATGCCGCAATGAGCGGGAACGAAATTCAGGCCGCGGTTGATCTTGATCGCTACGTTATCTTATGGGCGCGAACCGGTGGACGCGGAGACGGCTTGCGTATATGAGTGTGTAACCTGGCCTTCAAGCGCCTATTCTTCCCTTGGGCGTACTCTCTGCTCGGTGATCGTTTCATACCCAAGAGATGAGCTTCTCTCATTGGAAGATCCCGAATAATGGTTTTGGGGTAATGGTGCGTCCACCGGCTGTGTCAATCCTCGAAGAACGAGCAAGCTCATACCTATGATGACAGGACGATCCGGTGCCCTTGAGGCCACCATACCCATTGTACCTACGTGGAGTGAATCATCCGAATGCTGCGCCGGAGTCAAACATCTGACGTGGACGCAAAGCATCGTAGACCACTTCGCTCGGCTTCGGGAGATAGTTGGTTGAGTGACGCACCGACGCTCGAGGTGAGTGTCTCGTTCAGAGTAGTATCCTCGAGGCTTGCTTACAGTATGTTGCTAGATGTACGACTATGCTCCACACTCTCCACCTCCTTCTGGTCACAAAGCTGATCCAACTTGTGCGGAGGCGCATCCAGGGATTGCTCCCCGGGATCCCGTAGGATGGGCACTATGTGCCAGGGTGATGAAAGGTCAGGATCTCTCAGCTACCATACGTGACGATGATACTGAGGTGGACCTCGTTCGCTCAGATCATGACCACGAGATGGTCAAATCGCTAAAAGACGAAATAGACTCATTGCTCGTCTTCGTGGGTCAGATTCACTCACAGGACAAACACGAGTTCCTCATCATGAACTTGCATCAGGCTGGTCTCTTCTCGGCCGTCGTTACGACCTTCGTCGTAGATTCGTACAAGAATCTACAACAGGACTACGGAGAGACGTCCACTCAGCTTCTCTACACCATCGCTCAGCGACTTGATTCCCAAAACAATTCATCTTCTGAGACGCAAGCACCTCATCTCGCTGATCCCAATCAGAATTCGTACTACCCTTCGTCGTCGTCCATTCGAATAAACTCGTTCTGGTTTTCGAGCCTCCTCATATCCGTGGTAGTTGCTTTCTTCTGTATCATTCTGAAGAGCCAGCTGCGATTCTACTACGATATCTGGAGGACGACGACATCTCAACGGGATAGCGTTCGTCGGCGGCAGGAGCGGTACGATAATTTCATGCGATCGGATATACCCGGGACGATCGGATTGGTACCCATTCTGCTGCTGGCTGCGCTGCTGCTGTTCGTGGCGGGGCTACTAGACCTCGTGTGGAGCCTCAACACCCTTGTCGGCCGTCTACTGGCCGGGCTGACCGGACTCATGGCACATCTGACTTACACCCTCTTATCAAGCAGGTTATCGTCTACCAGCATCTTCAGCGCGGTGATATGGGGCCCTTTGGTTACCTGGATGATCAGGATCTACAGAACCTGCATCGCTGCGGCGATATGGCCCATGGTGGTGATAGATCTTATCAACGCCGCTCGCGGTGACCCAGCCACCATGAGACACGAACGAGACTGCGAACTTGACTTCAACGTCTTGAACTGGATGTTCCAGAACGTTACCGACGATGACATCCTTGATCAACTCATTCCTTGTGTTGCTGAACTCGATGGAGAACGCCAGCTACGTTTCGTTTTCGAGTTCATTTCGTGGCAGATGGACAGCCCCGTCGACGTCGAGCTCGGCTTGAACTCACTTCGAGAAGAAATTCGATGCAGCTCCTCCAAGAAGTTTATCCTCCCCGATCATCATCTGAACAAACTCGAAAATCACCTACGTGACCGAGGGTTGGCACGCGTCACCCGTATTTTGTTGCATGCTCTACCATTCGCGAACGCACGGACCTCGCCTCGTGGACACGCCACCAAGTTTGAATTGTTGGTTTTGCTCCGCAACGTTCACGCTCGCATGAAGGACCCGGATGCGGATCTTTGCGCCACGTACTATCGAGTCTTCTTAGACGGGATCGTCAACCGGAAAGATCCCGACTGGCTCGATATCTCACTGCTGGGGGCCATTGCTCTCCACGAGCAACCTGACCTCGCGTCCAAGCACTCGTCGCGTGGTACGCTTGGCCGTGTCCTGGTCATTGTGGAAAGCTGATACTCGAAGTACACCATTAGATACCGCGAATCTAATTACGCATGCAAGAGCTGCCTGGTTAAAGAAGGACAGGAGCGTCTTTCCGTTCCTCGTGTGGCTTCTTCTCCAAGGCCTCCTGCACGAAAGCAACGACTCACTGCGCGATGCTCGCGTACGCGACGAGTACAACTTACTATCAAACGACATAGAAGCCTACATCGATACCTCACCTCTGGCGCATCATACAAGGCACAGAGCCGGATGGCCTCAGACGGGATGGCGTCGGAGCTTGTATGCACTGGCGCAGAAAGACGACGGCTTGGTGCACACGAACATACTTGCAAGAATGAAAGAGTGTGGGGATAGTTCTTTCTTGATATAGACGCATAGCATGGCCGGACACCTCATCGTTTGATACATTGTACGCGCTAGCGACGTCCATGAACAATTGGCGAATGTGCAAGCGACATTCGCTCAATCGTCCCACGCTCTGAACTCAGTTGTCGGGCGTTGGCTCGCAGAAATGCTGTTATATCCTCAGCAGCGTGCCGGACGATGTCGATGTACCAGCGTGTTCGGACTCACGTTGAAGGCACATGCGTGATCTTCATCGTCGACGTTGCTCTTGCATCCCCAACCGTGACGACAATTAGGGCGCTTGTCCTTAGTCACTGGATTCAACATGTCAGCTACGGGCATTCGTCGATGCTCGGGGAAACTTCACGATACCTTCGAGCCTCTGGCGCGACCACCACGGAACTATGCGCTCGGTTATACATCGTTTCAGACATTGCTCACAGAGCGAATCATCCTCTGCCCAAGAATAACCGGGCGCGTCTTGGCTAGTCTGAAGGGTCTGGCACGCCCGCAATTCCCGTATCATGCTCTCGTCCATCCGGCGTCGCCGACACGAGAAATATGTCTCGAAGTCGTACTCTTCCGGCTTGCTACGCTGGTGGGCGGGGATCGTCATCCAGAGTTCTTTTACGTCGATGACGCCCTGGAGCAACGCATAGTCTAACGCCGTGAGCAATCCGAGACCACGATAAGCCAGTATATTCACGTACTTCCTTTGCTCCATATATCATCATGTGCGCCTTGATGCCCAAGGCAACGATCGCCTAACCAAGAGGATCAATGGTAATTCGGATGCGATAATGACTGGAGGGACGAACAGGTTGCCGGGGGCGAACGTCCCTGAAGAAGCAAAGGAGTGGTCCAAGGAGTAGGACTGGGATATCGTTCCCCTCTCATTTTCAAGATTAACTCTTTCAACAGCAATCGATCGGAGACAGATGGTCCGCCAAGCAGAAAATGGAGAACGGAACTCGGATTTTCATTCCCACTAGCCCTTTGATAGCACTTCACGAGTATCTCAGGACCTTCAGCTACGCGAGCCTGTACGGCCTGGTCCATGACTATGACCAGTTTCAGTCTCAAATTATACGAGAACGCAAACTCCGGATTCTCACCTGTATTATGAAACAACTCCTCGGAATCAAACTCGACTGCTTTGATGGCCCATCTCACAGTCTCTTCCGCAAATCGCGCAATCGCCTCACACTCGTCTAGCTCGGCATCCTGGCAACCTTGTAAATATTGGCAGCCCCGATGTTTGAATGGCACGTAATCGGTATCGTGATAGCGTTCATGGTTGTTCGCGAATAGGATACAAAGCTTCCAGTATCGGTACATTGCACGCTGGAATTGGAATGACTCAGCCAGCGTGAGCCGACTCTGGGGTATTGTGTGGTCTTTGTGCCTAATACACAATAGGTTACAATAGGTTTGCATAGGTAGTTTGCTCAATGCAAAACACGGAAGTACCTCCAACTGAAGAGGTCTTCCAGAGCGCATATGGTGCGTCCGTTTCTGGCAAGTCCGAACAATTCATTCGGCCTGATAAGTTCTTCGGGGGCGTGACCCGTGGTTTCGCCTTGACACTGTATTCGTAGCAGAGATAGAGCATGAGACCAAGCAGGCCCAACCTGGTAGGCAGCGACGGAGCGCAAGATCGACATAGAGTGGTCCTTGTAAACGCCGAAAACAGCTTTGCTTGAGAGGATGAACGAGAACAATGTAGCGGCATCGTCGATATGATGCAGAATAGTGTCTGCCACGTCGTGACCTAGAGGAAATGCATTGGGTGTAGGCATCGCTTGTATACTACGCCCTACGAGAGGAAGTAAAGCAAGCCCGCACGGGCCGACTCGTGAAGCCACGTGCCATCCGGCAATCGGGGAGCCCGAGTCCCCGACCAAAGGAGCTTTGCGCGTCTCCGGCCGAACTCCTCTTTTACTTCTGCTATATAGGGTCACCGACGTACTCTCCTGGCTCACCGACAGATTTTGCTAGCTTCAGGGCGCATCAGAATGACTGCAATAACATCTGAACTCGTTCGGCGATCGTACGGTACATTCAATCACTTAGGTCGAACCATCTCCACAGTGCTTAGTGAGTAACTGGTTCCAAGCTACGTTAACGTTCGGCTGGGTCATAGCACGCCTTGCAACGCTTGATATGCATACGGAATGAGATCATACAATTGTTGAAGCTAGAACCCAGCACACTACAGCCAACTGCCATATCCACTGGGTCAGATTAAGCTCGCAAATGAGGCTCGTATCCCCTATTGCGAGTCGACACCGTGGTGAGCGACGTTCATTTTCCTGGCTCTCAGAAGATCAGCTTCCGGCCTACATACTGACCGACGGAGTGCATGCCTCGAAGTTGCCGGGACTTTGGCCAGAGACTATCGTCTAACGCCGCGGAGTTCAGCTGCCACATCGTCGAAGTCCGACAGCTTCAAGTCCGACGAGGGTTTTAGATAATGGACGTATGCGCTCCTGAACAGATAGGGGTAAAGAGCAATCATGCCGAAAACCGAGGCTTGGCTAAGTCGTTTATGGTCGTTCACGCGTGGAAGGGTATGTATCGCCCCTGGTATTGAATGAAATCACAAGCCGCGGAATGGTAGTATCACCACTGGCTCGTTGGTCTCGACGATAGTTTGATCGTTTGTATACACTCAACACACCGGATAAATGTAACGCGCGAATCACGTTGATAGTATTGCTGTCGGTATTTGGTCGTAATCAACGCCACCCCTAACGCGCTGCTCTGTTCCGCCACGCCCACTCCTCTCAGATCATGGTCCTCCGGATCGAACGGTGAATCCTGGGTGTCTCTCGACAACGGCTGCATGTCGAGTCCCTGGTCACGCAGAACGGAAGTAGAGTCCAAAAGCGCGCCGGCCGTCGCGAAGCGTGACGTGGACCGACTCAACGGACTTCTCAGCAAACGAGGTTTGTCCTCTTCCGTGCGGCGCTGCAAACTGGTCTCAGACGACTGCTCGGAAATTGAAAGCACTGGCAACTTACGAGCTTCGATCCATCCTCGTGCAGTCTTTGAAGACTATGTTCGTCTGAACTATCCATCCTCGCTCGATGGGCCGCATAGAACGAGCGGTCGCGGTTGTCACGTCCGAGGAGTGGCAACGGGGCGCGACGTGGTAGCCCTTCGACGGCGCAAAGTCTTGGTCTGCACAGTATCGTGCATTCCTAGACAGATAATCATCAGGCAACGACCAGGTACGCGGAGATCGTCAGACAAAAGCAACTACGCCGATGCGGTCAGGGGCTTCTTCCATTCCCATGGTGAGTCCGCAATGCAGACATTCAAATGCGAAGGCCAGTACTGTGGGCGCACCATGAGTTCGGAAAAAGCCCCAGAAGGACCATGCGTAGCTGGTTACCCAGGTCGACGCTCTATCCTACACAATCGAGGAAAATAATGAGATATAAGACATCTTTGCACTCATAAAATCTTGGTAGGTACCGACCTATGCGGGACAAAGACCTAGAACTGGCTAGCAGGGGCTAACCAGCCAGTGAGGCTGGAGCGGGAGCGGAGGCCAGGATCATCGTCCGGTACGGGGCACTTTGCTGGTCAGCCTTCGCCCTTATATACCAGGAGGGAGCTGATCTGTTGATGCAGGACCGTCGAGGCGCCAGGCAATATCGGTCACGGGCAGCCGAGCAACGATCGCCTCGCGGCCGCGTAAAAAGATCGCCCCGGGCCCTTACCAGACGCGACGTTGAATCAGGTTTGGGAAGTCTCGTAATCCTCATGTTGTCCGGTCGACGCAATGCTTGCTGCCTCTAGGAAATATCGGTGCCAAGAATAAATCCGAAGACGATTCCTGCGCCAGGGCATGCGGTTTAGTAGTCCAGGGTAGATCCAAGGTGCGACCAAAACGGATGGCATGTGATGATGAAGGTGCGGTTACGATACGAGATTACAACCCCGAAAAGACAATATATTTACAGACCGGCGTGCTCGCTCCACCCAATCGGAGGGGCCTTGAGCGCCATCTGCAACGTCTAGGGCCAGACTGCTCCTCGGATGCTTGCGAACATCGTCCTCAAAAGTAAATTGGGCAGGAAAACCTCGTGACGACAGCACGGAAGTTTAATGATTCTATCTCAGCGTAACGGCTGGCATGCTCGTGTCGTATCAAAACTCATGGATGGCTCTGCCCAGAAACTGGGTTTAGCCGATCGTAGGAAGGGAACCGCCTTCTGCCAGCGGCGCCTTCGGCTTCCCGCCGATAGCCCTCTCCTTCCAAAAGCATGCAACTCGGCGTGTTCTCGTCCCCCCTCTCTCCCACCGGTCCTAGGGAATACAGTCAAGGATTATCGGGAATATTGGTCCGCGACGGCGCCCACCATCGATTCAACCACTCTCGGGCGTAATCCCTACTATTAGAAGCATAACAACTCTCCATAGAGGTCGGAGCCGTAGCCAAACGCCTCCTTCTAGCCAGCGAAGGACTCGCGGCCCAGCAACCCTGTTGCCTCCATGCTCGCCGTCGTCCTGGTTTGTGGGGCCATTCATACGGAACGGCTGCTGTGAGTGAGTGTGAGGATCTGATACATTACGGTGGCCGCCTGTGGTACGTCGAACAGCCCTGGCTCCCACCCTTGCGCCCACAGCGATTACCCTCACTCCACCCGTATCATGTCTCGATACGATCTGCTACAGTCCAATCATACAGATCGGTGCAGATTATCCCAGCAGCGGTTTCGCCGAGCTCCCCTTCCAATGCAGTTTCGGGAACCGGCGTTGTGTGGTGCAGCTTAGGCCATGCTTGCTGCAGCACGGGGGCCCGTTCACACTCCTGTGGTCGGTCGGCGCGAGCTTCTCAAACATGTATATACGACGCTAAAACCAACCGGCCGTCCGATGTAGCTGAATGGAAGAACTCAAGTCGCGCATCGTGTTGGCCTTGTTACTGCATACTCGTGCCGGGCCCCAAGCCTCCCAGTCTCTGGCTTGTTGAGCATCTCCATGGATATTGGGATTTGTGTTTGTTGGACGTATGCGGATGCACCGATACGAGCTCCACTATCGAATCGTGTCATGCTAGTATCGCACCACAAGAGGCAATTTTGAGAATGGAAAGCCGGGCTACCATTCATCCTCCGCCTCCATGATTCCCAATATAGAGGTGGCATTGCGGCATCCTAACGATAGCACCAAGAGCGCAGATCCGTCAATGAGGTCGATGGTTCGACGGTGTAATGCATATGATTTCGACGAACGTGACGGTGGAAGATCAAAGCGTATAACAAGTGGCTAGCAAGTAGAGATGAAAACAGGCAGGGTTTTTCTAGATTGACAGTGACGTGATGAATGGAATGAAAGTTGACGGAAGCGAAGAGTCTCAGGTGCTTAATCGAGAATCATTTAACGTTGAGAAGCTTGACCTCTGCAAACGTGACATCAGTTATTTGCAAACGTGCTGGGGTTGAATAAAAATCATTACCAAACGTCAATGTCGAGTTGGGAGGAATGTCGTTGCCCATCTTCTTCTTACCATACGCGAGCTTCGGCGGGATGACGAGGAGCCTTTGTCCACCGACTTGCATACCGGCAATACCGAGGTCCCAGCCTTGAGATGTATGGGTAAGCCATATAAGTCACGGTCATGAACCTGGGGACCAACCTTTGATGACCTCGCCCGCACCGAGATTGAAGTCGAACTGAGGAGAATGTTATATACGGGATGGCAAGCAGGGACGTCCGGGTACTCACAGGCTTTCCCTTCGTGTTTGAATCGAAGACCTTTCCGTTGTCGAGCTTACCAATGTAACGCATGCTGACGCGGGACCCAGGCTTGGCAACTTTGCCGGTACCGACGACCGCATCCTGGTATTTGAGGCCACCGTCGAGCTCCTTCATCTCGCCGAGATTTGGTTTCTTTCCCTTCTTCTTATCACCCTTCTCCTTCTTCTCGCCCTCCTGCTTCGTGGTCTCCTCCTTCTTCTCCTCTTTCGGCGCCGGCTTCTCGTCTCCAGTCGGCACGGCCTCGCCGTTGGCCGTTTTCAGCTTCTTCAGCTTCTTCTTCTGGGCCTTGCTAAGCGTGCCCTCAGCCGCGGTGTCCGCCTCATCCGCGCGTTGACGCTTTTTTGATTCCGGCTCGGGCTCAGGGGAATCTTCGAGCTCCTCAAAGCGGCTGTCGGAGAAAGGGTCAGCGTTGATGGTCGTGCCAGAAGTTTACTTCACCGACCCGTCCTCTTCGATGATATCTTCGGGATCCATCTCGACGTCGGAAGAGACTTCACGAAGGTCATAGTCGTCTTCTTCGTCATCAAGTTCAGAGTCATCTTCCCCATATGGAGGCTGGTCCGGGGGAATCTGGTCTAGATGGTCGCAATGAGTACTATGACGATGAAGACTCAAACATACACGAACCGATGTAGTTTCCGGTCAGATAGATGGTGCTGAAACAGTTGATGAGTATCACCAGCCCACGAACGGCTCGAGTCCAGCTCACTTCTTTCCAACTGCCTCAAAGAGGTAGTCGCCGTCTTCTTCGAGGACAAGGTTCAGGTTCGCCTGCTCGATCTGTGCAGCGTCCAGGAGTGGTCAGTATTCCGAGTGTCCGGTAAAAAATGTCTTCCTAGAACCTCACCTTGCCAGGAGTGAGGGAGGCAAGGATCGTGGAGGTCAAGGAAGTTTCCTCCTCCTCCTCTTCCTCTTCATCCTCGTCCACCTGCACAGGCTTGCTGAAGGTGAACTTCACAGATGTCCGGGCGTTCTCGTCGTCCAGTTGGTCACCCAGCGCGACGTTCGTGATACGAAGGTCCCCAGCGGGTTGGACAACCTCTTTTTGACCGGGCTTGAGCACGATGCTCCAGAGTGCAATAGCGACAGCCATGGTGTTGGTGAACAGGAACGAAGGAACAGAACCCCGGAACGAAATTTCTGAACGCCCTGATGTCTCACGTGATCGAGTCAGTGGGAGGTGACGAGATCGTGCTGAGCCCCGCTGAGGTCGCAGGCTTTAGTACCGCGCGATCACTTGCTTGTTGCGCAACCGAACCGCCATGGTAATCGACTAAGAACTGCTACGAATGTCTATTGAATGCTGGTTTCCCAATTTAGTCGAACGTTCTGAGGCCATACCTCGCCGCAGTGCGATCAACCCTGACGGCTGCGTTGACTCTGGAAGATTTCTCGTCCCAGGTACGTTTCCGCTACATTCTTCGTGTGTTGATGATTCTGACGATTCTTAAGGTTGTGGAAAGGCACAACAAGCCGGAAGTTGAGACCAGGTCAGTGCGGATCACGGGGTTATCAGGATGCTGAATGTCAGTGACGATTTCGAATGTACAGAGGATCGAAGGAAGTCTTGCTCAACCCAATGACAATATCTCGAAACGAGAACGAGCGCGTGCTTATTGAGCCCTCAATCAACTCCGTGCGGATGAGCATCAAAATCAAGCAAGCAGACGAAATCGAACAGATCTTGTGTCACAAGTTCACCAGATTCATGATGCAGCGCGCAGAGAGCTTCATCGTGCTCCGTCGAAAGCCTGTACAGGTATGTTATGTGTCTCCTTTCCCTTGGACATATGCTGACCGCCGTTCAGGGATACGACATATCCTTCCTCGTCACGAACTTCCATACGGAGAACATGCTCAAACACAAGATCGTCGATTTCATCATACAGTTCGTACGCAACCAATGCGCGTGATTGCGTGCTAATCAACCCACCTATGGAAGGTTCATGGAAGAAGTCGACAAAGAAATCAGCGAGATGAAACTCAGCCTCAACGCTCGCGCGCGTGTGGTCGCGGAGTCCTACCTCACGGCTGTAGGTGCCTCACCCTCGAGACACCCCACGGTATATTGACGTGCCTGCTAGTTCAACTCCTAATGGCCTTCATCCCGTGGTCACAACAGACTTTAGCATTTTCGGACCAATGTATGACTATCACACGTGTAATACACGCACTCTGCTGGCAGAAATTCGCTGTGTGTTCCTGCTTAGTTCCCGTTGACATACCGTGGTGCTCCATTCCTCGCTCCAAACCTTTCTCGCATGCGGTAAGCATCCTGAAGAAGCTCCCTCGGAGCAGTTGCGGGGTGGTATATCTTGGGTGTGAACTCGTTCTTGCAGTGCAATGGATCCGATTACCAACGGTCGAGATCGTTCCTTGAAATGCCAGTCTGTGCGGCGTTTGGCCGACTGGGATACAGAACGACCTGGCTATCGCCGAATGAAATCAGCGAGTTGACGTGGTAGTGTTGCCCCCAACGAAGGTCGAGACACCTCTCTACATCCTCGGAATAGAAAGGACGCTAGCCACGGATGCGACCCTGAATTTGTCAAGCAACGGCCTAGCGTCCGTCTGTGGGTCCGAGAGCAGCGGATGTACGAAGCAACAACGCGATCGGGAGGTATGGACGCAACCGAAGGACACGAGGACGGGAAGAATGTCAGGATCAGGACAGATTGCGTGCGAGGTTTCGCGTTAGTGCGCAGGACAGCATGGTGCATGACAGACTTCGCGTTGGTAACTCTGATCTTTTTCTTGGAACCGGAAGTCTGCGAAAAAGGGCGAAACCGCCCACAGATTTTAAACCGATATGCAGGAGGACAAAGGAGAAGAATGTACTCACCTTGCTCGGATCGATGGGGTCGCGCGAAATCCGGGGACTGTGACGCAGCTCGTCCATGTGGGCCCCGGATTTCTCCTACGCCCATGGTCTTCCAGACCCTCATCAGCTAGTACTAGGAGTTCCAGACCTTAATCTTGTAGTGCGGCGGACGGCGGAGCTTGCCACAAAGGCAGGCATCCGGAGCTGCAAGTGCCAAGGACGTCTTCCAAGCATGCTTCAAAGACACCCTGGATGTACGGCTCGGTTGGAGGCCCATCTGAGTCAGCATGAACGCGAGGGCGATCCTAACGGGCGGTAGGCCGATAGCGAGGATGCAGGGCACAAAGTGTTGAGGCAGAGGCTAAGTCGGTTGGGATAGGCCAGTGAATGTGCATGAACATTGTTGGCGACCGCACTCACCTGCAACGGCGTGAGCCACTGCTATTGGGTCTCCTCAGTTCCTCCTGTAGCTCCGCTAGCCCTCGCGTGCTTTATCTCACTATCTGCAAGTCGGTATAGATTCTGTGCGGGTCTATCGTGTTACCTCTGCCCATTGTAACGATACACCGGGCTTCGATAATCGCCGCCACAACGCATCGGGTGACGAAACTGGCCGCACTACTTACTTCAATGGAAAACACTCGCTCTGTATGTCGCGGTCAATGGAAACCGACACGTCTATGTCTCCTCCTCACTTTGGTCCTAAGCAAGTGGGTGCGTCATCTTGCAGTTCCTAAAGACCAAGAACTGGACGTACCGGCCGGTGGCTCTCATGTATGGGACATCCTGCTAGAGTAAACTCGTCTTCGATGAGAGTTCATCATCTCTAGAGCGAGTGAGCATGCATTCAACGGAAGTGAGCATTCCTACAGTATCTCATATGCCATGGGCAGCATCATTATCCCTGCAATTCACTCCGGATTACCTCCAGGAGCATACCTGTCAGACGGCGCCGAGTTTCCCCTGAATAATTGGTCAAGGTCTTCAGCTCCAACCACCTGTGCAACGAGCTGGTCTCGCACGGCGAGCTCGTTGTATGCACATTTGGTTGGAAGGAGCTGACCTTGAATTGATAGAAATGCACGAACAGGAATACCATCATCACCCGCTACCCGCTTGTTCCTTCTTCCTTGTTCCGCAAGTCTCAAGAGTGCTCCACTGCGTCCTGGACTGAGACTAAAATGGTAACATGAGGCTTCATGCTTCAGAACGCAACGGGGACCACATTTCTACGCTTTCCAGTCAGATGATTCGCCATCCAAGAGATGGACCATATGATACTATACATGTGGGGATTGGCCAGCATCCGAAGAAGTCCTGGGTGATAGGTATGTTGCTCAACTTTAGCAAATCGGATGGGGCTTATGAAGCAGTTTGACGAGACAGACTGCTGACTGAAGCGACCATCTGTGTATGAGGTGAGCGAGTCAGAGCACGTCCACCATGCTACCAATGTCATCTACCGTCATCGAGGCAGCATCGTCAAACATCAGGTGGGTGGGTGAGGTGCGCAAGCGCACTGAAACGAATGTTTGTTCGGACGTTGTTGCGATTGTGACGTGAATTGAGAGTCACTGAAGTTCGGCGGCCACGAAAGAGAGGTAAGCGGCGTCATCCTTGGCGCCGCCCGGAGTATCTTCTTTTTCACCGTGCTGGTGGGTCGGACTGAGAGTCTCTAACGTGTCTGCGTCACAGGGTGGCAGCCGGAGGGAAAAGCCCAAGAGAAGCGTGAAATGGTCTCGTGCATGCTCTCACTGGCAAATTACTCGGCATCCAGCACCTTCAAGCTCGCGAAGCACGATTTGGGCTTCAATGCACACTGGCACCAAGAGGAATATGCAAAGCCTGGCGTCGGACCCGACTTGACAATCCCGGCCCGCGACTGTTCTTCTCTACTGCTGTAAGCGCCGGGTGTTGCACGATTCATCGCAGCATAGAGCGGTCGATGACCAGGACTTTGTGGACTGATGAGCTGGAGGTTGGTGGGACACAGGGGGAGGACGGGTACTTGGGAGGGGAGGGTGTGGTGAGTACCAACCTCACATCGCCTACCAGAGTCTTTGTCGTTCCACGAAAGTCGCACCGTACTCTATTGCCCTCGGATGAGTGGTCTCCGGTATATAGTCTCTATCCAACCAGCTGCCCCGTATGCTCAACATTCGCTTTGAACCCCTGCTTGTAGACCTCCGCTCCCCGCCGCCGATAAAACACGGTTAATCGGTGGCTTTTCTCCCTGCATTCACTCAGCCTTCACCGTCATCTGTCCAAGCCACCGTAAGCTGTACGAGCTTATCCATTGATTCATCGGGTCAGGGCAGAAACACATCGTCGGAAGGCACATTTAGGGGCGGGATATCGATACACAGTTAATACACGAAACTCGTTGACTCTCGTCTGACGAGTTGCAACTCCGCGAACTCCGTTTGATCTACGCTTTGAGTGAACGTTCTTACCTCGTCTTAGTACGCGACGCCGTGACATGTATCTGATTCGATATAATCAAGGCAACGAGTCCTCTCATCTTTGCCATCCATAATGGATTGATAGTTTAGAACGCATGCACAACACGACGGTATAATACACTTCAAGCAATGCAACGATCCCTCTCCGTAGCACCTCCGTTGGGAATGACGGCTGACGATGTCCACGTCATTGAAAACGACTACGCCCATCGTCCGGGAGCAACGGGGTGCGATGCAGACAAGCCTCCATCAACTGCCCAATTTTGTCCGTTGACATAACTGGAGTCATCTGCAAACAAACAAATGAGGTAGCTGTCAACCACTACCACAACGTAGACGATATGAAGCTGTACCGGATGCGAGAAATAGGGCGACTTGCGCAACCTCCTCTGCGACCGCGTACCGGCCCATCGGGTTGAGCTGGCCAATCTTGCCTGCGGTACCACGCTGGCGAGCGTACTCGAACGTCGCATCCGTCATGCCGGTCTCGATTAGGCCGGGGCATATCGAATTGACGCGGACGTTTGTTTTGCGAAGTTGGTAGATCGAGGTTTGAGCGATTGAGTTGACGCTGCGTGACAGGTCGTCAGCACGTCATATGTGTGTGCCGCCGATTTGACGCTACTCACGCGGCTTTACTGGCACTGTCTATACGACTATCAGTATGGGCTGCATATATCGGGGTCAAAAAACCTCACAGTCGACCGGGCCGGCGCCTGATCTGATTCCGGCAACTAAGCGAGTACCCGTCAGCATACTGCTTCGTGTCCATAGACAGGGTTCATACTCGAAGCAGTAAGGATGATGCTCCCTCCGCCAAGATCTTTACCTCGTGCAGGGTTGGTTTTCTGCATCGCCAGAGACGCGTGCTTGACAGCCAGGAAGCATCTGTTCCATCCTCCGTTTGGTATTCATGCACATTGAACTATGTCTGACAGAACTTACGAAAGCGCATTCACTCGCATCGCGTTCATGAAACCCTCGGATGTGGTGGAATGTAGGGGCGTAGCTCCCGCTATTCCTGCCTGCCAAAGGGACGTGGTGAGGGACAGGCCATATACGGCGTCGTGGAGCGAGATGTGGGACGAATGTACCACTTACGTTGGCGAAGAACACATCAAGTCGCCCTTCTTCGTGCATCGCTCTGGCACAGACGCCTGATATCGCTGCTTCGTCGGCGGCATCAGCTTGAATTGTCGTCACCTGCCACACACGGGAGTGTAGATGAGTCATGGGCGACACGAAGGTGAGAGGGAACATGCATGAGGCGCACCTTCACGTCCGGGTACCGCTTCTCGATCGTCGCCTTGAGATTCGGCAGGTTCTCGGGAGAGAAATCCAAGCAGTACAGATGCTTCGCACCTGCGACGGCAAACATATGAACGTTCTGCGCCACCAAGCGACGATGGCAGTAAAGTCGTGCACAGAGCATACACATACACACCTTCGTGCGCGAAAAGTAGCGCGGAGGCGCGCCTACGCAACGCGATTTAGTGCGAGATGAATCAGCCTCGTTTCTGATTTGTAGACGCACCCGATACCCTTCAGCGAGGCGACGCCTGTGACCACGCAGACCTTGCCCTTCATCCTGGTGCCGCGCGGGGTCTCGGACAGGTGCGACTGGATTTTGGCCAGCCGTTGTACCGTTTGCTTGTAGAACTCCTTGTCGTCGACGACGGGAGTCGACATGTCGTTATAGGATGATTTCGGAGCCATATTCGTAGAAATCAGCGTGTTTCCTAGGTCCAAAGAGGGCTTTGAGGTTGGGTGTTGCAACCAGGTTGCAGGAGCATTGCGGGGAAACTCTCAGACTCCGGGTGAGCAAGAGACCGGAAACACCGGATGTCGTCCCGACCATTTTTGGCATATTCTCCCACGTATAGGGTTAGGGTCAGAAGTAAGCGCGTCGCGCTTGTCGTGCTGCTCGTTCATCTGCGAGCGTATATTCAAGTCCCTTCGTCTTAGAATCGGTCCTGCAAGCCTTTTGTGCTACTAGGCACGATTAATCTTGACTACGAATACAATGTCTTCGAGCATCGAGCTCATCAACCCCAAGGCGGAGAGCGTCCGCAGAGCGGCTGCGCTTCAGGTGCGCTTCAGCCTTTCATGGCGTACGATGCGACGAGGTTGACAGAATCGCGTAGGTGAACACCACCGGTGCCATGGGCCTGGCAAACGTCGTGAAAGGGAACCTTGGTATGTTTTATGTACCTCTTACAACTCCGATGTCTCATCTTCTGCCGTCCAGGCCCGCGTGGTACGCTGAAAATGCTCGTGGACGGCGCGGGGCAGATCAAGATGACGAAGGACGGAAAGGTCCTGCTCTCCGAGATGCAAATCCAAAACCCGACTGCGGCGATGATCGCGAAGACGGCTGTCGCGCAGGACGACCAGGTCGGCGACGGCACGACGTCCGTCGTGCTCCTCGTTGGCGAGCTGCTGAAGCAGGCGGACCGGTACATCTCTGAGGGCGTACACCCGACGATCATCGGAGAGGGGTTCGATATTGCGAAGAAGGCTGCGCTGGAGGTGATCATGCGATTCGTTGCATCTGATGAGGAATGAGTTGTGCTGATTGTTGTGCTGATTGGTGTGGCTGCAGTTCCTGGACAATTTCAAGCAACTGTCTAAATTGGACCGCGCGACGCTCATAAACGTCGCCCACACGTCGCTTGCTACCAAGCTGAATGCTGCGATGGCAAAGCAGCTCGCAGCGGACGTGGTTGATGCTGTACTGACGATCCGACCTCCCCCTCCACCCGCAGGTAAGGTCCCTACTGTTTGTGTGATACCTCCATGATGCTGATCACGCTGCGAAGACGCAAAGGAGCAATGGATAAACCCTATCGACCTTCACATGATCGAAATAATGAAGATGCAGCACCGGACAGCCTCCGAGACGCAGCTCATCCGCGGCTTGGTTCTCGACCACGGAGGCAGGCATCCCGACATGCCCAAACGCGTGGAGAACGCATACATCCTTACTCTCAATGTCTCTCTAGAATACGAAAAGACGTGCGTCATTTTATTCCATACTCCATATCGGAATCCGCCCTGACCTTGGGCCGTCTTTGTCTACTCTAGCGAGGTCAACTCGGGCTTCTTCTACTCCTCGACCGAACAACGCGAAAAGCTCGTCGAATCCGAGCGCAAGTTCACGGATATGAAGTGTCGCAAAATTGTTGAACTCAAGAACCTGGTGTGCGACCAGGCGGTGGGAGAAGGCAAAAAGAAGAACTTCGTGATCATCAACCAGAAGGGCATCGATCCGCTCAGCTTAGATATCTTTGCGAAGAATGGTATTCTGGCGCTGCGGCGGGCGAAGCGACGAAACATGGAAAGGTCAGTAGCATACTCTCCCCTTGACTTTCGACTGTATCTTAATCACAATGAACACGTAGGCTGCAGTTGGTCTGCGGTGGCACCGCGCAGAACTCCGTCGAGGATCTTACCCCGGATGTACTTGGCTGGGCTGGGCTCGTGTACGAGCACACACTAGGCGAGGAGAAGTACACGTTCATCGAACAGGTGAAGGAGCCTAAGTCGGTTACGTTGCTCATCAAGGGCCCGAATGCGCACACGATTCAGCAGACACAGGACGCGCTTCGGGATGGCTTGCGCGCGGTGAAGAATGCGATCGAGGACGGGGCGCTCGTGCCTGGCGCAGGCGCATTCGAGGTCGCGTGCGCAGCACACTTGAGTGGGGAAGTCAAGAAGAGCGCGAAGGGCCGGGTGAAGATGGGCGTGCAGGCGTTTGCGGACGCACTACTGATTATCCCGAAGACGCTCGCGCAGAACGGAGGGTTCGACGTGCAGGACGCGGTTGTCGCGTTGCAGGTAAAGAACAGTTTTCCCCCTCTTACGATTTGTCGCAGTTGGATGTTGACGATGCTTGGTCGTAGGACGAGCAAGCGGAGGGCAACATCGTGGGCATTGATTTGCAGTCCGGCGAGCCATTCGACCCGACCGTGGAAGGTGTCTGGGACAACTATCGCGTCAAGCGCCAGATGCTGCACTCATGGTATGTGTCATCCGTTGCTTGTCCTGTGACCATATACTGAAGTGAAGACAGTTCGGTCATCGCCGTTAACCTGCTCTCGACGGACGAAATACTGCGTGCTGGCCGGAGCTCACTAAAACCAGAAGGACAGCAATAGTCACTTGATAATGGTAGATTTGTGTACACCATAGCGACGATTCTCTCACATACATTGCTGGTGTGCTGGATAACCTGACCCCTTCTGTTACTTGAGCAAAACATCGTCGTTGCTATGTATAGTCCGAAAACACCTCCTAGCAGCGCGCGTTGGGTCTAGTGGTCCGACGCAATGGCATAAGTATCAAGGACTCAATACAACTTGCCGCTAGGGCGGTATCCCAGCTTCATCACCATTCTACATATATAGTGAGGGGAGAGATAACAGAGGACCCTGGGATCAACACCACAGCGGACGGGTATGTTCCCGCATATACTGGAAAACTGGAAGAAAACCCAAGCATGAAGCTAAAAGTCACAACTAGATGGGACAGGGTGCTATCGCTTTATATCTTCGCCTTCAGGGTGTCTTCCTCTTTCATAAGGCGTAGATCGTCCTTTACGGTCTCCAGGAACTTATCTTTGAGCTCATGCTTAATGCGGAAAAATACTCGGGCACTTCCTGAATGCATCATGTCAGTCAGTCGTCATCATGAGGCTCCCAACCACGACGCACCATTGTTCGCCTCCCAAACCCCTTGAGCGTTCTTCGTCGGGTTACCGGGCCAGATACGGAAATAGCGCTCAAATGACCCGTACGAATGGAAACGCGCTTTGCCGGGATATCCGAAATGGCAATCGGTCGCCGGTGCGCTAACGTTCTATGATTAACGCATGGGATGCGGTAACAAACAGTCTTCACATACCGATACAGGTTATTGACCGCCACCCCGCCCTCCCATGGAAACCACCACTGGCAACGATTCGCGTTCGAGCTGCGAGTGTACAACTCCTCGGAGATAGCTACGACCCGCCGGCAGTAATCAGGATTGCGAACCTTGGTGACAGTGTCACGGACGACTGTAGCGATCAAGCTGTCGCATTGGGCAACCTCAGTATAAGAGAGCATGTAGGCACATAGAATGTGCACGAACCCGAGATCGAGCTTGGCTTCCTCAGGGATTTTATCGGAAAAGCTCGTGAGGGTGATGTTGCCTGCAGAGGTGCCGGGCGGGGGGGTGTAGTCGAATCCAGCTGCCGCCTTCACCCCACGGTACTGGTCGAAAGGTCAATGCGAGCGAAGGAGAAGAGGCCTGCGAACGTACATTGACGACGTTCATGA